AAGCAAGATAATAACACTGTCATCCAAAATCCTCGCAGCAGTTACTTCCCTTGTTCATTAAATGAAGGGGAGCTCAAACATGAATAAATACAATTTATTATAAAAAGGTTTATTTCATTAATACACCAGAAAATCTGTAAAGAAAACTCACCTGAAATATTTAAATCCCATTTATAAAATCCATGATGAATAAAAGCAGAGAATTATGTAAGTATGAAATGTCTCTCCATAATAAAACATAATTAATTTTACATAATGGACTGGGAAAATTGTTCAGTATTTTGATGGGCACAATTATTGATGTACATGACTTCAATAACAAAATGCTAAATAAAGCAGATGTCAGGTTATTTACTGCACTTGGCATATGGAGGGTTAAAATGATTTTCTACACATCATCGACAGAGTTGTCACTATATAATGTGAATTCCCTTTATAAACCATTAAATTCAGTGAAATCAATTTAAAATCTCCATTTTTACAAAATTGTACTGTAAAATGATCACATCATAAACTGGATAAAAATGCGATCACAAAGGAGTTTTACAGCAGACCTTGTTATGTATTTAGTAATTAGGTTTTAGTGTTTTGTTAGACTAAGTATAAGCATGTACAAAATTAAATTGGTCAAGAATGGCAAACATTCTGCCAATTTAATGTAGTAAATGCTTATTAATAAACACTAACCAATTTACTGTTTGAAATTATTTTTTTTATAAAACTGTTGATTTTATACTGATTAAATTTAGCAAATTAACCAAAGAAAATGTGCTAATTGATTCAGTTGAAATACTGCTATTCTATGTGAAAAAAAAAATTCAAACACTAATAATTATTATAGAAATGTAGGCACCAGCTTTGTTGTAAATGAGTTCAGTGTCTGTTGGATACTTCAATTATACCTTAAAATGGTAAATATTCTTTTTGTCTTTTAATTCTTAAATTGCACACCTGGTATAGAAACATTTTCTATCCTTTTCTCTTTATGAGATCAATAATGAATTTCAAAAGTTGACAGATTTAAAGACATGCAATGTTGAGGCTGATCTGTTATGGGCAATGACTATGAACTGTAACCAATTTCTATTAAAATTTTTAGTATTAAAGCATCATAACTTTTTCTAAACTAACAAGTTAAAATGAAACCCAGATGCAGGAGGTTCAAGAAAAATATGAATAATCGATTTCCTGCATTGGAAATGCCTCCTTTTCTCTGATAAAGTAACCTTGATTCAATTTTCAAAACAACCGGTTGCTTTCTGAAAGGGAAATATAACATGATCAATCAGCAAAGGGGGAATTTAGCCTGAAATCAGATTCCAACAACTGAGAATGGAATTCATTCGCACATTTTATAAAATTTTCAATTTAACTTGAATGGTATATAGCAAAATCTATTTGCAGGGAAAGCTTTCTGTCTTTCAGTCTATTAGATTTCTCAACTACCTTGTATAAGTCTGCTGCTGTTAAGTCATGGTTCTGGAGAAGAATGTGCACAGAGCATTTCAGGGGAAAATAGCATTTTTATACCTATATTATATACCTATTTTGGGCAAGGGGAAACAGCCTTTGTTCAGCTGTAAAATATAGGTAAGACAAAAGCCACCGCTGGGCAGGGCCAACACTCAACTTTTTCTAAAAGCAAACAAATAAACAGTTTTAACAAATCTTTTTAAAAAAAAAATAAAAAAATAAAGAATAAAAATAAGTTTTCCTTTTTTTAAACTTTAACAGGTCTGTCTAATCGCATTTGTTGTTTTGACCAAGTATGAATCCTTTCCATAAATAAATGACAATGTTAAGAAAATATAATAAAAATCAATCATTTGACGGTCAAGGTAATTTAAAGGTCAAAGTCATATCTGAATTATTCCACAAGTCTGTTTGATCACAAGTGTTGTTTTGTCAACATATGAATCAAATCCATACATAAATAACAAAATTATGACAACTTGACCAAAATTCAATACTTTGACCTTGAAAGTCAAGGTCATTAAGAGCTTAAGGTCAGTCATTTTAACCTTCCAAAAGGTTGTTTTGTCTAGGTATGAAAACAAAAACATTGATTAATTACAAAGTTACAGCCAATTATAGCAAAAATAAGTGAAAATAAAACTATTTGAAACTTCAGGGTCAATGTCATACATGAGTCAAGGTCAATTAGAGTTTAATATACATGAGACCTGACCTTAAAGATGTTGTGTCTCAATATGAAGTAAATCCATTGATAAATAACAAAGTTATGTTTATTTGGTAGAAAGTCTTGTTTTGTCCTAGTTTAAATGAATTCCATACATAAATAACAAAATTATGACAATTTAACCAAAATTAAATAATTTGACCTTGAGGGTAAAGGTCATTTAAAGCTCAAGGTTAAGGTCAATTCAACCTTATAGAAGGTCTTGTCCAAAATTATGTTTTGTCAAAGTATAAGGATAATCCATTGACTGATCACCAAGTTACAGCAATTATAGCAAAAATCAGTGAAAATTCAATGATTTAACCTTCAAGGTTAAGATCATAAAAGAGTCAAGGTCAATTTGAGTTTGATATACATGAAGATCTTGTCCTAAAGAAAGTTCTGTTACAATATGAAGACAATCCATTCAAAAATAACAAAGTTATAGCCAGTTACAGCAAAAAATTGAAAATTTCAATGATTTGACCTTTAAAGTCAAGGTCATTTATGAGTGAAGGTCAATGTCTGTCTGGTTTTCTTGAAGGTCTAGCCTAAAGGATTATTATGTTTAAGTTTGAAGACAATCCATTCAAAAATAGCAAAGTTATAGCCACTTATAGCGAAAAATCAGTTAAAATCAAGCAAAATTTAGACATTTAACCTTGAAGGTCAAGGTCATTTATGGATGAAGGTCAGGATTAGTCTGGTCTACTCAAAGTTCTTGTCCCAAGAATTGTTGTGGCCAAGTATACACCAAGAACTTAAAAAGTTATGATCAACATACAAGTTTGTGGACAGCAATGGCAAAGGCAACAGCAACGTCGACATGACTGTAACAATACCTCTACTTTAAAAAAAAAAAAAAAAAGTCGAGCTAAAAATCACTGAATACTGTTTAAAGGAAAAAAAGTTCCACTCTGTTTTTGTACTTTTATTAGCAGATAAACTTAACATTAAACAATAACAATATTCATGCCAAATAACATAGATCTACTTATTAAAAATATATATTCCACAAAATGTCATGCAATTTAATTATTATTACATGACACAACATATGTACTTGTTTTGATGCACTATAAACTTTCATTTAAGACTTATTAAAAATTTCGTATAAACAAATAGCTTCATTTCATTCATAAATGTTGTTTCTTAATAACACTGTTCTTGTTTTGGTGTCCATTTTATATGCATAAATCTTAGCAAAATCAAAATTTCTGTTTGCATTTGAAATTATGCCTATGGGTCATTGGAACATCAACAGAAAATTAACAAACATGGCTTTAAATTAACAGCTTCGTAAGGTTTTTTTTGTAATTTAACTGTTCATGTATATAAATTCCGCATTATAAAGCAGATGTACACTGCACAGTGAAGCTATAATATGCAAATCCAGATTGATGAGAAAATACCACATTTGCCATGTATTTTGAAAGTTTAACAATATGACTTTTCGACTGCCTGCATTGGGCACAATAAATAAGCATGCTTAATTTGTACATTAACCATGGGATATTTGTTAAAAAATCATATTTGCTGAACACAATGTACAACAATACTGTTAAGTAAAAGGTTTATCACACTGTACTTAGGTTTAAATGAAACGTCAAAATATTTCTACATATCTATAAAATGCAGCTTTAAAGCTACATGCCTCCAGATGAGTCAAAATATTTCAATAAAATCAAACTTTAGAAAAATGTACTAAAATGTAAGGAAAAATAAAAATAATTAAGATTCAAGTAATATTTTACATATTATGTGCGATTAATGACTGATTTTTGAGTACATTTGTATTTACAACTATATTTGTACTGCGTTACTAACGCAGTAAAGGCTATTTAAGCATATTTTGACAACTTTTTGGTAATTTTCGTGGTTTGTAAGTTCTATTGATAATGTGTAAATTGCTTCCTTTTGGTTGCTTCACAATATTATACATTCAAATACATTTTTAAAATTTTCATGAAAATTAGCATGACTCTGGAGGTGTGCTGCTTTAAGTATTTTGTTTCATTATATTTACTGTACATCATTATGTTAGATAATAAATATATAAATGGCCAGTCAAACTTTTTTTGTTGCTGATTTTAGCATTTTCTGGCTGATTCTGATACACGTCTCTGATATTTTGGCAAAATAAAATAATAAGGAACAAGAGCAATGTCAACATGGCCATCCCCCGCCGAATGTGTTTGCTCATTGGAAGAATGTATATGTAGTAGAGCAGAATAATTCAATTTTAAGAGGTCTTTTGGTAATGAAAACTGATGGCTGAAGTGATAACAGATTTGAAACCTATGTGAATACTGATGGCTGAAAATAACAAAGGGCAATAACTGAAAAATAATGCAGAGTAGGTTATCATTCTTGTGTGCTGCACCTCCTCAGTAAAATCTATCCACCTATGAGGCTTCAAGTTGATACCTCAATAAGCTCCCAAAAAATAGTATGAAAAAGAACAAAGGGCAATAACTCAAAAATTATAAAGGGAAGAGTTATCATTCTTGCGCACAGAATTCCTCCTCAATAAGATCTATCCACCTAAGACATTTCATGTTGACATCTCATACACTTCTGAGTTATACTCCACTCGGGTGAAAAATTAGGTATGAAAAATAACAAAGGGCAATAACTCAAAAATTATGAAAGGTAGAGTTATCATTCTTCTGCACTGCACACCTCCTGAGTGAGATCTATGGACCTATGAAGTTCCATGTCAAATACTTTTTGAGATATGCCCTGGACAAAAATGTCGGACGGAAGGACGGACGGAGACTATTTCAATATCGCCCGCCGCCTTTCGGCGGGGAATAATAAAAATATTACATTTAACATGCTACATAATTATATGCTAAAAGAAAACTATCAACATGGATTTTTTTTTATGCTTTATCCATGTTTTTTCATCCCTTAAAAACAAGATGACAAAAATGTCAATAAAAATATTGCAAGAAGCCATCCACTTCACTATTCTCAGTGGGAAGTAATGTAAAAAAACAAATCTTTTCAGTTGAAAAAAGGGAGATAATTTAGAAATAACATGTTTGATTTGGTATATCACACCGACACAGTATAGGTCATATGGTGACGTTCCACCTTTACTGGTGAAGGAAGACCTCAGGGGCCCTTCCGGGCATTATTTTAGGCACAAATGGGCACCTGAGTAGAACCACCATTGTTCCTTAAGCTAGCTGGATAGCTTCCTCACATGAAAGAATCCAAAATCCCTCTTGGGATTCAAAACCAAAAGCGGTGAGGTTTGAAGCCAAGGACCTTAACCACTCAGCCACGGACGCCCCTAACATACGACAGTTATCTGCCTATGATTTCAACTGAGCTTAAACATAATAAATAAGCATTTCAAGCAAATAAGCAATAGTTTTGATTGTATTGAAATCATTGACCATAACATGAAAGATAACCAACACTCAAAAAATATTTCACACTGTAAAAGGGGCATAACTGTACTAAAATGAATTTTTGGATTACATGCTCTTTTGAAATTGGTTCTTTATATGTTGACATTATGTTTATATTGTGCAAGTTTTCAAACTTTAAAATGATACATTGACAGAATATGAGTTTTCACAAATAGTTAACCAATACTGTTGCCATCTTAAGAGCAGAAGAAAAAGCTCAACATTTCCTCCCACAAAAAAAACATGTTCAGCTAAAAATGCTAATCCTCAATTAGCAATGCATAGATTCCTGACCTGTCTAATTAAATTATCGTATTAGTGGTTACAATAAGAATTTTCTTCCACAACTTATTTGTTAACAAAAAGGCACATGTCATTGTTTGTGGTTAAATCTGTTGTTATTCAATAAAAGGTCAGAGTAGGGATCAATGAAACTTATGACACAAGTTTAGGAACCAGTCAGGGCAGCTCTGTTCACCATAATCTCAGTGTTCTCTGTGTCACCTTGGTAACAATCTAACACAACCAGGAACCGTCTATCAGCACAGTCTTTCACCGTAGACATAATCTGCTGTATGTTTCCAAACTGGTTCCCAGCTTTTGATTCAGTATCTGAGTAAGCGGCACCAGTCAGAATGTTCAAAAAGGATGCGTCATCTTGAAGAGTATGTACTATTGGTAGGTGTGAGGTTAGGAGAACTTGACTGTTTAACCCAGCCCAAGTTATACTGATATACGGTACCTTTATACAATGCTCACCTGAAAAAAAACAACAATATACATGTACATGTAAACCAAATAATAAATAAGATTAGAGCTAATATCTAAGTCTTTGTTACATCATTATTAAGATCTTGCACAAATTATAAAAAGAGTAACTTAGAAAAGTATAACCTTATTTATCAATATTTGGCTTCAAAATTACCCTTTTTATGTTAAATCGCTGTAAATCTCACTAATTTGGAAGGGGGCTCCATGAAGAGGTGGAAGTGGCAGAAATAAAATACAAGAAAGTTATCCAGCAAAATGTTTTACTCATGCACACTAAACTATAGTCCTAATATTTAGACATTAACCACAGATTTGAAGTTATTTTTTACATAATAATATTATGTCAAATCCGCTTTTTCGATGAACGTAAAACTGTAAACAAAAAAGAAAATGCGAAGTCTTTCAAGGAAGGACTAACTACAATAATGCCTGATGATTATAATAAACCGGGGAAAAAACTTTTTCCTAACCGTTTTGGGTTAAGGGTTTGTCAAACAAGAAAGGTTTCTTTGAAAATTTTTTCAAAGAGAAAAAAGCTTTTCCTCTTAACTGATGTAATGTCTTTGCTTCTGCTAAGGTACCAGATTATGTCTGAAACAGCAAGCAAACAAAATTCTTTCCACCAGTAAAGCTGGAAAATTTGACATTTGACCCTTAGGCTATACAGTGTATAACCTAAAACCTAACCAAACTCATTTTTCCTTATACATGTACACTGAACATGAACGATCTCTTACCTATGTCTGTACCTCCTGTTTGCTGACCTGCCACTAGCTCTGTATGAGGGAATTGCAGTGATGACCTTAGTGCTTGCCAAAGGTCAGCTGAATATTTAATTGGGAAGGAAATATCTCGATCAAGATGGCCACTGCCTATAGACATCATGTTATGCTCGTTCTGGTATATATCTGGGTCTAATGTCATTTCTACATCACTTAACTTTGCCTATAAATGAATAATTAGTAATTGATGAATTGATTAATAATCAATTGAATCATTTATTAATCAGTTATTATCAGTTAAATAAATTAATTAATTCAATGAGATGGTACAAACAGGTTACTTCCCCTATTTATTCATGTAGTGTAATTTACTACATTTTGTAATAAAAAAATGTGTCGTCATGCCATGGATGCCCCCTCATGCAGCTAAAATATCAGATGTTATAATATTTAGTTCCAAATTTGTTTGCACAAACCTTTTTTTTTCATTTTAAGTTCAGAGCCCTTAAAACTATTCAATGTTAACACAAACCATTTTTATACAAAGTTCAGGCACTGAAACTATTCAATGTTAACCTTATGTAAATTGTATATTGCATATTTGTAGCAAAAATAATGGCTACAAAAGTCAGAAAGTATAAGTGCTAAAACTGAAAATTCAAAATTTTTCCAACATTCAAGAGAGACAACTTTGTCCAAAACCATGACCAAATTCAAACTTAAACTGTTTATTCCTAAGATGTATCTTTATGTCAAATTTGAGTTGAATGTGTACAACCATTGGAGAGATAATGAATGGAAACTAAAAATTTCTGAGTTTTTTCAAAATTCAAGAGGGATAACTCTGTTAGCTATCATTAAACAATTAAATTTGAATTGAATATATACAACTGTTGGGGAGTTAATGAACGGAAACTGAAAATTTCCTTTTTTTCCAAAGTTAAAGGGGCATTACTTTGCCAAAAATCATTGAACCATGACCAAATTTGAACTTGACCTGCGCATTCCTTTGACATATCATATGTCAAATTTGGGTTGAATTTGTAATACCATTGGAGCGATAATGAACGGGAACTGAAAATTTCATCAAGGGATATAACTCTGTCAAAAATCATCGGACCAAGACCAAATTCAAACATGACCTGTATTTTCTTATGATATATCCATATGACATATTTGAGTTGAATGTGTGCAACCGTTACAAAGACAATGAATGGAAACTGATGATGATTGAAGGACGGAATGACGGAACAGGGTAACACTATATGCACCTGCCATTTTATTGCGGGGGGCATAAAAATCCACCATGATGGGCAACGTCTGTTTTTCTTTACAAAAATCATTTCTTACAATCAAATATAGTAAAATATAGTGTGTACTACATACAAATAGCAAAATTCAAAGCCCTGTATGCCTTAAGAATTTTTATGTTAGTAGCTGAAAAATGTCATAAACTACCATCAAATTCCCAATTGAACAAAAATTAACAGGCCACCAATTTTACGATTTCCAATTTCTAAATAAATTTTAATACATACACATATATACACATGTAAACAATAGCAAGTAATAATTTGAATTTCAGTGAGTTTCATTTAGATAATTCGAAAGTAAGATAATGTTAACAAAATGATATCCTTCAATGCCACCACCCCCTTCATATTTTACTGCCTTTGTTAACATTAACAAAGATTCAAAATTCATTGCAGACATTTCATTTTTTGATATACATAAAAAAAGTAATTTGAAAAAATAATATTGAGCCTTTCTTTGCCTACCTTTTTCTGAGAACTCTTTTTAGTCATATGACTATTACAATGTTCCAGGTTGAACTTGACTTTGACCATTGTGGCCTGTACTAGGATCTGCCTGTATTCCCGGAAATTAAAACTTGTAAATGTATTCTCCCAGTCACCACTAGCTACAAGCTGTAATACAACAACCTATATTGTAAAATGCTTATTATAATACTGCATGTTTGTAACATCGCTTTTCAGTTGACAATTATGACATTATATATATTACCTGTATACAGAGCTGCAGTTGATTTATGAATTAATTTCAGATTTTTCCCTCATAAAGTAGTATTATTCATTCAGGGCTCGCACTGGCAGGAGCAATAAGCAAATTGGCTACATATTTATTAAACTGGCTCAAAAAAATTGTGACTGGCTCAAACTTACGAAAAGTATGACAGTCTAAATTTAGATTTCACTTTTTAATAGCCTTTCAACTTGGGTAATATTTACAAACAACTGTTAATATAAAGTCATATAACCTGTCAAACATCTTTATATCTAATAATATATGCAGGTACTAAATTGCATAATACTGACTGTGGAAAAAATAGAAGTCACAAAATAAAGATTTCAATTATTCATTTTCTGTATTTTCCTAATATTTTGCTGAAGTTTTTTTTTTTTTTTTTTTTTTTTTGGGGGGGGGGGGGGGGGAAGGGGGAGGATTCACATGTCTAGCCTATGCTTGCCATTCAACAAGTATTTTCACAGCAGCTTTTTAGTGTGTTACATGACAGCATAATATACTAAACATAGTTCAAAAAGAGCCATGTCAACATGGCCATCCCCCGCCGAATGTGTTTTCTCATTGGAAGAATGTATATGTAGTACAGCAGAATAATTCCATTTTAAGAGGTCTTTTGGTAATGAAAACTGATGGCTATAGTGATTACAGATTTGAAACCTATGTGAATACTGATGGCTGAAAATAACAAAGGGCAATAACTGAAAAATAATGCAGGGTAGGTTATCATTCTTGTGTGCTGCATCTCTCCTCAGTAAAATCTATCCACCTATGAAGTTTCAAGTTGATACCTCAAATACTTTTGAGAAAAAAATTGAATTGAAAAATTAAGTATGAAAAATAACAAAGGGCAATAACTCAAAAATTATAAAAGGTAGAGTTATCATTCTTGTGCACTGCACACCTCCTGAGTTAGATCTATGCACCTATGAAGTTTCATAATGATATCTCAAAGGCCTTTTGAGTTATGCTCTGGACAAAAATTAATTTTGAAAAATAAAAAAGGGCAATAACTAAACAATTATGCAGGGTAGAGTTATCATTCTTGTGCACTGCACTCTTCCTCAATGAGATACATCCACCTATGAAGTTTCAAGTTGATACCTCAAATACTTTTTGAGATAAGCTCCGGACAAAATACATGTAGTATGAAAAAGAACAAAGGGCAATAACTCAAAAATTGTACAGGGAAGAGTTATCATTCTAGTGCACAGCATTCCTCCTCAATAAAATCTATCCACCTATGACATTTCATGTTGACATCTCAAACACTTTGAGTTATGCTCCACTCGGGTGAAAAATTAGGTATGAAAAATAATAAAGGGCAATAACTCAAAAATTATGAAAGGTAGAGTTATCATTCTTGTGCACTGCACACCTCCTGAGTGAGATCTATGCACCTATGAAGTTTCATTTTGATATCTCAAAGGCTTTTTGAGTTATGCTCTGGACAAAAATTAATTTTAAAAAATAACAAAGGGCAATAACTCAAAAAATATGCAGGGTAGAGTTATCATTCTTGTGCACTGCACTCCTCCTCAATGAGATCCATCCACCTATGAAGTTTCAAGTTGATACCTCAAATACTTTTTGAGATAAGCTTCGGACAAAATAGCATGAAAAAGAACAAAGGGCAATAACTCAAAAATTGTTCAGGGAAGAGTTATCATTCTTGCGCACAACATTCCTCCTCAATAAGATCTATCCACCTATGACATTTCATGTTGATATGTCAAACACTTTTTGAGTTATGCTCCACTCAGGTGAAAAATTAAGTATGAAAAATAACAAAGGGCAATAACTCAAAAATTATGAAAGGTAGAGTTATCATTCTTGTGCACTGCACACCTCCTGAGTGAGATCTATGCACCTATGAAGTTTCATGTTGATATCTCATAGGCTTTTTGAGTTATGCTCTGGACAAAAATCAATTTTGAAAAATAACAAAGGGCAATAACTCAAAATGCAGGGTAGAGTTATCATTCTTGTGCACTGCACTCCTCCTCAATGAGGTCTATCCACCTATGAAGTTTCAAGTTGATTACTCAAATACTTTCAGAGATATGCTCCGGACAAAAATGTCGGACGGAAGGTCGGACGGACGGAGACTATTTCTATATCCCCCGCCGCCTTTTCGGCGGGGGATAATAATGGCTGGTGCTAAAAAAATTTCAAACTAAAATTTCAGACTATCTAATGTCAAAATTTTACGAAGTAATTATATTTTAACTTTTGCACTTGCATATCAAGAAATTTACATGCAAAATCAATCCTTAAAATCAAAGATTTTTCAAGCTGCCATAAATACATCCTAATGACAAATACAGTAATCTCCGCTTATAATGATATTCGGGGGACCGTCAAAATAATATCATTACATCCCAATATCATTATATTCGAGATGCAACCAATTTGAAAACAAGTCAGGACATCCACAGCAGCATCATAATAAGTGGTATATCATTATAAGCGATACAGTTATAAGTGGAGTTTACTGTACTGTATGTACATTTATAAATACATGTACATGACTGCAACAAATATCTTTTCCTATCATATATTATGTTGTCAGTAAATTTAAAAATTTCAACAGTATCCTATTGAATCAAACAGAAAACAAACTGTACAAAAACCTTACAAAAGACACTACATGCCAAAGTTACATTTCAGAAACTTTCAAAAAGGCAAATATCATAAGCAACTTACATACCTATGTGTCTTTTAGACAAGTTTTTATTGAATTTCTTAAAGGCAAATACCATGAACTTACTCACCTGTGTGTCTTTTAGACAAGTTTTTATTGAGTCGATTGTGTCTGGTAGAGGTGGAAAATTAATATAGCCACCAACACTTGACACAGCTAGCCGATTCTTGCATTCTTGTGCTGCGGCCCATTTCCATAACCTCTTTATTACAGGTTTCTCCTTTAACTCTTCATAAAGCTCTTCATTCAACAAACTTATCTGAATGTCACATTAATATGAGCTCATTTTCTTTTTATCAAACGTATAAATATTGAAATAATCTGTATCTGTACATATTTAACTAGAAATGTGTCATCATGCCACGGATGCCCCCGCATGCAGCCAAAATTTCAGATGTTATAATATTTAGTTCCAAATTTGTTTGCACAAATTATTGTTTTCATTTTAAGTTCAAAGCCCTTAAAACTTTTCAATGTTAACACAAACCATTTCCATACAATGTTCAAGGCACTGAAATTATTCAGTCTTAACCTTTTGAAAATAGCATATTTCATATTTGTAGCCAAAATAATGGCTACATATATTTCCACAAAAGTATGAGTGCTGAAACTGAAAGTTCAAAATTTTTCCAATATTCAAGAAAGATAAGTTTGTCGAAAATCATTGAACCACGACCAAATTCAAACTTAAACTGCTTATTCCTAAGATGTATCTATATTATTTTCAGTGAAAGGGACATAACTCTGCCAAAAAAATCATCGAACCATGACCAAATTCCAACTTGACCTGCCCATTCCTTTGACATATTCATATGTCAAATTTGAGTTGAATATGTAACACTGTTGGGTAGATAATGAACAGAAACTGTAAATTTCATATTAATTTCAAAGTGAAAGGGGCATTACTCTGCCAAAAATCATTGAACAATGAACAAATTAGAACTGGGCCTGGGCATTCCAAAAACATATCCATATGTCAAATTTGAGTTGAATGTGTTGTACTGTTGAGGATATAATAAACAGAAACTGAAAATTTCATATTATTTTCAAAGTAAAAGGAGCATAACTCTGCCAAAAATCATCAAACCATGACCAAATTCAAACTTAACCTGTATTTTCTCATGACATATCCATATGTCAAATTTGAGTTGAAAATGTTGTACCGTTGGGGAGATAATGAACGGAAACTGAAAATTTCATATTATTTTTAAGTAAAAGGGGCATTACTCTGCCAAAAATCATCGAACCATGACAAAATTCGAACTTGACCTGTATTTTCTCATGACATATCCATATGTCAAATTTGAGTTGAATGTGTTGTACTGTTGTGGAGATAATGAACGGAAACTGAAAATTTCATATTATTTTCAAAGTAAAAGGGGCATAACTCTGCCAAAAATCATCGAACCATGACCAAATTCGAACTTGACCTGTATTTTCTCATGACATATCAATATGTCAAATTTGAGTTGAATATTTTGTACCGTTGGGGAGATAATGAACGGAAACTGAAAATTTCATATTATTTTCAAAGTAAAAGGGGCATAACTCTACCAAAAATCATCGAACCATGACCAAATTCGAACTTGACCTGAATTGTTTCATGACATATCCATGTGTCAAATTTGAGTTGAATGTGTTGTACGGTTGGGGAGATAATGAACGGAAACTGAAAATTTCATATTATTTTCAAAGTAAAAGGGGCATAACTCTGCCAAAAATCATCAAACCATGACCAAATTCGAACTTGACCTGTATTTTCTCATGACATATCCATATGTCAAATTTGAGTTGAATATGTGCAACCCTTACTAAGATAATGAACGGAAACTGATGATGACGGAATGACAGAATGACGGAATGACGGAAGGACGGAATGACGGAAGGACGGAACAGGGTAACACTATATGCCCCGGCCATTACATGGCGGGGGCATAAAAAGGATTTTGTTTTAAACGTAATACTTTAGTTTTAAATGTGATACTTTAGACCTACATGTCCTAGTAAATTAATGTTACCTTGATAAACTAAACTGTTTCATAAATTACAGATAAATTAATCAGTTATTAAATATCTGAAACAACAGGGGACACTGATTGCATTGACAGTTTATTTTTCATTTCATCATAACACATGCCCGTCCATTCATTTGTCACAGTAAAATGATATATAGAAAACCATTCTATTTACCTGAGATTCAGCAGTGGTAGTAAGAAAAACCAGTCTACTTGTATGAGAAGTTGAAAGATGATCTAAATTCTGAACCAGTCTAACATGTGAACATACTAATTTTACACCAGGATGTATATCTAAATTTGTCATACCCTGAAACAGAATAAAATCTGAACCACTGTCACAGATTACTCACAGTTCTTAGTACTGTTTATGTTACAACAGAATAACATTGGAATAAATCAAATAATGAAATTTAATTGGATACAAAGAGACTAGCATGCATTTTTCATTTCTGTAATAACTACAGGCAAGCATTTGCATCTTTTAAGAGACTATTTCATGGAATGTGCAAGCATTTATACTTGTTCCATAGCTTTGTTGTTATCGGGACAATTATGACCAATTGTCCCATTTCATTATCAGAATATACATTACATGTGCAGTTGCAATGATAGTTAAGAAACTCAACAAGCACAATTATCGCTTGCTAAATTAATCTGTTGACACAAGTATCGCCCAATATTGAGGCTAAAATGCCAATATACTACTGGTATAGCTCTTATGTAATCACTGCTGTCACTCAAAGGATTGATAAATCAACACTGATCTATCAATCAATCTTGATAAAATAAAAGTCATAACACCACTTTACCAAACTTCTTTTGTCAATTTCCTTATACCAAGCAGTGTCAAAAGAGTTATAATCTAAATGGGATACCATGGATAAATACCCTACCTCTGCAATCTTGTATATTTGAAGATAGAATGGTTTAGAACTGGACGCGTCAATCAACTGTATCCATCTTCTTACCCAGAATCCACCGCTATCTACACCAAATTTATCTGCTTATAATACAGAAAATTATATTAAATTATGTCCCAACATTTTAAACAACTTTTTGGGAATAGGATATTTTTTTTTAAACACTTTACATTTAACCTGTAATTTGTTACTGAACATATAATAAGTAATGAAAATCCATAAATTCTGATTTACTATTAACCCTCTGAATATAGAACAGTCCATTTTAAGTTAAAACTAAACTTTCTTAGCTACGCATTTGCGTTGGTTTAAAGGTAAAGTTACGTTCAGTTTATTACTGGCATAATATACAGGTTCTGTTTAGTGAAACGCAATTAATGTACATTTAAGTTTTGCCCAAGTCCAAATTTACGTAAAACTTACAGAATGTTAGTGGAACACTCGCCAGGCTGATTACTTCCAGTACCAGCAGGTTAAAGGTTAATATCGAAACCAGAGCTGCATCAGTACTAAGGGTGTAGTACTTAAGTACCAGTACTTGGCAAATTATGCAGTACCATTAATACCAGTACCAGTACTAGATTTTAGCTCGGTACTGCAGTACCAGTACTTTTTTTGGTGAAGTAATTAAGTAGCAGTACCATTACTTTTATATATTCATCAAAGTTTGAATAAATACACAGTGTCAAACAAATAATTGCAAATATTATTCAGCAAAGAAATAAAATCATAATTTACTTTAAAGTTAACATAACATTTTTACAACTTTATAGTTTTAACATACTTTTTACAAACAATATTTACAACATATATTCATGTCATATCTTATTGTTTAGTAACCAGTCAACTGTAATACAATGCAATCATCTTTCATTTAAAACACAACAGTCTTTTGTTGCCTTTCACACCTTCACACCTCTGTTCAATTTATACCAAAGTAAATAACAACTTTTTATGGTGCTAACAATATCACTTGAAATAGGATTATTTAGAATAGAAGCAATTAATTAGTGATTATTTTGCTCTTTTACTAGTAAATACAAAGTAATAAAAGATTTTAATAAGGATATTTTAGGGTAAAGAGTTATTGAGTCTGTTTATCTCAATTTAATTTTTACTTAAAGTCTTTGGTGCTTTTTATGATGAATACTATGTTAACATTTGAAGGAATATTGCAGCAAATTATCTATAGATTTGATAACTTACTTTTTTCACAAAAATAAAATAATGTAATTTACAGCTTTATTTTTGTATTTTCTGATCGCAAGATCAGTAAATACATAGCTAACATAAAATTTCCTAACAGACCTAACAACGCAAAGTAGTTCTCACTCAAAACTACTTAAAAACCAGCAATTTAAAAGACAGAATAATTTTTAATGTAGGCATTTAACGAATTACAGTGCATTGAAAGTTCAGATTAGTCAATAGAAATATGAGGTTACAATCACAAATTTCGCGGATGAATATCATTTTAATCAATGAAAATGTTATTTTTAGCTATGTCGATTACTGAATACTCCAGGGCGTAGTACACAAATAAATCTGACTGCCGAGTAGTGGAATATATACATGTCGGACTGTTTTGGCAAGAAGAATTTCGCTAAATTATTTTTATCAGTGTTAAACAGGTTTATCGTGAACAAAATACCTCGAAATTGATAAGGATTACAAACACAAAATGGAAATTCTCAATTTAAAATTACAATGTATTTGTTTTTATTCAGGCTACATATTACGTATTACTTCACCGTGGTGCAGGGGTATCGCTCTGGTATCGCGCTCGTTTAGGGTGTGAGAGGCCTAAGGTTCAAATCCTAGTCGAGGCAACTTTTTTTTTAAGTGTCTTTTTTAAGGAAGTAGCCACGATATGCAAGGATAAAGTGTGGCTGTCATAAAAAATGATTTTTGATGCAACTCTAGTCATGCAAAATTCCATATGTATCAATCTCAAACTGTTATAGAAAAAAATCTTAACGCAGTCGATGCGTAAGATGTATTATAGTATATAAAAATAAACTTACATAGGAAAATACATACAGATAGTCAGTATGATTTAGATTGCAAAGATCAGAAAATACCACAGAGCTTGCAGCCCTTTGATTTGAGAAAGATTGATGCTATTTTTATCAAAACCAAAAGTACTGCCTAGTAATGCAGTAGCAGTACCACTTTTTAAGACAGTAATGCAGTACCAGTACCAGTAGTAGCAAAATTTTGTAAGAGTAATTTTGTATCAGTACCAGTAATTGCAAAATCGCTGCAGTACATACTCCAGTACCAGTACCAGTACCAGTAATGCAGCTCTGATCGAAACTGAGAAATAAGGAAAATTGAAATATAGGGAAAAACCTTTTCCCCTTTATCTCACAGGTAAAAAGACAAAGTTTGGTCCAGACAAGCATGATCTGGTAGGATGGACAGACTGATGAACATGACGTAAATCATTGTTTTTCGGGTTCTTGTTAGGTTTTACGTCACACTAACATAGTATAGGTCATATGCCAACTTGTGGATGAAAAAGTGAGGTGCTCTTCTGTGTATTATTTCTGGCATAAACGGATACCTGTTTAGAATCACAGTTTTTCCATAAGCTTGCTGGATAGCTTCCTTAGATGAAAGAATCCAAAGTTTCTGTCAGGATTCAAACCCACAACGATGAGGGTCAAGTGATTTTAATTCAACAACCATAATCACTTGGCCACAGACACCCTTAAGTAAATTATCACTAAGTTATAAAAGAATATATATTCTCAGTCAAGGAGCATGATCACATTATAAAGCACTGCCAGGCAGCCATTTGTACTGATTACACGGTGCTCACCCCAGTATGGTTTGATTAAAGTCATACATAACAACTGGTGAAACTATATCATCTAGAGGTAAGAAAAAAAATATAAACAAAACTCACTATTCATTGGCTCTCTCTCAAATCTCCCAACATATGACACTATCCCAGCTATATCACATATAAAATTGTTTGGTAAACATCTGAAAAATAATAATGACCAAAATAGATTTATTACTTACATGTATTGTGGAAAACTGTACATGTACCCATTGATTAAATTGATGAATCTGATTCATTTATCCAGCTACAATGTAAGTTTAAACCCCATTATGGACATTGAATTCTTTCAAGTGAAGAAGCTATCTAGCTAGCATAAGGGAACATTGGTACTTTAGTGCCTGTTATACTTGAAATGATAATTTCCAAATGTTTTCCTAAGTCAGTTAAGTTGGAAATGCCACCTTTTTTTTTTAAACCAAAACAACTTCAAACAAATATTTTACATATTTCACAAATAAACCAATGAAATTACAAAATTAACCTTTGATGCTTTTATTTAATGCTCTTCTTTTAAATCAAGACAATAGAATTAAACATAACAAGAGCTGTCCGTAAGACAGCGCGCTCGACTTTTTTATTGCTTGCCAATAAAAAAAGTTTTTGCAGTAAAAGGCAATACAAGAATCTCTGTATTTTTAAAGTGAACTAGTTGTTTGATACCCTTGAATATTACAGCAATGTTTATATGACATAATTTATGGTAAAGTGAACAAGTGGATAGGAATGAATTTTTTTAGATTTTTTAAGTTTTTTAGTGCTTGCCTATAATACAAAACATTGACAGTTAAGGGCCATAATTCAAATAAAATCTTTGACAGAATTACCTTCTCCTGGACATGTTTGGGAATCATGATTGTAAACAAGTATTCCAACTTTCAAATTAATATCTCAAACAGTTCAGTCAAAAAGTGGACTGGTACTAAAAACTTAACCAAGATTCTAAGTCGATAAAAGGCCTTAATTTTTAAAAACAAATCCTTGACAGAGTTACCTTCTCTTGCGTACAGATGGGGTAATGATGTGAAATAGCATTAAAAGTTTCAAAGCAATATCTCAAAGGGTTAAGGCAATAAGTGGATTTTACCCATATTCAATGTATTTTCTAAGTCAAAAAGGGGCATAATTCTGTCAAAAACCTTGACAGAGTTATGTCCTCTTGTCTGTTGATGAAGGTCGTGATGGTAAACAAGTATGGTCAGTTTCAAAGCAATACCTCCAATGGTTTTGAAATAAAGTGAGGTGGTACAAAAAACTTAACCAAGCTCAATACACTTTCTAAGTCAAAAAAGGGCCATAATTCTGTCAAAAACCTTGACAGAGTTATGTACTCTTGTCTGTAGATGGAGGTTATGATGGTGAACAAGTATGGTAAGTTTCAAAGCCATACTTGTAATACTTCTGAAATAAAGTGGGGTGGTACGAAAAACTTAACCAAGGTGTGACGCCGACGCCGGGGCGAGTAGGATAGCTCCCCTTTTCATAGAAAAGTCGAGCTAAAAATCATGAGATTGTAGTACTTGGAAAAGACCCTAACACTGGTTTATGAAAAAACAAGATGCACATATTTACATCATTCCCAAAAACATTCAGATTTATCATTAGTCAACAGTAAAAATTGTTTTCCTTTATCAATTATGAATCAGTTTGGTATTACAAATCCTGTTTTAAAGATCTCCTCTGTTTTATAGGAACTTTGAATTATTTCAAGTAGAGTCACCCAAATTTCTTTCCCTGCCAGCAGAATTTTCAAATAAGACCATAACAGTGTCTGATTAACTTAAATATAACTACCCTGCTTGCTTTCTTGTAATAAAGTTGTACTGCAGGGGAGGTAACTCTATCTCATCAGGTATAGACGCATTATCGAAGACTCGAACTTCCGACTCAGGATGATGACTGTTCAGGTTGATGTCTATGTCAAAGAACTGGGTGTTCTGTAGCCGGGGTTTGAACCTGGGTTGAGATTGGAAACTCTTCTTTACTGTAAACTTCTTGAGTAATAATACAGTTCCTTCTTTAATGCTGAATAATATAATGAGGACATTCAAATAAAATAACTTTTTATTTTTTTAAAAGTGTTTACCTTAAAGGGACTCCAATGTGTTATTTTTTGACATATAGGGACTGAAAATACTTTTTCAAGATTTGATTTTTGTATTACTGGATGTAGGTATGGACCAATAACTTACATTCAAAATTTCAGATAATGCACTCACTCCATTTTCCAGGAATAATCAATATTATAGTAAATTTGACCCAAAATTAAACACTTTTCGCTCAAATCAACCCAAAAATCACATAGAAATTGATTGTCAATTTAATACCAAGTATATCTTTATAATATCTATTGCAAAGTTTTTCATTTAAGTATACCATGCAGTGGATTTTATAAAAGTATTTCAAATTTTATGATTTTAGTCTATTGGACCTCAGTGGAGTTTCTTTAATATGATGTAACATTTACATTTTTTTTACATACATGAAATTGATAATAATTATCTTTAGTAAGCAAGAAAGACAAAAAGTGCTCAGTAACATAATGAAGAGCATTATTTTCTTTAAATTAATCAAAAATTCTTGTTCATTATACTGAAGAAGAAAAAATCTGATCATCTTATAGCAATTTAGCTTTTTTTTTCAGTTTCAGTTCATTTAACTTACCTGAAATAAAATCTTGGACACATGGCATTCCACAGAACTGCTGTACAAGCCCCAGTTTTGTCCCCAATCAGCAGATGTGCCTGAAACAGTACATGTATGCATAACCACTATGAACCCTTATCCTACTAAATTTGTGTAAAAGACTTTAAATATAGAAGTATTTGTTTTCAGCTCGATTGTGATTAAAGTTTGAAACTAACTTGAAAACTCTTGAGTTCAATTCCCGAAATTAACCGGAACAGGTGTAATATGAGGAAAACAGGATCAAACCCCCTATCCCTGGGTTCAGAGGGGGATACCTTTAACATGAGGACACCCCTCCCCTTTATATTGGTGGCATAGATTTGTTATTGTTTCAGATAGCTCTCAATGTACAAATGTAATTAATTTTACATAAGAACTTCATACATATATTTGTTGAACATTGAATGTTTTCTTTACACAAAACTTTTCTTTACACAAAACTTGTTGGATTTCTCCCTGTAATGGAAAATAAGTTTGTTGTTTACAAAAATCACACTCACCTACCAGTGGCCAAAATGGTCATGAGTCATCAAATTGGCCTCTCAGCCACTGAAGCACTTCATATTACACTTAGTATCGATATATGTATAAAGCATTAAAGTCTCATAATTCCCTCTTATTTTCTTACCTGGAATGGCCATTTATCATTCTTTCCAGGTTTGGCGTAGTGAATCATCCGAGATTTTAGCAAGACTTTCACCATCAACACGGGGTTAGCTATTTTCACTGTGCTCCATTTCTTGGCCAAGTCTTTAATGCTGTAGATATCCTGTATTTTTGTATCACATAGCTTAGTCACAGCAGGCACTTTTGAATAGATAAAGTTTATAATTCAGAATAGTAATATTACTAATAAAGGTTTATTACCGTAACAGCAGATGGAAGTAACAAGCTTGAAAAAAAAGACCAAACAGTTGCTGCAAAATAACCAAGTCTAGCATGTGACAGAATGGATTCAACAAAAGATAATGAAATTTGGCTTTAAAAATGGGACAACTTTCCTGCAAAAATTTATTTGTATGACATTTTAAAGAGTACAACTATCTTGCTCAATCAAATATTAATTAAAATATATGCATTCATTTCTTATTGTAAAATTTAAATTTTACTCAGACCTTATAAAATTTTTTTTTTACTACCTCCCTTTCTTTACATGAAATGTTAAATTCGGTAATATCTGTATAAGTTATGCTTTTTGGAACTTACAAAATTGATAAATTTTAATTTGAGCATCAAATTTATGATATAAAACCATAAAAAATTTGTGTTACAGGATCTTTATAAGGATCAAATAAGGAATGTACATTTAAAATGATCATTTGACCTCACAGCTTAACCTTTACTTAAAACCCTATGTGAATATGTAAATTGTATCTGTCAAGCCATTTTGAGTCGTAAAATTATGTTAATTTGGAAAAATAATAACCAAATTATGGATTTTTATATAGTAACTTGAAAGTTTTGGATTCCATTTTAGAAAAAAAAGGCATTTTCTGCAATGGGAACAGAGCTGTTTACAAAGCAAGTATAAATGAGATAAAAACTGGCCTGTCTAGGTTACCAGATATCATTTATTCAACATACTTTTCTACAGATATGAAACAAAATCTAAGAAAGCATCGTCACCTGTAGTTTTCCAGATAGGTCCATACATTTCCATTGTAGACCAAACACTGGTAAAATACCCTCTTGATGATGTCATAGGAATATACATCTGTTCTAAATACCCACTGTCTTCACACCATTGTAAACTGCTTAACTCTGTTGAATTTTTGTGTACAAAAGATTTTATATTACACAAGAATGACATATAGTATACACAGTTCAGTCTGTACATTTAAATATACATATGCATATTTTGTTAGCAATCTACACATATGAATGGACTGGTGGCATGTTGATGAAGCGATTTTGTTTTAAAGCACTACTTTTTGTGTTATAGCACTACTTTTTGTGTTATAGCACTACTTTTTGTTTTAAAGCACTATTAGGGTAGCACTATGACATTGTTCCAAGGAGAATTAAGGATATCGAATGAGTGTAGGTTCAATTCTTAGTAATGAATCTTCACAAAAATGGCATTCCATGAACCTTCATAAATATAACATTTTATTTATAACATCCTTAATATGATCTATTTTTCAAATAAAATAACGTTTTTCATTGATGTACCTACAGTGTAATGATAACATTTAGCATGGTTTTACGCCATGTACTTATAATGTAAAATGATGTCACATCAAAATATTTATATGCACGGCTGTGCCATATTATTTTTATGGAGTTGTTAAAGCTGCATGGGCATGCCATAAATGCCTTTTTGATTCCCTTTGTTCAACACCATCAGAAGCAATGGATTTATTAAATGACATCATTAAATAACACATCTTTCAAAGACTTAACAAGAATATAAAAGAAACACTTTTTACATCAAATACTAGTATACCTGAAGGATCTTCGAGCTCCTTAAAACCAGTGACCTGAACCTCTTCCACAATGACAACATTACTACCAGACAGATCAGTCTCGTCAAAATGTAGCCGACATTTCTTTAACCTCACTGTGTGACCGGCTTGCAGCTGTAAAAAATATTCAAAGTATTCATAAAATATAACATTACTGGAGCAAATGATTGTTGTATCCTTAAAATTTCCCCAGATTAACTCTGCTAGCAGCAACTTATTCTATCTATGTGACAAGCGCAGACAAAGATACCATAAGCTGATATATTTGTGCCAATCCATCTGATATTAGTCAGCTCTGTTTGCTATTCAGTCAGTTTAGATGTAGAAATGGTTTTGTCAAGACTGAAAGATGGACATTTCCAGAGCTGCAGCAGGAGAAAATTGAATTATGCTTCTTGTCTACAACTAAATCTTATCATGATTTTTATGAAGTTAAGTATTGATACCTTTAAGGTTGTTTTAGAAAAGGGCTACATTTAAGTTTTAGAACAACGATGACAAGGAAAATGCAGCAATAATAATAGCTATACTTTTTATTTGAAACAAACAAGCTAAAGATTAAATCTGAATTTATACCTTACAAGTCTGCACCAGTTTGTTTAACTGAGGAGACAATATGGCCCTCATCTTATGTGTAGTGTCAACCAATGTGATCTGTATAACATCCAGTAACTGACCTTGACCACCAATGACCCCAATCTGAGACACATGCTTAGGGTCATTTAAATATCTGTGCACTGCAATTATCTGTAAATAAGAAAACTAGAATTACTTATAGAAGTAAATAGAGGTGACTTTTGACCTTCCAGTGCTGTAATATTGTACATTGTAACAATAATTATGTTGAAAAAGTAAAAATTTCTTCTGTTTCTTTTTTGTTTTGTTTTTTCAAATTAGATTTTTACAAATGTCAAAGAGATAAAAACACAACAACAATATCTTGGAATCAAATTACAAAGGTTTAAAGTATTAAATAATAAGATTGTACATTGCACTTTTTAATGTAAAATGTAAAAGTTGCCCTAAACATGTCATGTATTTGTTTATTGACATAATATCTGATGAAATCTGGCATTATTAGTATTCCTTTCCCTAATATCTTAACTTATTCAGTAGAATCTTTGACAGTTTACTCTTGTTAACATAATTCTATGATAACAATTTGACCATGAACCAAAACTGGCTAAAAGAAAGCCTAAATCAGTGAATGAAATGCCAAAAGGTACAGAAATCACCCGGTCTTGGTCTAGATTGATGGTGTACTGTGCTTCTTTCATGAGCTTGCCTAACCTTACAGTTGTATCTCCTTTCTATATGACTTTGCTTTTCAGTTTCATACCTATGTCATCATTAATTAAGATTGTCATTAATACCTCTTTTTAACCAATATCACCTCTATGATCAGGGTCTTTCAAATAGAATGGTCTGGAAACACGCTATGTAAACCCTTCTCGCTACAATTAAACATGTCTCGGTATAAATCGGTATAGTTTGATATAAGCAAATTATATAAGAGTTCAAGAAAAGGGCGAATATTAAATACAAGAGCAAAAATGAAAATTTTAACGACATGATGTTAATTAAAAATCTTTTAAGTTTTGAAAAAAGGATAAATATTTCAGGAAATGATGTTTTTAAAGTCATCTTTGTTAAAAAAGATAGATTGTTTGTTCAGAATATTTGTCGGTAATCGGCGCCATTTTGAAAATGCACCAAATTAAACATCAAATATTTGCAAATAAAATCGTGAAATATTATAATATTTTTACATGATACGATTTAATAACATCTTTTCTCTGTAAAATCAATTTCTATTTTGTCATTGAACAATGCATAAATTTGGAAAAGCTCATGGAACTCGGACCTATTTTCAAACAGAGCAGTAGATTTTTACCTTGACACCGGGAACAAAAAATTTCTAATTTCATTGCAAATCTTTGAAATTGTTACTTTTAAAGTAAAAACTGATACAGAGTTAGTTTTTAGTAATTTTTTGATTGATTTAACAAAGCATTATCTTATAATTTGATTTTTGAATGATGATCGATGTGCCATGCCATATATCACTGTCGGTAGATAACCCAATCACGTGACTCAACCGAGACAGCAGTCACAGCATTTTTCGTAAAATTGGTCTGTCTCCAGACCATTCTATTTGAAAGACCCTGCTATGATGTAGTATTTTAAAGACTTAGACCAGGTCGCCTCTAAATTAAACAAATAGTAGGCTAGAATTTCAAGATGCTGTTCATCTCATGTATATTTAGTCACGTACATAGTTTACTAATTTTGTAAACAATAATTCACAGATATTGCCAAAGTTTAACAAGAGCGCAAAAATCAAAGACTGGCGGGAAAACCCGATTATCACCAAAATGCTCAAAAGATTGTTGGTCTGAATCTGACTATCGTATATTTTGGGAGCGCAAACAGGACGTTTCTGCCCCAAACCAAATCGGCCCTTGGGCAAAAATTGGTCCCTAGACGTTTCAGCCCTTTTCCGGGAGACATTTTGGTCCTTTATTATTGCAGTTTTATCTAAGTATTTATAAAAGGAATTTTTTTTCTTAAAATCATTAAAAATTGTAGTATATTGATTGATTGATGGCACACAAACACTGTGACATTTTAATCCTTAAGGTATTAGCACCCTAATGCATTACCTCTGCTTTGAAGAGTATTCAAATAGGCTAGAATTACTGTTAACTACATTGAAAATGAGGGCCATGGGTTCAATCCCCAGAAGGGTAAACTTTTTTTTTCTTTCTTTTTTTCTTTTAACATTATTTATGTATCCCTCATGTCCCATATGGAAAGAAAAAAGTGTTTAATTTTGAATTTTTAATTTATATAGGTATTTATTGGCTAAATTATGCTAGATCTAGTAATAAATATGGTACCTGATAATTTCAAAGTGTAATATAATCAAAACTAGACGGTAAAAGTATTTCATTTTTTACAAGATCAACCAATATACTTTTTTAAAAATTTAGGGAAACTTTGAAAACAGGCACTCATTTGGGTAAATTTTAAGAATTTTTTTATTTAGGCTCCTAAAGTAGAAAAATGGTCAGACATGAGGTAAAAATGGGTGGGGTAGGGTAACATTTTTATACAGATTTCATAAATTTTAAGTAGAAACTATAATTTTGCTTATGTGGATTGTTAGCTGAATGGTACTATTTGTTTCTTACCAAAAATTCATGGGAAAAATTTTTCATTAGAATGTTATTGCAGATTATTTAAAGGTTCCTCATTTCTAAAAAAGGGCCCTCATAACATCCTAGCTTGAGTTCAGAAAAGTGGCCATAACTTGATTTCTGTACGGTAAACTTTGTTTAAATTTTGCATACAGGTGTACTGTAAGGTATACATCTGACCTATGATGTCAATTCTTTAGTTCCTGATAGTGCCCATTAGGGTCCTAATACCTTAATTGATAATCCATAATAGATCTATCAATCACTATTAAGATAAATGCTTTTTTTCAAGGTGTAACATTAATACACCTAAATAAAGACACTTAATCTTTAATTTATAAGACAGCTGACAAATGCAAAAACTTTTTGATTAACAAAATTAATTACAAACATACTTCAAAAATCATTATCTTTTGATCTCTTTTAATCTTTAGCCAACACTTTAGATATATGTTTTTTTTTTTCAAGGTTAACAAATTAATTATTAATATAGCGTATTGCTTATTAGCCGTTAGTTATAATATTATGCTCTGATTGAAAATCTATTACTTTTATTGTAAAAAAGGTTTGTTTTTTTTATATAAAAAATGTCTGTTTACAATGTATTGTTTGTTTTATCTTAAAATTTTGCTCTGTTTGTTTTGATTACTACTATTTTAGTCTCATTCAATTAAAAATAATAATTTAATTATTCAATTAATTCTCCTCATTCCTTTTATTCTTGAAATTAAAATTCTGGTATAAAACGCATTAAGGTAAGACTTGATCTTAACTAAATATGGGGCCGATTTGGTAAAGGGCCGAAACGTCTTGCATACTTTGGGGCCGATACGTCTTGGGGCCAAAATGACTCGAAATCTTTGGGAACTTCCTATCTGTTGTATATATGGTATATATACCTGTGATGACACCTTAAAAACAGAAAATATAAAATAAAAAACGAATGATTATTTTACTGACTTTCGCATTCATAGGCGTTGCCTTAATTCATATCATTAAACAGGCCGGAGTTTCTCGTGGGAAAAGGAACGATTATTCTTTTCACCGATTTTTACATTTGGCCGATTTGGTTTGGGGCCGAAACGTCTTTTTTGCTACCAATTTCATACAAAAGTCGGCCGATCGGTCCTAAAATTTGACTAAGTTAAATAAGGGGGTGTATATAAGAAAAGTAAAATAGTTTACCAAAAATTCGGATGTTTCTAATTCGCTCTTTGATATACTGGCTTTGCGAATTGATTTTCTTAAAGATGAAATGGTTTCGCATTTTGTTTTGGCCGCCATAACCGGCGTCGTAAAACTAAACGACTGTGAAATTTACAATTCGGGGGTGGGGGCGGGGCGGCTTGTTTATGCCGCATTTTGCACAGGGGGGGCCACACAGTGTTTGGATGGTATATACTGCTTGATAGTGACCTTAAAATGAGATTTTAGTCATAACCTTATAATATGTATATAAATGTAGACATTTATATACATATTATAAGGTACATTTATATACATATTATAAGGTTATGACTAAAATCTCATTTTAAGGTCACTATCAAGCAGTATATACCATCCAAACACTGTGTGGGCCCCCTGTGGCCCCTTGTCTATATTTATATACATATTATAAGGTTATGACTAAAATCTCATTTTAAGGTCACTATCAAGCAGTATATACCATCCAAACACTGTGTGGGCCCCCTGTGGCATTTTGTATGACGTGGTACGTATTGCTTGATATTGCATTAGCTAAGTGACTATTGTTACTTTAAAACTATTGCAAGGGATATATAGATCTACCTTCAATTCTCTAGAGGCATTTTACCTAATGATTGTCATGCACTTAAAAAATAATTTCCTTATTTGAATCTTTTTGGCACACCATGCAAACATTTGATATAAAAACGTTTAAATGCATCAGTTCTTAACGCCAGTGTACAATCAGAGACATAGATAACATTGTTATCTAGTACTGGTCCGTACTTGACAGCGAAAGCTGCCGGGCTGATGGACCCTCATTAAGGCCAAGTCCAATGGAGATCACAGTCATGTGTGTGTAGCTAAGTTAGAAACTACACCATATTCCCCGAATTTCTCTATAATCCCAATCAAAGACAGATCTATATATATACCTTAGTCGCTGTACATAATTAATATGGCTTTGTCACCTTGTTCACCTTATAGTGTATTACGCTACACGTGCACGTGACTCTCTCGTGCACCGTGCACAATTGATCTGAAGTTAATGAATTAAACTGTAATCACCATGTAATGCATTCGGATTAAACATAATCTAGATTTATAGATCTAGATCAGTACAGTACTGTACTTTAATTACATAGAAAATATTTATTATTTTTTATTTGAGTACACCAGGGTCATTCTATTTGAAAGACCCTGACAAATCTAAGCATTTTGCAGATCTCATAAATCTTGAGGTACATATTTTTAGATCTATCTGATTTTTGCACCTTTAGCTTAGCAAAGCGAAACCAATATAATACGGTGTTGTCATAACCAAATATGGCCGTTTAACCCATATTTGGCGGATATCTTTACCATAATTGGAATGTCCTAGATTTTGCGCGCGCAGTGATATTTGCATTATTTTTTTGCTTGCAAAGAATTAAGATCTGTTTTGTATCTTTTGTGACGTGAATTGTTACAGAAGGCGAAAAACAGTGTAATACGATAAACTGTTACACTTTTAATATTTTTATCATTTCTTCTCACCTTGTATTCTCGAGGTAATGCTGTAAACAGGACTATTTCTTGCGCGGATGTACACACAAGGTAGTTACGCGTCTTCGCCCGATTAGGAAGAAGACACAAACACGGATTCTTTGAGAAAATTTACCGAATAAGAATAGTGTTTCAAATGGACTCTTCATCTCCAGATTTAAAGGTTTTATCAGCTCCTCAAATGTACAACATGGATTTATTAAATGGCGGACATCTAGGCAATCAGCCAGCTTTTCCTGGACAGGCTTACGGTGCGGGAAATAAGGGCATCACGTTGGAGCAAGTGGATCCGTCAACATTTGAAGATGATTCCGACGATGACGAATTTGGCACGGGCAAAGGGCTGCGGCCCGGGAAAAAGACGAAAGGACGAGTTAAAATTAAAATGGAATTTATTGAAAATAAACTCCGAAGATATACAACATTTAGTAAACGGAAAACTGGGATAATGAAAAAGGTAGGTCAACCTTGTGGCGTAGTAGCATGACCCATATTTGGGTATGACTACTACGAAATCGTGTATTGATTGTGTATTCGATAAGTTTTGCCCATTCATGACCGTAGAACTTATGATACGCTGGGTTGATGTAAAGTGATTGCAAAAGAAGAAATCTGTATTGGCATTAGAGAAAATGAAAGTAAAATGTCAAATTTTAATGGTTGGTCGGTCTATATTTAAGATTTTAGCTGATAATTTGCTGATATTGCAGTTTCATTATCAATGGAAATGAAAGTAACCTATTTTTAAACATGATTAAGTTACATTGAGTCATGTCTGTGGTTCATTTAAAATCAAACACAAATTTATGAGGTTGGTTAGTTGATTTTAAAAGCACAATAATTTGAATAAAATAGAAAAAGATATTGTCAGGTGAAATTGTCTATCCATAAAAAGACATTATTTCTAACTATAAATGTCCACATGTAATGTGACAATTGAGACCAGTATTTGAAAATGTAATTGTTTGTCATTCAAATGCTATTCATTTACTGATCACAATGTTTCTATTCACATTATTATATAACATTATAATTTGCTTTCATTTTCGTCAGTGATTTTAGAAACACTTCAGACAATGAGCTAAAAATATTAGTTAATTCTGTCATTTCAGGCTTATGAGCTGTCAACACTTACTGGTACTCAAGTCATGCTCTTAGTCGCAAGTGAGACTGGGCATGTGTACACTTTTGCTACCCGTAAACTTCAACCCATGATAACTAGTGAAAGTGGTAAGGCCCTGATTCAGACCTGTCTCAACTCCCCGGACCCACCACCCATAGCCCCAGGGCAGCAACAGGCTGTGGAACAGAGGATGAACCCTGGTGGATTTGAGGAGACCGAGCTCACATATGCTGTAGAGGAAGAAAATGGGAAGGTATGCATCGTATATTTCAATAATTTTAGACCCCTTGCTTTTTGATTAACCACTGGAATTTTTAAACAGAAAGTGAGTAAGCAGTCATAAGGTCCTCTGTTTATTTTAAGTAACAAAAAAAAACCTAACAAGCACAGTCTTTGAGTTGAAATAATGCATGGTGAATAAAAAACAATCTAGAAAAAGTGCTTAAATTTGGATGATCATCTGAAAATAATGATTAAAAATTTTATATTTCATTTAAAATTTTTTTAAATGGATCAGTCTGCAAGTAATGTATGTCAGACTTTCCTTCGCTGAAGACTAGGAAGTGCATGCATGTATTGATATTTACTATATGAACTTAACATGGTTTAGCCTTTTATTTTCTGCTATGATACCATATGAAAATATCTATTTGCCCAGTATATATTATGCTCTTTTACATTACAATTTAAGCTTTTATAATATACACATGTATATTTTGATAACAAAACTAATATAATACAATGATGTCATTGAAAACTTTTTAAGATTTTTCTATTAGATGATAAAACAAGGATTTATTAATTGTAAAACATATTATAATTGTCTCATAAAATTGCCTTATATAATTATTTATCATACATGTACATTTGTTTATTATTTTTCCATATTTATGTTCTAGTGCTTGTTAAGTATATACTACATAAAGTTGCCATAAATAAAAATATAATTCTCATTATCCATAGAAAAAATTGTGAACAATGAAAAAAGCCAGAAAGGCTTATCAGTTATCTGCTTGAGGCATGTCTATAAAACTGACTGCATAAAAGGCATAAACATGTGTGTATGGTAAACAGAAGCTGTAGACAAAGAAGGTCAGGATATCCTGTTTAGTGTTTATTCTATACATGCCAAATGGGATGTAATTACAAACAGATGCTGTTCACAGCAGTATCCCTACATATTTTAGGCTGATGTTGAGCTTAGATGTTAGAATGTAAGTCAGTAATTTAAGATAATATCTTCATGTCCAAATTGAGGAAGATGAAAATGTATTCATACCTAATTTTGGTTTTGAGTGTGAAATGAAAATACTTTGAAGTGATTTTCCTGCTTACATAACAGACTCAGATAAAAGGCCTCTTCCCAATTGAAATTTTCTTTAGAATCATGCAGTTTTCCCAAAAATCTGAACTTAAACCTGCTTTTTTACTTCCCAAATTAGCAATTTTAGCGATATTTTTTTCCCAAAATCAAATGGCTGAGGGCTGAGAAAAATCACTGCTAAGTTGATTAATTCAGGTTTATACACATACCTTATAATTTTAAGTATTTTGTGAAAAGAAGCGAATGAATAGAAAATGTGTGAATTTTCAAATTATCATAAATTTATTTTTTTCATATATTGAATTAAATTTTACTGTTGCAAAAATGATCAAATATAGACTTTCCTTACAAGTTGAAATAATTGAAGTATATTAAAAATAAATGAAAAACATTAATTCTTGAAATTAAATATTATAAAAGTCACTGTGATATTAAAATAAAAGGTGATTTTCAGCCCATATATTCAAATAGATACTTGACCTTAGTTTTACAGAATACATGAACATTATATGGATTCTTTTATATTAAAACATCAATATGTTTCAGAGAGAGGAGGATTTTATTTACTTAATACAAAGACCCTGAAGTCACCACCCCATACCTTTAAAATAATAAATGCATTTAAAATTCATTCTTGAAATAAATGAAGATACATGGTTAAAGTCATCTGAACTATCATTTTAGGCTAGCCACTATGAAGATGACCATTATTTCAACCATGAAAAACACAGGTTATGTTTCCTGATAATTATATTTGGGAAATAAATAAATACAATTTAAAATTTAAGTGCACTTAATGGAAGAAGTAAGGTTCTTAAGATCAGGCTGTGTCAAAATGATTTAAGTGCTCTTTACAGGGTAACTATGGTTTCCCTAGAAAATCTTGCAGAATATTAGGAACAAAACACATTAGCAGTCTTGCTTGCAGAGTTTCTCATTTAGGAAAACTCATCTCTGTGGAATGTATGTTTTTGGCTTTAGATTGTACCTGTCAAAATTTGGCCCTGGGGAGGTGGGACAGGGGGGTCTCAGAGAACAGGGAACAGAATAAGAAATTGTTCATGTAGGTGATTTAAATAGTAGGTAGTTGATACAATAGCTGCTGGTGTAACTGATAGTTAAATTTTAATTATAGAATTTAGGAATAATTTATACCTTATACTACAATAAAATATGTAAATTTGATGTTTTGCTTGAAACCCTATACAAACTTTGTCAGAACCTCATTTTGTTCTTGTTTGTTTAATATGACTGGAGAAATTGTGCATATTTTAAGGAATCTTGTTTGGCTATAGTTAATTGAGAAAATATTGATTAATTTCATCTGATTATTTCATTGACAATATTGTAACTGCCAGTATATAGAAATCTTCCTGCAGTGAAATAATCCAAACATAATTATTAATGATATAAAGGGCCCCAAGCCGAACCTCTTATTTTTGCAATTTTTGTAGGCAGGTAAATTCTGCTAGAGAATTATATCTGGGGGAGGTAGCTGGATCTAAATTTGGCCCACTGCCCTTACCTGGAACTTGATTTCCATCTGTTAACTTCCATTAATTCTGGCAGCAGTGATTCAGTTTTACCCAGCCTACACAGGGCTTATCAGCATTTCACAAAAGCTGTAACAGTGGCTGTTAAAGATAGCATTTATTAGGCTGTTTTTTGTTACAAAATTTTCTGTTTTAAAGTCAGAATTTTTTTTTTACCTTGTTCTCTGAAGGAATTGTGATTTATATGTTAATATTAACAGTTCTGTTTACCTTCAAGTAGAAAATGTTACACTTATTTTAAAGGTTTTTTTCCTTATAATATATTTATAAATAATGTATTTTTGATTTATATAAAGGCTTTTTTTTGTATGCCATATTTTTTTTATTTCTAGAGATTATTTAATTAATTTTATAATTTAGTAATTTATAAAGTCTGCTTAATTTTTGTAAATATGAATTTGAGATGAAAGTTAACAACTTTCTTATAAATTTTAGGGAGATTTTTTTGTTGTTGTTGAATATTTTTTTCATTATATTTCTCTGAAAGCTTATTGTTCAAATGTGGAATTCTATCCATAATTAGATTTATATCATATAAGTGGCAAAAACAGAAATAAAACAAATCTATTATTTATATAAATGCTGTTTTTTTACACCTCAATTTTTCTTCCAAAGTTCCACTTAGCCAAGGCATTTGAGATCTTAAAGATTGGTTCATGCTTTTTCCCAGAATGTGGAATTTTCCATTACAGAAACCTGATGTTTTGCCATATTTTTGGAAGCAGTCTGTATTTGCTGAGAGTAATCAGTCTCACCAGGGGGCGCTTTGTGTGAAATTGCCTCTGAATCTGTCAGATCTTGAAACTGTTTACTGACTGATAAGCCTTTTACATATGGCCTTTATTTGTGTGAGAGAATGATTCGTTTTGGCATTTAATATCTGTGTAACAGCAGCTAAGTGATATGAGTCAGGAGTTTTCCTAAAGTAGAGAGGGCTGTATGCAAATGCAAGAAAAGAAAGGCCGGCTTTATTTTTTTGTTAGGTTAACATGCATCTTTTGTAGATATAAGGTTATAAACTGAGGTTAATAATCCCTGCTCTGCTTTAAGTGATTGTAAAATGGCTGCACTCTGACTCATTCATCCCCACTTCTAAAAATGTCAAAATTGCAGATAATTAAAAAAATATATCAAATTATCAAACACTTTTCTAAATAGTTTTCAACTTTGCATTATATATTCATCATAAATGTATAATTACATAAACTAGCAAAATCCTAATGTGTACTGTTCATAACTCAGGGTAAATTATAATAAAAATTCCCTGATTTTTTTCACCATTTTCTCTAAATTTGGATTTTCACAAGAATCCAGGTCCTGAAAGGATCCTAATTCACATTCAATATGGATAAAACCAATAGCCATGCTAAATAACTCCTAATGAAAGGCAGGTTTAGGATAAATTGTCCAAATATGCTCAACTTATCATACAAAATATACTGATACACTCAACTTATTATTATGATACTATTAAAGGTTGTTTAGTTCAATACTGAATTCTTTTGGAAAGGTCAGAGACATAGATAACATGTTATCTATGTCTCTAGAAAGGTACACAACTGTCAGACCTTTATTAGTATGATATGCAATTGATAGAGAAGCTTTGGACTCTGTAAATGGAAACAAGGCTGTATTGATAGGATTTGATCTGATAATGATTTCTATTATTTTCATTAAGTTTAAATATGAGATTTTCTGAATTGTTCATCATGGTAAATTTGCATTGTATATTCTGTAATTTTAGCCAATTATGATGGATGGGTCTGGAGGTCTTAAGCCAGTGTATACAATGAACAATAGTCCAACAATACAAGAGAATTACAGTCAGTCACCAGTATCACAGGCTGTTGTACAACAGACACAGATTCAGCCACAGACTCAAACATATCAAACCACATCCACAGGTAGGTTCATGTTTTATAAAACCACATCCACAGGCATGTTCATGTTTTATCAAACCACATCCACCAGTATGTTCATGTTTTATCAAACCACATCCACAGGTATGTTCATGTTTTATCAAACCACATCCACAGGCATGTTCATGTTTTATCAAACCACATCCACAGGTATGTTCATGTTTTATCAAACCACATCCACAGGTATGTTCATGTTTTATCAAACCACATCCACAGGCATGTTCATGTTTTATCAAACCACATCCACAGGTATGTTCATGTTTTATCAAACCACATCCACAGGTATGTTCATGTTTTATCAAACCACATCCACAGGCATGTTCATGTTTTATCAAACCACATCCATAGGTATGTTCATGTTTAATCAAACCACATCCACAGGTATGTTCATGTTTTATCAAACCACATCCACAGGTATGTTCATGTTTTATCAAACCACATCCACAGGCATGTTCATGTTTTATCAAACCATATCAACAGATAAGTTCATGTTTTATCAAACCACGTTCACTGGTATTTTCATGTTTTGTTTTATCAAACAACGGCCACAGGTATGTTCATGTTTATCAATCCACATTCAAAGGAAAGTTTATACTAGATCCATGCAGTAAAATCAAACCACATACACAAGTAAGTTTATATTGAAGGCATGGTGTTTTATCAACCACATTCACATGTACATTGTATGTTCATATATTAATACAAATGCTACTTTGTTCAGTTCATGAAATTTGATATTTAGGTTAATCACCATTGGTTCTATCAGGATAAAGTTTAAGAAAAACAATTCATTTTTTTGCAGTTTGATACTGACATCCCTTTAATTTTAAATGGACTGTTCCAAATTCAAAGCCCCTTTTCCATTTTTTTTAAAGCTGGATAAATCCATTACACAAATTGAGCAGGTTAGGGCTTAGTAGACTGGTGGTGCAGTCATAATATAAATTTCAATGATTATTCAATATGATTGCTTTCCAAATAAACATAATTATGAATTTGTCTGCTGCACAAGTTCACCGAATGATAAATAATTCATTGGTAGGCTGTTCAACGTTAATGAATATTTGATATTATCAGATGAATAAGTAAGTCTGTCTAGACTGTAATATTATGATTATTGAAAAATGGAAACAATATTGTGCCTTTGAGTTAAGATCAGTTATGAAATGTTGAAATATATATTAAAAATAATTGTTTCACAGACTTCGTGGGGTTACTTTTATTTCCATTGTGTTAATTAGCACGAAAAAATCGACCTTTTTAAAAGCATTTTCACTGTAAATTGTCATGTTTAATTTATAACTGCCTTATACATAACATTTATACACGTAGGTCATGATTCACTTGTAGATATGTGAAGTTTTGTTTCTAAATTTCATGTGAAGTTTTGTTTCTAAATTTCAGTGCCTATGGCAACAATTGTTCAACAGCCTATTTATCAAACATCGAGCAGCCCACAGCCTAGTACAACGAAATCATCAACACCTGGCAGTATTTCAGTACATCTCCCCGGACTTCCACCAGGATTTATCCTACAGCCTGGTATTTTCTTGTTTTATTTACTTTGTTCATCATATTTGTGCATATAACTAGTATAGTGAATTTGTTTTTGGCCCTGAAATAATGTACAGAGGGGCACCTGAGGTATTCCACTTCAAGTAAAGCTGGACAGTAGCCAAATGACTAATTCTGTGTTCACGCAACTTGATTAAAAAAATGATGATGAACAATACATAGAGTTAAATGGATTTAATTTTAATAAATTCCTCCAATATAGAAATTAAATTTAAAAAAATATATATGGATTCACGTTTACTCTAAAGATCATTATTATTAATTTCTTTTCTTTTTTTCACAGAGAAATATAGGCCATTATGATTCATTTATTATGCCCCCACAGAGTGGGAGCATATAGCGTTGCACTTGTCCGTCCGTCCGTCACGCCGTACGTCCGTCCGTCCGTCTGTCCGTACGTCCCGAAATCTTGTGAACGCAACTCCTCTTAAACAGGATGGCAGATTTTGCTTAAACTTTCAGGGATGAACAACCTTAATATGTAGATGGTAGTAAAGGAAGCAATTTTCGCTGCGACCAAATTTAACAGAATTATGGCCCTTTGTTGATTTTTTCACTATATACTATGTAGAAATTTTGTGAACGCAACTCCTCTTAAACCAGATGGCAGATTTTGCTTAAACTTCCAGGGATGAACAACCTTAATGTGTAGATGGTAGTAAAGGAAGGAATTTTTGCTGCGACCAAATTTAACAGAATTATGGCCCTTTGTTGATTTTTTCACTATATACCATATAGAAATTTTGTGAACGCAACTCCTCTTAAACCGGATGGTAGATTTTGCTTAAACTTCCAGGGATGAACAACCTTAATGTGTAGATGGTAGTAAAGGAAGGAATTTTCGCTGCGACCAAATTTAACAGAATTATGGCCCTTTGTTGATTTTTTCACTATATACCATATGTGTGTTGTCAGTGGGGGCATCTGTGTCCTTTGGACACAGTTCTAGTTTTCTTCTTTATTCACAGAAAAGAATGCCTATTCTAGATAACATCATAATTAATATTGGAAACAAATTAAAAGTTGTTCAGATCTGCACCTTGTTTCATTTTGACATTAAGCAAGTAAAATCTAATCATCAATGTCCTTGAAAAGAAATTTTGATTTGTAGACGAACAAGAGGTTAGGGTAATTGTTTTAAGTTATTTGTCTTCAGGAGAAGGTTACTGTAAGAAACTAAAAAAAAAACCCATTCATTTCATCATAATATGTATTCCTATCAGCAATTAATAATTTGGATGATGAAATGTTTTGAAGACTGTTAATTTTATTGCGTTATATTATCAATATATTTGAAGTAAATAGAATCATTTGGGAAAAAAAAAAATTTGGAATCTGAGACATAAGCTTTTGAAATATGAAAATTGAATACCAATATCCCATTTAGAATGTTTCTTATTTTAAAACGTTAACCTGTATGTTATTCAATAAATGTAAATATTAAGGTCATTTTATTATTAACATGTATATAATGTTAGAATTGTTTCTTTGGTAACTGTAGGAACACAGTTTGTGATACCAGGACAGCAGGGAACATCAGTCGCAACATCACAACAACAGGTCCAACAACAGCATGTTTACAGAATAGCCACAAATGCACAAGGTATTATACCATTTTTCCATAGTTACTAGATAGTAGATTTACAGGGATCGCGCTGGCAGGAGCCGATGAACAAATTGGCTTCAAAATTATTAAATTGGCTCAAGAAAATCACGATTGGCTCAATAATCATTATATTGCTCTGTTGTGCAATGTTTTTGTACCTACCAGTTTTATTTACATGTATTTTAAGATTTATTGATACTGAATCGTGAAGTTTTCCTTTCCATTCCAGCCGCCATGTGCACAATTGTTTAACATTCCGTTTCATAATGTATTATATATCAAACGGCTCGCAGAACGATTTTGATGTTTTGCAGAATGAAATATGATAAAACCTTGGTAGGAAGATTTTTGTTCTTACATAAAAGTCCTTTATATTATTACATAATTCTTACATGATGTCCAAAAACTGGTTCAGTTTGTCATAGAGGTGGAATAAAAAAAGTTGTATTGGGAATTCTTTTTTATTTTTTGGTTATTTAAATATCATATCTATAAATAGAAATGTTCAAAATATATTACAATCTTTATTTTGTTACAAAGAATTCTTTGTTGTCTTTAGTTTGTGGTTGATATTAATGTCTATTCTTGAAGACGTCTTTGTTCGCTGTTTTTTAAGAATAAGATTCTGGTATTTATATTTCATTATTTAAGTGTATTGTATATTAAGTTTGTTGGTGAAGTGGATGGGGGAGTTATTCCTCCAACTCCACTATTTTAATTATTTCAGAAGCCACAATACAAGATATAAATGTTCCTTGATTAAAAATGAAAATGTATTTCCGTGATATTTTATATAATTACAGAAAAGTAACTTGCAAATAATGGAATGGAAACAGTTTTACTATATCAGGATTATTGTTTTTTTAACAAAATGTTAAAATTTCCATATAAGGCATTGCAGTAGAAAATTCTGTAAAAGTCATTAGTGTAAAATAGAGACACCTTTGGGGAAAAATGCTAGTAATTTAAAGTTCAAATGTTAACAATACCGTGAAAAAAAATGTCTGGGGAATAAATGTTACATAAATACATTTTTACTGTCTTAATATTTTTAATGGTTTATATAAGATATCTAAAGTTAGCAGACAGTAATTTTGAAATGCAATTCCTTTTATGAAATACTGCTGTTTATAGTGAGGTGGGTGGTAGTGGTAGTGGTATTTAGATATTTTGTGGAGAGTTGAATTCTGGTAAAATGATCAAGTTACAAGAGAGGGAAAGAATGAGAGTTTATGATTAATCTAGTCTGTACAGTAGTTTTTATATGGATTGTCTTGACATTGAGCAATATTGGTGTCATTTAGCAATAAATATAAAAGTTTTTTAAGTATTTCTTTTTAGATATTATTCGTATAATAACAACTGTTACAGATTTACCTTGATGTAAAATAAGAATTGACCATTGTCAAATAAAGGACTGTTGATATAGAATAATAATTGTCAATTAAAGGTCTGTTTAAGACAAATAATGAGTTCAATTTTAGTTGCTATCACACCAGTAGAGTTTATGGACATAAATATTTGCTTGTGTCACTCTTGGCTTGTAAAGTCTGTTCAACTTTTCTTTCTTTTACTCAAAATGGAGTTCCACATTTCCTTATATATAACCATTTATCAAAGGGGCACTTTTTTTTTTATACTTCTCAGAAGTGTGTTCCATATTCCCTTCTATTAATTAAGAGTATTCCATATTTCCTTATATTGGTCAAAAGGGTGTTCCATGTTTCAGAAATTACTCAAAGGGCATTCCAAATCAAATCTCCTGATCTTAGTTTCAAGGGCATTTCATATTTCCTTATATTACACAAAATGACATTACACATACTGGCAAGTCAGGAAAAATTCATTTTTGGTTGTGGTGCTTAAAATTTGAAATGGCACATACAACTGATATGGGCAATATGGAACCTGAAGCAAGTCTATAATACACATTCTGCAGGGTAAAGGTTAAAGGTTATTCCTCCTGATATGTTGTAGGGACACAAGTGTTACAGACAGAAAATGGACAGAGATTACAAACAAATGGTACAAGTACAGCGGGGGCTACCACTGTGAATGTTCTTAATACAGGTATCGTACTGGTGTTACTTATATTAATTATATCAACAGAGTATTTTTGTTTAGTCCTTGAACTATCTGTAAGGGTAATTGAAAAAAATATATATATTTAGGATGCAGGACGATATAATAATAGAATAATATAATATAGATAATGCCAGATATTATAACGACCTGATCATCTGGATATGAAGTCATGTTATTCTTTTTATTGCAGCTACTCAGCAGGCTGCCCCAGCCCTTACACCAAGTGTGTTTATGTACCATACACCACAGGGCATAGTGTATGCCCCAGCCCCGTCATCCATACAAGATAAAACCATCTTCAACTTTCAACAGCCGGCCACTGCATTGTCAGATACTGGTAAAATTGTCTTCTTTTCTTTCTTTTTTAGGTCACCTGTCTCAAAGTGACAGGGTGAGCTTTTGTGATCGCTTTTGGTCCGGCGTCCGTCCGTAAACTTTTACTTTAAATGACATCTCCTCATAAACCACTAAGCCAATTTCGTCCAAACTTCAAAGGAATTGCCTTTGGTGGTCACCTTTAAAACTTGTTCAAAGAATTTAATTCCATGCAGAACTCTGATTGCCATGGCAACCAAAAGAAAAAACTTAAAAAATCTTCTTTTAAAAAACCCTAAGAGCTAGAGCTTAGATATTTTGGCATGAAACATCTTCTAATAAGTGTCTACCAAGTTTGTTCAAATAAAAGCCCTGGGGTCAAAATTGGCCCCGCCCCAGGGGGTCTTTGATTTTCCCTATATGCATATAGTAAAAACTTAAAAAATCTTCTTTTAAAGAACCCAAAGAGCTAGAGCTAAGATATTTAGCATGAAACATCTTCTAATGAGTGTCTACCAAGTTTGTTCAAATAAAAGCCCTGGGGTCAAAATTGGCCTCGCCCCAGGGGGTCATTGATTTTCCCTATATGCATATAAATCTTCTTTAAAAGAACTCAAAGAGCTAGAGCTAAGATCTTTAGCATGAAACATGTTCTTATGGGTGTCTACCAAGTTTGTTCAAATAAAAGCCCTGGGGTCAAAATTGGCCCCGCCCTGGGGGTCATTGATTTTCCTTATATGTGTATAGCAAAAACTTAAAAAATCTTCTTTGAAAAAACCCAAATAGCTAGAGCTTAGATATTAAGCATGAAATATCTTCTAGTGAGTGTCTACCAAGTTTGTTCAAATAAAAGCCCTGGGGTCAAAATTGGCCCGCCCCAGGGGGTCTTTGATTTTCCCTATATGCATATAGTAAAAACTTAAAAAATCTTCTTTTAAAGAACCCAAAGAGCTAGAGCTAAGATATTTAGCATGAAACATCTTCTAATGAGTGTCTACCAAGTTTGTTCAAATAAAAGCCCAAGGGTCAAAATTGGCCCCGCCCCAGGGGGTCATTGATTTTCACTATAGGCATATAGTAAAAACTTAAAAAATCTACTTTTAAAGAACTCAAAGAGCTAGAGCTAAGATATTTAGCATGAAACATGTTCTAATGGGTGTCTACCAAGTTTGTTCAAATAAAAGCCCTTGGGTCAAAATTGGCCCCGCCCCAGGGGTCATTGATTTTCCTTATATGTGTAAAGCAAAAACTTAAAAATCTTCTTTGAAAAAACCCAAATAGCTAGAGTTTAGATATTAAGCATGAAACATCTTCTAGTAAGTGTCTACAAAGTTTGTTAAAATAAAAGCCCTGGGGTCAAAACTGGCCCGCCCTAGGGGTGTCATTGATTTTAACTATAAGTGTATAGTAAAAACTTAAAAAAAATTCTTTTAAAAAACCCAATGAGCTAGAGCTTAGATGTTTAGCATGAAAAATCCTCTTATTGGTGTCTACCAAGTTTGTTCAAATAAAAGCCCTTGGATTAAAATTGGCCCTGCCGGGGGAGGGGGGGAGGTAGGGGGTAGGTCGTTGTTTTTCATTATGTGTGTAGTAAAAACTTAACATCGTGAAACATCTTCTAATGGGTGTCTTCCAAGTTTGTTCAAATAAAAGTCCTGGGGTTTAAACTGGCCCCGCTCCGGGGGCCTATATACAGGTGAGCGACCTCAGGGCCATCATGGCCCTCTTGTTTCACAGTGTCACTTCTAAGTCTTTAGTTTTTAGTCTGATAATGAAAGAAAATAAGAATTTAATGAGAAAAAAAAAAGAAAGAAAGAAAAAAAAAAATCATAATTCTCAAAGAGTCAAATTGAAAAGAACCGATATGAGCCAGTTCATGGCATTTGTAGCAAATCTCAATTTATGGAAGGAAGGATTACTTTTATTATTTTGTTCCATCTGCAGATGTTTGAGAAACAAGACATTTCTCTCCCAGATTTTGTTTGTAAGACTAGCTGATGATGAATGTCCTATTAATTTGATATTCACTTTCCCTTGATACATAGCTTTTTGTGCTAGATTGTTGAAATATTAGCTACAAATGTATATTGGATTTTCCCAGTTGTAAATTAGAAATTAAGAAATTAAGTCTGTTGAACTTTTAAGGGATTTCAGTGATGAAATACAAACAATGGACAACCAACAGTATAGAGTCTGGTCAGACTGCACAGAAGTGCAGACTGGCCTGGCTCTATAACTGGTGGCAAATGCTGATCACCCTTGGTTCAAGCAGGTTAAAGGTTAATGATGTTTTCATTGTTGATATATACCAATCATTTATTACCAGGTCAGTCAGCAGCTGGGCAGGTACAACAACAAACACAAGGACAACAACAACAACAGATTATCACCATCCCCATGCCTGTCTCATTAGCTGGATCTCCTCAAGTAAGTCCCGGTCTTAAAATAATATCTTTAAGTGATGTAAATTTGTTCCCTTTCAGGGCTCACACTGGCTCAAATAAAATAATAGCCAATAATTTTAACTTTAAAAAATAATAGCCAAAAGTTCAGCGGACTATTCACGAATTAGCGATTAACAACATAAGCAGTTGATTAAATAAACATTACATTTATATCTTTTAGTTTTATAAGGATTCTCAAATAAACTGATACATTTGTGTATATTGATAACTACCTGTTTTTAAATAGAACCACAACTTTAATTGTTATTTTAGAACAGAATAAAAACGTTATAATTAGTATAATTACTGTATAACAATAATATTAAAGATTCATTATAACTTTACATAATGCTGTTATCAGACAACTTTTTTTGTTTGTTCTAATCAAATTTTGTCAGCTATTACCACTGTCAATTTCCACATTTCACACAGAACTGGAGTAGATCTAGGTCATATTATTAGCCTATAGAAATAATACAAGTTTTCAAACTCATTCACAGAATGCAGCCTTTTTTCTGAATAATTTACTGAAAAATATCATCATCACCAATGTAATACAAATTCTGCCATAGTAGTAAAGATTTTTAAAGAGAACATAGCTTATTTCACCTTTAAATAAATATCAAAATTATCGGTGTCGCGAAAATATGTGACAATCGGATTTTTCCTGTTTTCTGAAGAAATATTCACAATTTTGGTTGTTGTGCAAAAAGTTGTTTGGAATTCAATACTTTTTAAATGTTTTACCATTGTTTTCCACTGGCGATTTAGTCAAGTAGCTTAAAACAAAAAAAATTTAAAATTTGCAATTCACGGTAAATTTTGGGTAAGTCAATATCCAGTTTATCAATTTTAAAACGATTTTTGTGGCTAATTTACGGATATTTGATGGCTATTATAAATGCTGGACAATATCTTCAAAGTACTTATACAATTATACATCTCGCATGTATTTTATCACCTCGGGCAATATAGTTAGCAGCACGTGACCGGTAAAAAGTTGACACTCAATTAAATGCACCCCGCTGGTGTTAATTGGGTCTACTGCATTCATTATCGATTTTTACACCTTATATAAACACTGTTGGAAGTAAAAAATAATCGCCAGATTTTGTAGCCAAAATGCAAAAATAATCGCCAATCTTATAAAATAATCGCAAATGGCGACTATGGCGACCGACAGCGTGAGCCCTGCCTTTATGTCAACTTAAGTTGTTCCCCTTTATGTTAACTAAAGTTGTTCCCCTTTATGTCAACTAAAGTTGTTCCCTTTATGTCAACTCAAGTTGTTCCCCTTTATGTCAACTGAAGTTCTTTCCCTTTATGTCAACTAAAAATCTTCCCCTTGAAACCCATCAGTTGCTTCAAAGTACATTTGATTTATTCCAGTGATGTATTAAACAGCTTTTAAACTGTGAAAATTTATAAGTTGTCTTCTGTTTGAATGGTGTAGTTATGTGTTGATTGAATAGTTATGTGTTGCATTGAATAGTGTAGAAATCACTGCATTTAGTTTGATTTCTGTCTAGGTGGGTATTATTTATCCATGGGACAAAACTATTTGGCAAGTTTATAGCCAGTGAATAGATATCTTATGTCTAGGGCACTGTTTGACACATTTTGTTGCAGCAAAGTTATAGTAATATGACTCTGATGACAATATGATAAAAGCTTAAAATAAATATTTCTGATCTGTCTCTATATGTTATAAAGTAAAAAAGTCTCTTTTTTGTTACCTGTCAGTTTTGCTAATGAGAATATATGATGGATACATGATATATTGGTAAAATATTTTATTTTTCATAATTTTAGGTGTTACAGTTGGCAACAACAGACTCCACACAGTTGTCGGACCTATCACAACCTAGTGCTGCTAAAAAGTCGAGAAAGACTTGAAACCCAGTATTATATTGGCCTTCTTTTGTGCTTAAATGGTGCTCAATTCCACTAATTGTTCATAGTGACAATGTTTGCATGTCGAGGCTTTTTGTTCTGTACAGTGCTGTAACAATGCTGTGACGTAAATATTGGCGTCTTGTCACTGTGGTTATAAATAGCATCGTATTTGTGAGGCGTGATGTTACGTGGTGTTGTCTTTTTCGTTATGCTATATACATGTATATCAGTTTAAGTGGTATCAGTGTAATATTTGATGGGGCCTCGATATGGTTTACTCTAAACTGTGAACACATGATTTTATATGTATATGAGTATATATTGAAGTTTTCACACTTGAATTTGGAGTTTTATATTGAATGCTCTAATATGTGAACACATGACTTTGGAGTTATGCATGGAATGCTCTCAAATGTGAACACATGATTTTGGAGATATGTATAGAATGCATTCTACTGTGACCACATGATTTTGGAGTTATGTATAGAATATTCTAAAATGTGAACACATGAATTTGGAGATATGTATAGAATGCATTTTACTGTGAACACATGATTTTGTAGTTATGTATAGAACACATGAATATTGCTACATATTACAAGAGTAAATGAAAGTGATAACTGATATACCATCTATATAGGAGAGCAGACTTTTTTCTCAATAGCTAGAATTGGTATGTTCTGGAAAAAAAAGACAAGGCAAGAGCTTCCCTTTAACTTCTACTGCATGGTATTACATGCCATAGTGAAGTAAGGTGCAAGGGGCTATCTATAGTTGGTTATATATAAGCTTAAAGACAGTAATGAAATATGTTTATACAAAAAAAGCTCCTCTGAATTATGTTACAAAAAATTGTTTGAATCCGTCCAATTATGTATGTTTTGTTAAAATCATGTTGAAAACGAAGAGCTGCAGGATGTTTTGTTCCACATTATGTTGTAGAAACAATATGTTATTAAGAATTACATCTGTTGTTAAAACAAACGTCAAATCTTGTTCATGTTATACGTAAGATATTTCATGTTATAGTACAAATAGAAACAAGATATCTTGTTTAAAGTATTGGTTAAAGACAGCGATATTTAAAAGTAAAGGCAGTTATGTGTTTATTTATATTTCAACGAAATAATGTAAATGTTTGCATATTTGTTTTGTAGATGTGAGACTACTGAAATTGTTGTACAGTAGTTAACAGTCTTTATATGTTTACATTTTACTGTTGTCTATAGAAATTATTATAGTCAGGAGAAAGGGACCCCTTTTATTATTACATGTACATTTTTTTTTCATGATTTTTTTTTTTTTTGTCAGTTTAGATAATTAGATTATTTCATTATATCACAAGGAAACTCCTAAAGGATATAGTGAGCATTATAAAGGGTAAAACATTTCAAGACATCTTATTTTAGTCTAAATTCATATTTTTCAGTCAGAATTTAATGATGTTAAATCATAGAACATTCACATTTAAACTGTCTAAGACTTTATTATTTATTTTTCAACAATTTTAGTTCCTTAACTTTAGATACCAATCATCAGCCATCAACTTAAAGTTTGAAATAGAAATTTATATATTGTTGACTCAAGTTGTTTGCGGTATTTATTTGCGTTGTTTTGTAAATAAATCATGGATATAGGAAGACTTGTAAGTCGGGTCAGATGTCTGGCCTGAGACAAGTGACCGAAATAATTGAGCCGCGTCACGACAAAACCAACATAGTGGGTTTGCGACCAGCATGGATCCAGACCAGCCTGCGCATCCGCGCAGTCTGATCAGGATCCATGCTCCTATAACAAGTAGATAAACTGATAGCGAACAGCATGGATCCTGATCAGACTGCGCGGATGCGCAGGCTGGTCTGGATCCATGCTGGTCGCAAACCCATTATGTTGGTTTTGTCGTGACGAGGCTCATATGTTTGGTAGAAAATGACTGAACATGTACAGTAATTCATTTATTGCATTGTTTATGTGTGCTGTAACTAGCATACTGACTTGTAGATGAAAATCATTTAGAAAAAAATGGTATTTAATATCAGAAGATGAGAGAAAATAAATCAATTTTGTACTATCATTGTTCATAATGGTGTAAGATGATGGCCTTTTATAAAAAGTTCTCTTTTGGGTGGTCTTTGTTCTGAGGGTGTTTTATTATACAAGTTTAGCTGTAGTTCTGTTTGTTATGATTGCCTGTAAAACATACTCCAAGTGCCAATATGACCAGTATTGTATATATTGTGTCAAGTTGTTAAATGTCTTTCTTTTTCTTGTTTTATCTTTTCATGTATCATTATATAAATATAATGTTATTTTAAGCGATTTTTTTATACCTGTTGTTATAATGTGACATAATACTACTTTTTTGATTGTATAAACTATTATTTTTTGTGACCATATTTGTGGAATATGAGATTTATAATATGTTCTTCTTAATAAATTGGGCAAAAAAAAAATGAATTTAAGTTTAAGACATACAATGTTGTATTTTCATTGATGATTGATTGATATGTTAATTTTTCTCTGATTTTAGTGTGCTTTGTTAGGTACTAATGCTCATATTAGCAGTTCAATTTATTTAGAATGAAAATAAGAGAACACTTTAGCTCTGTAAAAACTATATTTAGAAGTTTATCTCAACTTTAACAAGATGCAAAATTGTATTATTCAAGAATATCATACATTAGGGTCAAAGGTTTAAAACTGTCAAGTATTTTGCAGGGGTCAAGTGTTTAGATAAATTCAGAGACTACAGGGGGGAGGGGGGAGTCAATTTTGTTCTTGTATTTAAATTGTCTCTGTTAAAATTATAGTAGTGTGCGTATAATTTAATTGTGCCATAGAGCTGTCATGACAAGATGAACTAAGCTCAAGTTATTTTATTGAAAAATGATCTACATTGTGTAAATCTACATGTTAAGACTACATTGTGTAAATCTACATTGTAAAAAAGATCTCATGATGTGCTATATTTATCAGTTCTAGACTTTGTTGTGCATATTAAAGTAAATGTTGCTCTTAATTTTCTTTTCTTTTGCTGATAGTTGTCACTGACTTGTTAGCTATTTATTAATTATTATGTTCAAAATTTGGTGTGCTGATACCTTTTGTAGACCTCTACCACTGATAAAGAGCCCTTACCATTACATTTGTCTCTGCCCCTGACATTGATCTCTGTCACAGACATAGGCCTCTGCCTCTGTCACAGACATAGACCTCGATCTCTGCACTTGACATTGACCCTTACCCATGTCATAGATCTCTGCCTGTGACATACCCCTTAAACCTCAACATGATTTAAACCTCTACCCAATGCAGATCTCTGCACTTGATATTGACCCTTACACCTGACATACCCTTGCAGGACATAGACCTCTTGCCCTGACATTGATCTATGCCTCTGAATAGGTTTCAAGTTGATTGGGTCAAGGTTATTTATTCTATAAATTGTTTTTCCTACTTTGTGAAAAAGACATCGGGGATTATCCAACAGTGTTGCTAATATTCTTGTTTTGTTTAAGGTGACCTTAACCCTCAAAGTTAGATATTACGTACAGTTTTATATATGGAATTTTACATTCACATTTGGTGATCTATATGAAGATCAAGTGACCCACTTTCTCAATATTTATGTTTCAATCTACAACTTTGGTTCATTATACATTGTACAGCAGTATGCACTTATTGCATTTTAGTGTGTGTGATACCAGAGCTCAACCTTGGATGACTATAAATGTGATTTATTAACATACTTCAACATTGAACAATTCATGACCTTTTCAAGCAAAGTATTTCGAGTGAGCCTTCTAAGGCTGTCGTAGTTCTTTTGTTTTTCAATGCGAGTCTGAATGAAATTTATCTATGTATTTTTCAAACCCGTACTATCTCAATTCCTGATTTGTTTATTGTATGGTTAACTTGTGTTTGAAAAGATATGTGTTGTCAAAAAATTTTTGAGCATTCACATAACAATTTTGATATGCCTGTCTCTGCTCTGATTGTATTTTATATAACGGTTATTTTAAACTGTTCGGATGAGAAAAAATTTAGTTTTTGTTCATATTTAAACATTTTTGAAGACATTGTCAGCTTATTTTCGTCTCATTTATTCCTGTTAACAAAACTGCATTGACTCAGGCTTTGAAACATCAAAATATTTTGTTTTGAAGTACTTGTGTAAAGCTTAATTTATTATCTATTAAACAAAATTTAGTATTAGGTACAATCTTATGTGTAAGCTCTTGTAAACATGTGTCTTCCAGAATTAGTATTAAATTTTAAAAGGCATAATATCATTGCTTATATTAATAGTTTGATGAATTGGATAATATTATGTACTCAGTCTCTTGCATTGTGAAGAAAATCAAAATTGACAAATAATGTTTAAAAACTTGTTAAAATTATTAATAAATATGACATTAATGAACTGTTTCAAGTTTGTTACACCAGTGCAATTTCTACTGTTTTTAAGTGTATATGTTTTTAAATATACTTGTTAATGTTTTACATTAAAGTGCCTCTTTAAACTAAAATTTGATTTTGAAAGAAATTTTTGTAATTTTTAAAACTGCTTTAAAGCTCACCCCACCAGAAATTGATTAAAAACTTGTCTGAGAGAAACTATATTAAGAAGACATCTGTGATTTGTTATAGTTGATGAAATTTTGTATGTTTTAGACTAACCAGAACAACTTTATACCTTTCTGACAATTCTGTGAGAAAAGGTCATTTATTCATATCCCACTGATTTATTATTATGTTTGATTTTTAGAATTGAATTTTCCTGTACTTACTTTGAGGTAATTGTATTGATATTGAAATAAATATTTTACTAATTTTAAATTGTTGCCTTTTGTTTAAAAAAATCTTAAATATTTAATCTTATATCAAATCAAATGTTTAAAAGCATTTTGAGGAAATATGAATTTATACATTTTTGTTTCTTTTGGGGCTTTTTTGTTGGTTATTTTTCTATTTAAATAAAGGGAAGCAACTCAATAAGATTTATTTATAATATTAGATTGTCGCCCTTGTTATCTGTTGCTGGTTGTTACACAATATACTTTAAAAATACATGTATAGGGAAAATACATCACATCAAAAGCAACATTTATATACTGGCATTATGTAAATAATGAAAATGTATTTGATGATACTGATTTTAACCCTTTACCTGTTGAAATTGTTTAATTGATTTGCCCAGCTTTGAATGATATATTCAATCCATTTAAAGTTTTAGGGATTTAAACATAAAAAGTATTGAAAAATAAGCTGCCAACAAATATAGAGTTATGTCAAACTGCACTGATGTTAAAGCTGACATGGCTCTATGCAGTTGGCAAAGGCTCCAGCAGGTGAAGGGTAAAGATATTGCTATTTTTGTATGCATGACTTTTCAAGGACTAATAAAAATTAAAGAATCAAGATGTTTTGTTGTTATTTTGAAACAGGGTTAAAAAGATAGCATATGGGTATTAAAGGTAACTGCATAAATAGAGGTGAGCTTTTGTTAAGGTAATGTGTCTGTGTCAGTGTCCGTTATCCACAGCCTGTTTAAAAGAATATTTCCTCAATCATAAGGTTGATTTTGACTTAAATTCAAAGGATGTGACCCTCTACAAAAGTTATATAAACTGTTCACCAGTCGAGTGCGTAAATAGGCCATAAGAGCTGAAATAGACAGTATCAGACACATGGGAGGCCTACAGGCAATAGTCCTAAATCAATTCAACATATTTTCATACACTTAAGTCAGAGCTAACCACGTAATTCCTGCAGCTCACTGTCAGCTGGATAAAAGGTCAGGAGAGGAACTAATGGGTTTTGCCTTAGCCAGCATGGGTTTTGTTTGTTTGTTATTCTACGCCTATTTTCAACAGTATTTCAGTCATATAGGTGGGTAGTTTCCTAACCATCGTTCCTGGAGTGTTACACCAGTACAAGACTACCTTCCTCTGTGCTAAACTACCAAAGCATCTCCCGGGGATTGAACCCACGCCAGAGAGGGAACTGGATTAGAAGTTATCGACTCAAATCCCTCGACCACAGAGGTGGTCGCCAGCATGGGTATTTCTGACATACTTTTGCTGCTCAAAGAACAAAGCTAGTGTTTGTTTTCCATTGCTATGCTGGAAACTGATTTATTCATCAACTTAAGCATTTGAGTGAATCAGATTGATCGATTTAGAAATGTTTTACCCTCAAATTTGGGAGGTTTTGTCAACCCCATACTTTGATCTACCAAACATTTCCTGCAACTTAGGACTATATTAAAGGTGTCAATATTTATCCATGTTTGTATTGCCTTACCAGAATATCAAATCGATCAATACAGAAATGATTTCACTTTTAAATTTAGGAGGTAAAATCTTAAACCTGCTGGTCATTTTCTGCTGGGTCACTATCACTTACTTGTCTGTTGGAGCAAATCTTAATCGATTGTTACAAAAACAACATTTTTTGCTGTGTCAGATTTTAATTGAATGATTTTTATGTGCCAACAAGGTGCCAGAATTCAACTACAATGTAACCACCTCAATATCCTCTTTACATCAGAATCAAAGCTTTCAAATTCTTGGCAACAACAAATTGTTGCCTTTACTCAAGAAAGATTGGATTGTATTTCAGTAATTGAAAGGAATCAGATTGATCGATTCAGAAATAATTTTTCTCACAAATTTGGGACGTTTATCAATCCAATACTTACCAGATATTTTCTTTTGCGACAACTTGATTTTTTTATTTTGTTCTGAAAAGGTGTTTTCTTTACAAAATGAAGTATTGCAGTGAATCAAAATGAATCAATTCAAAAATGATTTTATGGCCAGTTTCATGTTTTGTTATTGCAAGCCCAAGTGACATTGACCTTTTGACCTTGAAATGGGTTTGGTAGGTAAAACACAGCAAGATGGGTCAGCATACAAAATTCAAGTTCGTTGGTCAATGCTACGCCTTAATGGCTAGTTAAATGTTTTGCTATTACAATTGCCAATGACCTAAAATTGATTGTGGCAGGTAGAGTTCATTAATGTTAACCAACGCCAATGGATGGGTCACGACAAAAGCTCTCCTTTTTCTTTTAGAATTGGCCTTTAAACCTTTTCCCTTATAAAGAGGTGTTTTGACGGCTTTTTGTCCCCCCCCCCCCCCCACCCACCCCCCACTTTTGAGGCCTCAAACAGAGAAAAAATGCCCTATTTAGGCCCCAAACACTTCCTCGTTGAGAAATGTTGTAAAAAAAGTGACCACTTTTTCGGCACGGCCCCCCATCAAAATGATACATCAAGAGGTTGCCAGAAGGGGGATGTGACCCCTTCTGTTTGGGGGGTTTGAAGGGGGTGGTATTCCCCCTCATCGCCAAAAATTTTTTGGACATGTGACAGGCTAAAAATGGCCTCAGGTTGATCTTAAGGTGACGTGTAACCAACGCTGAAAAGCCTTTTACTCTATCTCATTGCATTGAGAAGTTGCATGACTTTGAAATCAGTTTTGATGGAAAAAAACAATGCAACATAGTGATTTTTCGCAATTTTGAGATGTCCCCCCGTTGCCATGGTAACAGGAAATTTACCATTGAGCATGCTGTTACAGAGGCTATGGTGTAGTCAACATATGTGCCAAGTTTCATCAGTGTTGAAGTATTTTTCATAGTTTTATAGCAGTTGGAACTTGTTACAGGAGGCTTTTCAATCAAAACGGCCATTTTTCACAATATGCTCATGGGGTAAAAGGTTAAACGGTCTGAGCCATTAATGATCTTTGTAATGTCGCAAATATCCTGTTTCTTGATCGAAATATATTAATATCTAACTCATTTCAATGAAATCTTACAGAATGTAGGTCTTTTTTTTCTTGATGTAATGGCCAAATTTGAGTTAAGACAAATTAACGACCTCTGTGACCTTGACCTTTAGACTTGAATATGAATGTGACGTGTATAGCTTAACAAGGTGCGTTTGCATACATATTGTAAAGTTCATCAGTCAATGAACTTTGTTTAATTAGCCTGTTTCATGCTTTGTTCTAACAGTGCCCTATGACATTTACCTTTGACCTGAAAATAGGTGTGGCATCATTGGTTAATGCATGCATGCTTTAATGACCAGTTCTTAGTTTTGATGAAAGAGTACCTAAGAATGCTACAGACAAAGTTTGCTGATCATCCATCAATTAGTTCTGTAGAAATAGACGTTTTAAGGTATTTCTATTTTTAGCTCTAGAGGCCCCTAAAAGGGGCCAATCAAATTAATATGAGCAAACTTGATAAAAGACTACCCAAGAATGCTACAGACAAAGTTTTGCGATCATCCATCAATTAGTTCTGTAGAAGAAGATGGCTAAAGTTTTTTTTCTATTTTTAGCTCTAGAGATCCCTAAAAGGGACCAATCAAATTAATATGAGCAAACTTGATAAAAGACTACCTAAGAATGCTACAGACAAAGTTTGGTGATCATCCATCAATTACGGTAGTTCTGTAGAAATAGACGTTTAAAGGTATATTTATTTTCAGCTTTAGCAGCCCCTAAAAGGATCCTACAGACCAAATTTGAAGTAAATCTGCCAAGCATTTTCAGAGAAGAAGACGATTGTTGACACATGACGACGGACGTCGTAGCATCCCCCTTTGATACTAATAGCTCACCATGAACCTTCGGTTCTGGTGAGCTAAAAATCAAATGCCCAGAAAGGAGTACACACAATTATTATGTAATACATTACTTTATTTTCATTTATTAAAATGTACTTTTGTTTACAAAAAGGTGTATTCAAACATGCTTAACAACTATGACATATTAATTACAGGTACATATAGCATAGAACATGGGATTCTACAATGAAACAGTACATGTGAGATATGAAAAAATGAACAGGGGAGATAATCCACTGTAGATGAGAAGTTGTTCATTGAAAATTTCAATGAATAGTGTCTGTAAAAATCATTCTGTAGAAATAATAAATATATGAATTACTGTAAGCAGAAATTGTTCTGAAGCAAAAAAATAATTTAATATTTGAACTCTTGTTATCTGTTTTTATTATTTTTAAATCAAACTGTACATTGAAGAGTAAGAGAAAGTTGAAGAGGGTGGGGGATTTTTTTCAAGAGCAAACATCAAGATTCCTTTTCCATTGAAACAAACAAACTTAAGTAATGTTGGTTTATTTTAAATAACACTTATGTGAAAGTGTATGTTACATACCAGATAATAGACATGAAGAGAAAATAAAATGATTTGAGTATCTCATAGAATCAGGCTGCCAATGTGTTTATGCCAGTTTATTTTCGTGTATAATATATTATTAAGTATAGATTCATTCAACATAAAACATAAAGAAAATAACAACAACAGTTTTCTGTCTTCCAGTCTGTTATCTTTGTCTTTCACAACAATTTAATGTGTGGAAATATTTTTCTAGCATTTTAGGTTAGGCCAAAAGAGGGAAGTTACTTTTTGAGTATAATAAAAACCAAAGAGAGTCCAAAAAAGAAGAAATTATGACTATTTTGTTTATATCTACACAAAAGACCAAAGTAAAGAATGAAAAGAAACTTGCATGTAGTTTCACTGTGACCATGGAAAGAACAAAATTAAATAAAACCTTCAGATGAAATTATATAAAGTTTTGATTTGCAAAAAACCAACAGTGTTCATTGAATACTATAACAGAATACTAAACAAATAAATAAAGAACATACAGAAATACACACATAACAGATTTAACATCCAGATCATTCCTATAGAAAAACCCTGATTATAAATGTAAATATTGTTAATAAGAGTGGTAAAATTCCTTTAACACTCTGAATGGTACTCTTTTCAACTAATATTTACCAATAAAGATAACGTTTGAAATAAAATCCCATTCTTACTAAGGACAAAAAGTATTTACTATCTATAAGCACTTATTTGAGTATTGCTGGAAAACATGTCTGGCCTATTATTTTAAAACAAAAGTTGCACCTAGCTGATTAATACAATATATTTGTTTTTAAAAAATGCTGAAATATTTGAAGTAATGAACATATAAATTCATACATAATTAACATGCATTCTTTTTCATCCTTTTGTATGACTTCAAGTTATTTCTTATCTTAGAAAGTACCGTTAAGATACACTAGTGGCAAGGGTATGTGATAAATTGAAATAGAGAATTGGAGTATTTTTTTATGTCTATGATAAATATGTATAATAAAAAATCTGTTGTAAATATTCCTTTAAATGCAAGACTTTATTTTTAAAGCGAAAAAAAATCAAAAAAATTAAAGAGATCATTCATAGAATGTAAAATCATTCTGAAAGTCTTCCAAAAATAGTCACACATTTTTGAAAGTTGAACATTAAAAAAAATAATCAGGAAAATCCTATTTTTCACCCATGTAATTTAGGTCTCAGGAGACGGTTTTTGTTCATTTTAAACATTTTAAATGAAAAAATAATTGGCTGTAATTTAAGTGCTATTTATTGGATACAATATACAATGTTCATTCAAATTTGTTTTATAATTTTCACATTTACCTCCATGGAAGAGATATCCAATGTAACTTTAAATAAATAAGGCAGCATATATAACCATAGTCTTGTTGTTCTACACATCAATTTAATTCTATCACCTTTATATAACTAAATGAGCCGCGTCATGACAAAACCAACATAATGGGTTTGCGACCAGCATGGATCCAAACCAGCCTGCACATCCGTGCAGTCTGATCAGGATCCATGCTGTTAGCTATCAGTTTTATTGTATACAATATACAATGTTCATTCAAATTTGTTTTATAATTTTCATTTTATAATTTAACTTGCTTTAAAATTACATAGAAAATACAATGAGAATACATTTTTTTTTTAAATCTGGCTTTTAAGAATGAAAATTCAATTATCTTCCACTGGGTAAAGTAGTCAGTCGCATTTACCACATATCCACTCAAAATTGCTTATTACCAAATTAAATGTATTTAATAAACTGCCTTATTATTATTACTAACACACTATCTACGGAAGCTTTTGAAATATTACACTTTAAAAAATACAAAATAATATAAATATTTTTTCTGTAAATTCTGTTTTGGTAATAAGAAAATACATTTATACTGTAAATAACCTACTATCCATGATAGAAAACGTATATAATGATGAAAATTGTTTAACCCTTAACCTGCTAGAACCAAAAGTGATCGGCTTTTGCCACCAGTATAGAGCCAGGCCAGCCTGCACATCCGTGCAGTCTGACCAGGCTCTATACTGTTGGCAGTTCAACTTTTTGTATATTGATATTGAAATCTATTGAACTTTGAATGGACTGTTCCAAATTCAAAGCCGGACAGATCCATTATAGAAATACAGGAGGTTAAGGGTTGAAGCATGAACACCAATAACAGAACACTAATATTAGTTTGTTACTTAGTATATATATATACTCTGTATCTGATACCATTGCTGAGCAATTTGGAAATACTTTGTTGCTTTTACCTTTACATATGAGCCGTGTTCTGACAAAACCAACATAATGGGTTTGTCACCATGACACAGCTCATATATGTCCGCAAATACCTTTAAAGTTGTTATAGAAGATTAAGTTATGAAATATAGATTAAATATTCTCAATTTTAAGGTTGATTTAGACATAGCATTGGTTAAACAGGTTATATTTCAAGCTTCAAAATATATCTAAATTTCCAAGATTCTCTCTCTCTATATTCAGCCTTGATCAAAGAAAAATTCTCAATTCCATAAACACAAACTTTATTTCAACAAAAATCTTAACTTGCAATAAAATCATGTACTTCTTTTTATACATATATATAAAAAAAAAAGTATTTTCAAAAGATCAGCAACATAACAAAATGCTATTTTATGAATTTACTTTTTTTTGACTACATGTGAATATAAAATGCTACGAGAAACAAAAAAAAAAATAATACAACTTTGTATTGTTTCATTAATTTCTCATTTGGCAACTTGAGGGCTTGTTTAATTTTTTTTCACTAAATATACACGGTACACTGTAAGTAAGTACAATATTTGGTATAAAGTTAATATTGCATCAAACAATAATACCTACATAACAGCACATTTAGTATTTATGTATATATAAAAAAAACATCCTTAAATATGTAATCTAGCACATTTACACGCATACATACACAACAGTATTTTCTCAAATAAAATAAACACATACTGTGACACACTTAAATCATATAATGTCAATTGTAGTAAGAAATATTTTTCTGTCATTAACATAGCACTAAATTTGACAAATGACTGAACCTGTGGAATCTGTGTAACGGATTTGCCCTGCTTTGAATTTGGAACGGTCCCATTTATAGTTCCCACCTGAATCTATATGATGGCAAATGCTATTACTTCCAGCAGGTTACGGGTTAAAGGCCCAATATGCCTCAGATATTTAATCATTTTTTTTACTACTTTCAAACTTTTTTTATTTTTTAGTATATTGTTAGTTTCCAAAAATTTACTCATTTGCCACATAGTTGAACTATTTGTTGCTTCTTTTGCTCTGTTTGCAGTTGGTATAATTATAGTGAATAACTATTTTGTACTGAAGTCAAAATACTATTTTGTTTACATATTGCTACCTTTATGACACATTACTGCACGATCAGTGCTACTTCCTTCAGTTGACTGTCATTTAATATGCTGTAAATCCATTATTAAAACAAATTAAACACATGTTTGACATTTCAAGAAAATTGAAAAGAAATATATATTCCTGAGGCATAATGTGCCTTTAAACAGATTTCAACTTCAGCAGCTATTCTTAGCCAATTTTACTGGGTACTGTAATTATATCCACAAAAATCTCAATACCAACCAAATACACACAATAATATTATACTTATTTTACTTTACAACCTTTAAACTGTTAAGTTTTGCAAGAACACTTTTTTAAAATTCTTTAGAGTTGCTTACTAAAGCTCTTTTTGTATAAAATGTATTCTTTTGTTAATAACCAGTACAGCCAGATTCAAGATTTATGCAGTTTTGTTTGAAGCATGTAACCAAGTGATCTGACCCATCAGCATGACCATTTATAATATAAGCTCACACACTTTAATCAATTAAAGACACCTGAATATATATCATTTCACACAAAGTAAATCATAAAAGCTGTACAGACACACTAACAGATACTGTTAATGGTATTTCTTACCAGTTGAATAATGTAATATATATATATATATATTTATGTATATATATATACGTATATCATAGAAAATATACATCTTAATGTTGGCTAGTACATTGTAAGGCTATATCATCATCTTGGTGCAGTAACGGGTTAACTCCTTATTTAATTCAATACGAGTTAACTCATTATTGCACTAAGGTGATGATATTGATGATTGATAAATAAATAGTACATACATCACATCAACATATAAAATCTGTTACTGTTACCATTTCTCTTCACATCGATACAAGACCAAGGTATAATGGCATTAAAAACCACTTCCATACCTTTTATTACAAGCTGGCGGAGAAATTTTCAATTTTTTTGCCAAGGAACCATTACTGATAAATCCGAGCAAATTTAAAAAAATGGTATTTCAATATATTTAAGTAATTGCTAACAGGGTTTTAAAATTTAAACTGTGTATTCCATTATAAACACAACAAAGGTCCAATAATTTCATTTGAAATATTCCACTAAATAACGGTCATTTACCAAAAGTATGCACTCTGTATTTCTGTTTTCTGCCTCTATTTTCAAACTGAATTATGATAACAATAGCCTATCATCATGAATTAGTAAAAACAATGTGTCATAAATTAAAACGCAGGCACACTGATTGACTTTAAACCCATAGCTTCTAGAGGTACTGTCTTACTGCTGAACTAGCTATTTCACATAACATCATTTTCACCACATACAGCTTTGGTTGATAATCCTCAATCTTGTAACATGTATGCTAATAAAAAATAATGTTTCCCAATTTTTAACACATGATTCTTTTTATACGGGTGACATGGTGTATTATGAAATGAATGATTCACTATTACAAATGATTTTAGTGAATTAGTGATTTTTCGATAATTTCTTTAATCTATATTCTATACATAAATCAATATATATAGAGAAAATCTATTTTTAGACCTATTCATCAAATTTCACAGGTTTACACTAATTCTTCTACATTTTGATAATAACTTAGTTTATAAATGAAACAATATGACTTAATAGATATTCTTTTCCCATATTAAATATTTATTTAAATATCTGCATTGTATATGTGTTAATTAATGGATATAATTTGTCTTTTCCTTTATACTAGTTAATTTCATTCGGACTTGTACGCAAATTGCATCTTATTATTTTCACTACACCCAGAACAATGTTCACAGCATAAAGTTTTTCCGAACTTCGATCAGTTATCCTTAAACTGTCTCCCTGGCACAGATCCTCTTCTCTTCACAAAAAATAAGATTTTCATATTCTTCCAATCCATGTTTCAACAGTTTTCGAAGCATACATTAACATTTGACTTGATTCCTAGTTTCCGTAAAAACCAGAACTACCGTTTCAGGTGTCGGTATATAAAAGACATGCATGACCATCAAAACTATCTATCGTCAATTTTTTAAATTACACACGGCAGAGAACGCCTAGTGGTCTTTTGTCCGATGACTATTTACATGAAATAATTTGAAGATCCTAGAATATATACATGTGACTCGTATCATACAAACACTTTCGCTAAAGCGTCCGCCCCCGCGCTCGCTATGTACGGTTTCGAAGGGTGAAACACTACAGCGTGTATTGACTCGTCAAACTTTTTTCTATGTGCAGTTATTTCTTGTACACAAGTTTTACTGTCTAGATTCCACAGTCTTATTGAACAATCATGACCTGAAACAACGTAACATATCTTTACATAAAACATTCACTGTCTACACAATACACGTCTAACAAAAACAAGCAAATACAAATACTACACCACAGTTAATGAAACTTAGATCTCTGAACTGCAACATACAGGCTGTGCATTATTTACTTGATCCTGTCTCAGTGATTTTGTCAATCACTCAACATGCAGAAAAACAAAAATAACACTACCAATGAATTTGTAATCAACATTGAGTAAGTCATTATTGAACAACAAGAATAACACAATTACAACAAAGCACCAAAAAGCATTAAAAAAGAAGCTCAAAAAAGCATTTTAAATGTAATTTCTCCAGTCCTTAACAGTTACAAATCTATGTAAGCCACTGTCATATTTTTGTAAACACTCAGCCTGGTTGCATTGCAACAACTATGGGTTATTTCACACACTTTTCAGAATCAATCTAAATCTGACAAATTGGAGAAAACAAAGCAATTTTATAAATGAACATGTAAAAAGAAAGTATAACTCACTCCCTGACAAAAGATAAAGTCCATTGGGATCCACTGCTAAACATGTCACAGCATCTAAATGAGCTACCATTGAATGAATCATTTTTCCTGTAAACAAACAAGACAACAAATTATGTTTTATGTAGTCGATAACTCAAGTTTATTTTAGTTTGATTGTATAGGAAGCTATAAGCTTAGAGACACTCTTGTATCCAACCTAGGAACTAACCAGTACAGTACTGAGCAATGAGTGTAAAGTTTCTTGCTCAAGGAAACATTTAGCTCCTGACGGTACTTAAACCAACACGATTAAAGATTCTAAGATTACTAGTCTGACGTGTTAACCACTTGGCCATGCCGTCACAAAGTGAATTTATAAAATGTTTATCTATAATTGTGGTAAAATATTTCAGAATCATACTTTAAGCCTTGGGTTGTTATCAAATGATATTAAAAAATGATAAGCATAAAAATTGTCTGTCAGTTTTGTCGGATTTTAAGCCACACTTTCACAGACCGCTCTTCCAGTACTGGACATTTCCAGACAAGTAGGCCTTTCATAACAGGTGCGTTTGTACTAAGCTAATAAGAACTAATTCATAAACATGAAAACAATCATTTGGTCTTCGGTGATAGTTTTTCAATATGTAGAGGGGCCATTAAGTATGTCTGTCAATTGAATATAGAACGGCTTATCCGCTTTACCTGTATTTATATCAAAGAATCTAATATGCCGATCTTCATGTGCAGTTATTGTGATGGGTAGTGTTGGATGATTTACCACACAATTTATTTGATTGTTTGTTCCAGCATCTGTAAAAGAAACACAGAAATTCTTAGCCAATTCAACTAGACATCATAACATAAGAATAATAATTTGAAAAATTCATATGTAACAAATTCCCAATTTTAAATATATTTTTGTGTAATTTTAAAATTTATTTATCTTTTCTTAAAAGCAAATAAAAAACTTTAATTGTATAAATTTCAACACCCAATGTTAGCATATTTATAATGCAAATATGGCATAACCTTTATATAAGTATATTATGTTGAGCTAAAAACTTTTTTTAACATTTATAGAAACTCAAGCTATACATTCATTCAGCATAATTCAATACATGTACATAATTGTCATATTACAGCATGATTTTGTGTAACCTCAAAATTTAAAATCTGAAACTTACCATTATTTTGTTTAGTTTCTAATGTTAGTACTTGTTTATTGGTTTCTAAATCAAAGAGATAGGTGTTAGCTGAGGTATAAGCGGCCACCATTTGGCCAGGATCACAACGCACAAAGTCCACTGATGTTGGCACACCATCTTCTGCAAAACATAAAAGCAGAAGTTTAACAGATTATAACAATAAATCTCACAAAAATTTGCCAATTTCAATGAACAACTATATTTGACAAAAGTCCTGCCTTTCCTGTCAAAGTCTCACATATAAAGGAACTCCATTGAGGTAAAAAAAACAACAACCTAAAAACGTAAAAATATAAATTCTGGCAAAGGTTTTTGGTGTTTTTAAAATAGAAAAGTATGGAATTTTAAGATATTGAGACATACATACTCAGAATTAGATCAAATTTTTTTTTGTGTGCGATTCTTAGCCCGATTTGAGTTTAAAGTGTTTAAATGCTTTTTATTTTTGTGTCACTTTGCACAATTAAAATGATTATTTTGACAAACTGAGAGAGTGAAAAATCTGAAATTTTGCACACAAGTTTTTGTACCAGACCTACATCAAATGGCACACAAATCTCAAAAGAGTATATCCAGTCCTGTTATATTGAAATACCTCCGTGGGACTGAAGCAATCATGAAACTGAATGCAAACTGTCTTTTCCGTTTCAAAATGTCAGACTTTAACAATTTAATAGTTCTATATGTAATGAATTTTTAATACAAATATCTACACATTTGTGATATTTATAACAAAACTTGGCCGCAGAATAAATTTCGAGACATTAAAAGAATCTGATTAGCTATGTCAACAAATCCTTTTAAATAATTGGTCGTACTAAAAATACAATGCTGACCATTTCATCAGTAAAGGGACACAAAAAATTCAGCAGCTTAAAAGAATTTCACAACTTGAACAAGAACTTGAATCAGACATAATATGTGTAATGTTTGTTTGTTTGTTTGTTTCATTTTACGCCTTTTTCCAACAGTATTTCAGTCATATAGGTGGGTAGTTTCCTAACCATCGTTCCTGGAGAGTTAAACCAGTACTAGACTACCTTCCTCCGCGCTAAACTACCAAAGCATCTCCCGGGGATCGAACCCACGCCAGAGAGGTAACTTGATTAGAAGTCATCGACTCTAACCCCTCGACCACAGAGCCGGTCTATGTGTAATGTATTAAGCCCTGACAGACTATTCCCTAAATATACAGAAATGCTAAAAAGTAAGTAACATTTAACATACCACTGTCAACAGTGAAGGTGTTGAGAAGTGGGGATTTTGTTCCTGGGCTCCACAGCCGTACCGTTCCATCAGCTGAACATGATAAAAGCTGACTTTTTGTGTTGTGTATTGACAGTCCCCACACTGCATCAGTATGGGCAACCATTGTGTCTTGTAAAACATTAGAATCTGAAAATGGAAATAACAGAAATTATTGTATAGTAACTCCTTAAGCAGGGCCGGTAAAATTTAATTTTGGCATACTTGTCCGTATGATATTCATAAAGTAAATTCTTGGACATTTCCTTTTGTCCGTACAGGCTGTGGAACAACCTTGGCAATACGGACAATTGGCTTTGCCGCCCCTGCATAAGTTATTTCACTTTGCTTTCTACATGTTCTAAGTGATGACTATAATTATGTTTTGTTTAAACTTCAAATATAAGTTCAATAGGAACCAAGTATTAAAAGAAAACTACAAAATATAACCAGCAAAACTACTATTTTGTCTTGTTCGGCACTTAGCGAAACTTTACACAACAACCTTAGTAAATGCAAAATGGATTCAATTTTAAAGACTCAACTGTGATGATAACATGGGAATAACTAATTAATAATATTTGAAGACTCTTTGTTAATAATTCAAACAAATATTCAATAGGAACATTTTTAACACCTACCGAAAGAATCATAAGGATCTATATTTGAACTAGGTATATTCCAACATCTAATCGATGAGTCTATTCCGCCACTGTAACACTGCTCTCCTGAGGCACTTACTGCTAGACACAGTACAGGGCCCACGTGCGCACGAAAAGTATACACTGGCTCTACATCTAATGAAGCTGCCCTGAAATGTAATAGATTGTATAACACTAACTGTGGTACTTAAATTCATATAGAAATCGGTGGAGGGACAATCTGAATCTATATATTTTTTGCGTGCCTTAAATTTCAAATTTCTCCAAATAATTCCAAGTATACTGTATGCAAACATATGAACAATGAAATGCACATGAATATATTACACAAATTTTTAAAAATCTAAACTTATGAATCAATACTGGAGTATTACAATACATCCAGTTTCAACTCATACACTGCTTGAATCAAACATTTTTTGAAGTAAGATTTTAGTGACACTGATACTGTAATAGTGACTATCCAGTTTTACTGAGTGAGAAACTGAATAGAACCTCTTACATTCTATAACCTAGACAATAAGCTTCCTCACAGGAAATAATTCAAAACCACCTAGCAGGATTCAAACCCACAGCAGTACACCAGTTAATGACCCTAATAATTCTGCCATGGGCACCCTAAGAATTTGCCTTTGGCACCAATACAGAGCTATGTCAGCCATCACATACAAATTGTCTAACATGGGTCTATACTGTTTTTTGTTTTTTCGTAATTTGATACTGAAATCCCTTTAACTTCAAATGGACTGTTCCAAACTAATCTATTACATAAATTCAACAGGTTAGACAAGACTTACTTCTTTGCGGGTACAGTTTTCTGTAAGTTCCACAGTTTTAATGTATGATCTTCTGATCCAGTTATTAACACAGGTTCTACAGGGTGAAACGCTAGCGTTCTTACACCATCAAAATGGCTCCGTAACGTGTATTTAGCATTCCATGTCTTTCTAAAGACTTCTGTTGGGGCAGATATCTGAAGTAAACAAAATCAAAATTAACTTCCATAATATCCTGGTAGTCTTTATATATATCAAAGGTTGACTGCGAAACTGTTGTAAGTCCTTTTTTGTTTCATATCAGTTACTGCAGTTTTGTGGTCAACCCTTGATATGTAGTATTGTACATGCATTACTTACCTAAAATAAATGCAATTACCTGTATTTCTTTTTTTTCAAGTGAAAGCATTACATACTTTAAGAAAAGCAGACAAGTGTAATTTTATATTACTGACCTTGACCTCTGTGAACTTATCATAATAACTAGACAAGATGACGTTGACCTTTCAAAATGACCTTAACTTTCATGAATGGTAGAAGTTCATGAAAGGTCTGTATGTAGGGAATATCTTAATTATTATTCAATAAATCATTCAATTGTTTCGAAAAGTTTAAGAATCTATTTTTAGCACACTAGCTGTATCAGTTTAAAGGGAATGTATAATTAGAAACAGAACGCAAATTTAAATCTTCTAGACCAATGAAAATCATTTTAAGTTTTAGATAAAGTATAAAGGTAATGTATTCTATAACAATATTTTCACTGTTAAACCTCTAAGTATGAAACCACTTACATCATAGTTGCCAGGATCAGCATCATTGTTTACAGTGATCTCAGCTAGTTCACCGAGACCAACTCCTATTGCTGCATCAAGGTCCTCCTCATTACTATTTACTCCTATCACAGGCTTTCTATTGCCACTCTGTAAGTTTCCACCACTCTGTACACCAGCTGAACAAATATATATTCATATACATTTATATATTTTCTAGATACAAAACCCCTGTCATAAGTGAGAAGAAATAATGTCAGTGTGTATGCCTGTGTCTCTGAATGCTTTAAATCAAAGTCCAAACAAGAGTGTTAAGGTCATATGATAATTTTCTGGTATCATTTGCAGAAAATCTTGGGTGTCATCCATTTATTATTTTAGGTAAATGTTGCATTCTTTATTTCTATTTGAGTTCAAAGGTCAGTCTTTGACAGTCAAAGGTGACTCAAATAAAAATTTTATTGTATTTACGGCTCACCAAATTTGTATAAATTATGATATAAGACAACTTTGCTTTGCTTAAAACGTTCAACTTTCTGGTAAATATGCCATAATTGAGGATAAAAATGTTAGTTTGTTACATACATGTCGATAGTATATTTTACCCCTCAAAAGAGCTTAAATGCTGTATTATATAATTAATTTATTCATGACTGTGTTACAAATGTCAGTATTAATGACCATTTCAAATACTGTCAGGAACAATCTATTAATTATAAAGATAATAACCCTGTGATGAAAGTGAAGGAGGAACAGCAAGGGAGACTTCATGTATTAAAACATATAAATTTTCTACTGTGAAATGAACTTGAATTTTCTTCTATGAAATAAACCTTCACTCTTTTGCACCCCATAAGTTAAAAGTTACGATGTAAGTCCCTACTACACAGGCAATAAGGCGTTTCAATTTATTAAGAAGAATCATTTGGTAATAATATAAATGCTGAAATTCAGAACTACATGTGTTCTATGACATTGTAACAGACACCAAAGTTACAATACATGGCAGTTCAAATATGGCAGCAACACTAAAGTGACAGGTTGTTTTTTACTGTTTGTCAATAGTGATGTCACATTAACTCATTTACACACAAAGAGTGATATGCCCCTAATGTAAAACAATAAAGGCAAGTGATCAATTAAAGCAAAAACAGAAGAAGATAACTTTTATAATTAACCCTTACCCTGCTGAAATTGAAATCGATTAGCCCTTGCCAAAAATATAGGGCCAGGCCAGCCTGTATTACATTACAGTCTCTTTACTTTTGGGTATCCCCATTCTTTTTTTTTATTTTGATACTAAAATTCCCTCAAACTTAAAATGGACTGTTCTATTTTCAATGCAGGGCAAATCCATTACGTAAATTCAGAAGGATAAGGGTTAATATTGATCAAGCAAAAAAACACTAGCAAATTGATCACCTAACTGACGGTTAAAATAAAGATTCTGTAGCATATTATGCAACAATATCCAATGTGACACTTACCTTTAATGTAATTATTACAGTAAATTATGCTTAACCAAGACTTTTTACATATTCACATGCAAACATTCTTATTTGCATCAAATTATTCTATACTAAACAAATACTGTCTCTGATCAAGAAATGGAATGCTGCTTTTGTATTGAACTAATTTTTTTTTAAAGGTTTTTTTTAGTTTATGACAATAATTGTCTTCCCTTTAGTTTATAACAAATTAATAGTTCTCTCTGATTAAAATTCTCTTATGCACGAAGTAAATTCCTTCAAATTTGACATCTTTGTGAAGGTATAAATTTCTTATTTCAAAAATTACATTTACAAACTTTCCGGTACTGTTTGTTGCAAATTTCCTGTTATTCCCATTACAGTACTTGTCAGATGCAATTTAAAAACACAGTGTTCTATAATCAAGATGCACTAACATGGGAAATGCTTAAAATATCACCTAAATCATTCTATAGATCTACATGTATTTTAATAACTATACTTAAAACACAACTTTGTCATGACAAAGAATATCTACCGATGCTGGAATTGTTATCATGCATTTTTTTACAGTTTTTCTTTCACATTATGGGGTTATTAGAAATTCCAACTACTTTGAATATTAAGAAACATGTTATCTATTGAGGTCGCTAACTCAATCTTCGAGAACAAGTAGCGATATTGACTACCCAATGTCACAAAGAGCCCGACCAACCTGCCAATTCACTCAGTCTGCTGACCAGTCCATCAATACTTGTAGCAGCTCAGTTTAAAATTCTGATACTGAAATCCTTTATTATAACAATGGACAATTCCAAATTTTAAAGCAGGACATGTCCATTATACTAATTTAGGTGAAGTTAAGATTAAGGCAAAAATCCCTTATAATAACAATGGAAAGTTCCAAATTTCAAAGTTGGAAACGTCCATTGTACTAATATAGGTAGTTACTATTAAGGCAAAATCCCTTATAATAACAATGGACAGTTCCAAATTTCAAAGCTGGAAACGTCCATTATATTAATATAGGTGAAGTTAAGATTAAGAATGGTATTATCACCATGCATACCGAGGTCATCTACTTCAGACATGCTATTCTGGTTTGAGCTGGCCGCGCCAGTCTGGGACGATGATAAATCATCCGCTTCGGTCAGATTGGCTAACATAGCTTGTAATGTCGAACGTTTTGGCCCTGGAAAAGCATGTGCAACTTTGAAACAAAGCAACTTACAACACATGCAAACAATATAACAGTACTTAAAACAAGCAGCCTCTGAAAGCTTAGATTGTCACAACATATAGGAGGAATATGCCTAGCAACTTAACATATATATTTTTTATTTCATATATCAAGATTAGGTCTGTTACAAAATCCATTTGTACACCCTAGTTATGTTCTACCTCAATCCCCTGTAGAAAGGAAGTTTTTCTTGATGTTCTTTTTGTTTTATGACTTCTGAATTAGTATAAGAAATTTCTTTTAAAAGAAAATTGTCCTGAAACAGTAAAATCACCTTCAAATAAAATGTTTCCTTAACTAACAATGTTGAGAAAAACCCTGAATACTTCTTTATGCAGTCAAATAAGGAAATCTAGGGGTCATCTCAATATTGAGCTAGTAGCAATAATGACTTGTGTAGAGCCAGGCCTGTTCTACACATCTATGCAGGTAGCTCAATTTTAAAACTTTAATATATAAATGCCTTGTACTCAAAATTTGCAGATCCTTATTTAAAAGCTGGTCACGTTCATTACACTACTTCAGCATGGTTTGAACTCGCTATTGAATATTATACTGTCAAAGCTTTTACAATTTTTGTTGGGGCTACCAGTATTTTTATTGGTACATAAATATTTGAAGATGTTTAACAGAGGCTGCTTATTTATGATAATAATAAAAATAAACAGTTAAAATGTAACCAAAAATTAGCAGACACTTTATAATCAATAACAGTGATGTTTTCAAATGCAATCATGTGATATAATATTAAAATATATCATTCAAGTTGCATAATGCCACTGATTAAATAAATAATTATCTTATTTTGTGATGCTTCGCTTGACAAATTTTATCAAAAGTATCAATAATTAAAATTCAACTTTTACTATAAATAAAACTTCAATATAATGAAAATCAATCTTTTGTCTGAAATTTACTTATATTTTTTTCAAGAAAGATTTTATCGGAAAATCAGCTGAAAAAAGTATGTAATGTTAAACTATGTAAAATCTAAAGCAATGCACTACTATTCTACACGATATGAACCGTTTGATAAAAAAAGCCACGCAAAAAAATAAAAATCTAATAATCATGCATCTAAAAGCAATAGTTAGCAAACAAAATATAAAGTATCAATCTGCTTACAACATTAAAAGCATAAAATTATTGATAATGTGTGTATTGCAGATCAAAGTTTCCTTATTTTCCAAAATTTTGAATTTCAACAAAATGAATTATTTTATAAAGCCTAAATAAAGTTATAAAGCCTAAATAATCTAAGACTATTTAACTGTTAACATGATATTCATCTCCCATCTTGTTTTCAAAACAAGATGTGCATTTTTTTTCTTTCGAATGAAAATTGCAAAAAAACAATACAGTTAAAATGCTGCAATACACACAATTAAAAATAACAAAAACTGAATTTAAAAAAAAACATGAAACAGTTGGCTAACGGATAATACACAATATGCACTTCATAATTTTTGTTGCATAATATATATACATGTATATATAGGTACACATATATAGGTACACGATTCCCTCGGAAAAAAAAAATACACATTTAAATATGCTTGCCACCTATATCAAGCAACATGGTCATATAGTACTGTATAATTTACTTGGTTTTAAACCAGTGTGACTTACTTGCTTTCTTTCCCTTCCGCTCTTTTTTGTATTCTTCTTTAAGTTTAGATATAAGCTGCTGGTCAACACCCCACTCTTCGTTCGGAGAGCCGAGATCTTTCTTAACTGTGTGCAGAAGATGGACACACTTTGTTCAAGAGTTTGCCTCATATTTTCTAATATTTATACTTAAAAAACTGTTTCCCTTAATAAACACTTAAAACTCAAAAATGAAAACTATTCAAAATAGGTAAAAACGAACATTGTAACTAACATAAAATATATCAGGAATATCTAAATACAAATCATACATTACACAATCTGCACTGAACACAAAAATATAATATAGATTTCAATTTTGAAATACTAAATATAAAAACAGTTTATATTGACAGTTTTAATTTATAATTTTATGATATTTTTTTCCAAATTGTATCTACAAAGTGCACCCTATATTAGAATCGTGCCCGTTAGTTACATCATGGTAGCTTTGACATTAATTCACAAAGGAAAATCCATCTTCTGTTTTTTAAATGGAGATTGGGATTTAAGTAATACCAACAACACTGTGAAGGTCTTATTTTAACTTTTAACCTTTCCTAATTGAGTAAGACCTAAGGTGCCACTCTGTACATAATTTCAGCAATCACCTGAATGGATATATTGATCTTGTTAGGATCCCCCCCCCTCACCCCCAAATGCAAACAATTTTATTGTAAAAAGAGTTCAAAATTCCTTGCTTAATCAGGGAATACTGCAGTACCAGTCAAGTGATTTGAAAATGAGCGACCTTTTCTTCTCCATGTTAAACTGTACCAAAAATTCCAGGTTAATAATAAAGGTATCAACAGTTTGTCAAATTTCTTCAAATAGTCAAGCACAAAACAGATATAATCTTACTTAAGGTGACAACAGACACTTTCCATGGTACTCACATAAATGTCATTTAAACCAACTTATTTTAGTAATAATTGTTATTTATTTAATATTTGTTCATTGAATGTCGCTGATCATCATAAAAAATAACATATTTGAAAAAAAATCCTTTGTAATTGATTGATTTTTAATAAAAATCCTAAAATTTTAGATCGTCATATCAAAGTCATTTTTTATTTTTTTTGTTATCAAACTTTTGGAAAATAAACATACTTATAATATCTGGGGAACCGTGTCTCAAATTTTTTCTATCTTTTCTCAAAAAAATATTACGTAACGTCAAACAATTTATCAGACTTTTTTCACCATACATATTACGTAATTAAAGATAATTAAGTCGCTGATTGAGCAAACAAAAATCCCTGACACGATTCCCTACGTAAATGAATTCCCTTTCATGTGCTTTAAACCGCATGTTAATTGCTTGATTATTAAAAAAGTTATGCCGATTCAAAGTTAGTCCGACCCGCATCAAACGAAGTGTCATAAATCGGCTGTTCTCTCTCGGACCCCTACGTTTCACGCTAAATAATTGCATAATACACAAATATCGCACCAGAGAGGGTCACAGGTTGCGGTAACATACTCTAACAACATTTTATGACCCAGTGACATCTGACAAATTAAAAAGTTGCTGATTAATATCTGTTTATAACAGAAATTTCCTCAAATCTTAACGTGATTTACTGTCCGTCTGGTATCGGTTGCACATGTCACGTGACTTTCGGTAAAATTTGAGGCACTCGGGGGGGGGGGGGGGGGGGGGGGGGGCTGAATGGGCAATAACTCTAAAAATACTAAAAAATATCCAGACGAAAATACCTGGTGCACAACTGCACATGCTGATCAACATTCCTGTAAAGTTTCATGACTCTAGGTCAAATACTTTTTGAGTTACATGCGACACAAGTTGAAAATTGCCAAATTTTTACTAAGTCAAGGGCAATAACTCTGAAAATACTAAAAATATCCAGACGAAAATACCCAGGTGCACAACTACACATGCTGATCAACATTCCTGTAAAGTTTCATGACTCTAGGTCAAATACTTTTGGAGTTACATGCGACACAAGTTGAAAATTGCCAAATTTTACTAAGTCAAGGGCAATAACTCTGAAAATACTAAAAATATCCAGACCAAAATACCCAGGTGCACAACTACACATGCTGATCAACATTCCTGTAAAGTTTCATGACTCTAGGTCAAATACTTTTGGAGTTACGTGCGACACAAAAGTGAACGGACGGACGGACGGAAGGAAGGACGGACGGACGGACAGACGGACGGAAGGACGGACGGACAAGGGTAAATCTAAATGCCCGCCACTAACGTGGGGGCACAAAAAGGGGCATAATTCTGTCAAAATGCTTGATAGAGTTACCTTCTCCTGTTTACAGGTTGGGGTCATGATGTTGAACAAGTGTGCAAAGTTTCAAAGCCATATGTCAATGGACTTTGAAAATATTTGAACTATTACAAAAACTTTAACGTAAATTCTAAGTCGAAAAAGGGGCATAATTCTGTCAAAATGCTTGATAGAGTTACCTCCTCCTGTCTACAGGTTGGGGTCATGATGGTGAACAAGTGTGCAAAGTTTCAAAGCCATATGTCAATGGACTTTGAAAAAATTTGAACTATTACAAAAACTTTAACGTAAATTCTAAGTCGAAAAAGGGGCATAATTCTGTCAAAATGCATGATAGAGTTACCTCCTCCTGTCTACAGGTTGGGGTCATGATGGTGAACAAGTGTGCAAAGTTTCAAAGCCATATGTCAATGGACTTTGAAAATATTTGAACTATTACAAAAACTTTAACATAAGTGGTTACGCCGACGCCAACGCTCGGGTGACTGCAATAGCTCTACTTATTCTTATCGAATAGTCGAGCTAAAAACTGTATACTGACGGTATTTTAAAGGCCATGGTAGATGTACAAATAAGAACGGGATATTATATATTTTTTCCTCCAAATTGATATAAATGCTTCACATATTTTAATAGAAATAAAAGGTATCACTCGATCATTATGATCTGACCTTCTTGACTTCTATTATCATGAAAATCATCTATGCACGGCATAGATATCCAGTTTCTACTGGGATATACAATAAATTCCATACTGTGTCCCAGGTTTATTAGAACTGTGTTCGATTTACTGGCGAACAATTTATTCAAAGCATTCACTGATAATATATATTAATATCTTTTTTTATTGATTCATAGAGAAATAATCATCCTTAAACAATCTAAAATGGTTTAGAAATTTGTCAGGGACATCTTATAGGCGTTCACATAAAAAATGTTGTCCGTTTTTGTTGTTGTTTTACTTGACATTGTTAGAAAACGAGGTTGAATGTAAAGCAAGCCGTTGAATCCGTACAAAAGTCCATAAACTCAATGTAATATCTATCAGATTAACGGGACAGACAAATTATTTTCACACATTATGGATATTTTAGCAACTATATTTTTAATCAACCCCGTGGTCGTGCAATTTGCCGCTATGCTTAATTATTTATGTTTCATACATTATGTTACGTACATTGGCCGACAATTTCTTATTTTATAAAAAATGCCAAATAAAAGGTAGACGATATTTATAAAAGATGTACGGTATTTGTTACGAGTAGTATGGACCAGTATGGACCGGTAATTCACGGATATATGGAACTACCGATTTCCCTCAATGATGCCTCAACAGGGGGCGGAGCGTTATCGATAATTAACAGGTTACGCGAATAGCAGATAAAAATGGTACAGGTACAGTTTAAAAACACATTTTTTGGACTAACTGCTTCCAAAATTAAATCACGAATATGTTCAGAAAAGGTTGATAAATCTACTAAGCAAAAAATCTCATTTTAGGTATTTTCAGTGATAATTGACTCCGTTGTCACCTTAATAAATATGAGGATCACAGAAAAATTTCAAACCTTGCTAATTTTGCCATCAGTCTGACCTTTTAGCAACTTAAATACTATGTTATTTTAAAGCCTCTTTACTAATCAGGGAGTAAAACAATATATGCAAAATATTTCCAGAATAGTAAATCTAGCCCCCAGGATGTGTTATGATGTTATTACAGCAATGAAATTTTAGTTAGATCTATAAATTTTTAACATATATTGTGCAGTGTATCTTTTTATTAAGGAAAAACCATAACAGATAATAATTAATTGGCTAACTTCTATCTCCCCCCCCCCCCCCCTTTTTATTTTCCTGCTATAAACATAAAACAGGGTTTAAACATTTTATCACCACACATAGGTTATCACCACAGCATCATGTATAAGCAAATACACATTTTTTCCCCTAAACAATAAAAGACTAACAGTTTTTTTTACCCACACAGTTTCACATAATTATATATAATTATATAATTTAGATATCCTTCTGTACTCATTTACATAGAAATATATTTATAGGAGTTTACAAGGTTTATACAGTACAACACCAATACTTAGACATGGTATCTGAGAGAATTCTATATTTAATTTGATGAAGATGTCTCAGTCATTTATATCTTGGATAATATTCACCAATCATACTCTATACAAAACAATAGCATAGCCTTTACTTTACTGCAACCACACGTAATTAGATCTGCCACCAGTATAAAGCCAGGCCAGCCTGCACATCCATGCAGTGTGACCAGCCTCTATACTGTGTTGGCTGACTTAGGATTTCCATCTTGATAATACAAAATTTTATAATTGACAGTAAAAAAATGGTAACCATTAAAGTCAAATTTAGAAATTTAGCAAGTTACAAAACAACTATGGATTAGATATAAGCCTGTACAAGGCTCACACTGGCTTTAATAAAATTACATTTTAACCTTAAATTTGAATAGCCTAAGTAAATGCCATCAGCATAAAGTTAGTGTGTGTTTGGAATACACCTCTACTGGTTTTTTTTTTTACACATCGCTATTTTTATCAATGCAAGAAAAACAATGGCAGATTTTTACCAGTTTCTGCAGTAGAAAAAATATTCTCCCTTTTAATCAAATTATCATAAATAGCTTTGCATATGATAGTGTGAACCCTGCCTTTAAAATCACATGGGGCTATTTATATCTTTCAGAACCGATGGCTGCAAGGTTAAACACACGAAAAACTATCCTTGCACCTCCTAATGGACGAGACATCTTCACCATATCACCTTTCATTTGTTATTATCCCGTTAATATGTCATTCTTATTATAATATTTCAGTAATTGCATAATTATATCTTCTGAACGTATTGAAAATGACGTATCTTCGATCACAATAGATTAAAGTTTTCTGTATATATTTTAATGTAGGAACACTTTTGTACACTAGATTAAGGTTTTCTGTATATATTTCAATGGTTAAATATTTTTGTACGAACTATATACTAATATTAAAGATTATCCAACAACTATACTCGATCTAAAAAATTTATTTTTTTTATCTTAAACGTCACTTTGGCTCTTTAATGATTAGCAGATTAATACCAGTACGATTGATTAATAGATTACACAGCAAGAAAACTGATGACCTACAGCTAAAAATAAGACACGTTGTGAACCGTTCACGAAACCCACGGTTAAAAAAACAGCACAAGAAAAGATAAACTGTGAACGAGTGATTGTTAAATAAATTGCAAACACGTTTAATACCTTCGTCTTCATGATCTACATCATTAAAATTGTCATCATCATCGTCATCCTCATCTTCATCATCTTCTGAAACCAAATCTTTCACTTTTTTTCAAACTTTCTTTTTCTTATCATCAATTTTATTTTACTATTTCAAGTTATTTCCCCTTTGTTTTGTTGAATTTTCTCATGACAGTTCTCCCCCTTTTTTTGATGGATCTCCTTTCACAAAGATAGTGTTAATATGACATTGGGACTTCCAAGATTCCCTAGTGCTTTGTTTCTTTGCTTGAGTTTTACGTCAAACCGACACAGTATAGGTCATATGGCGACATTCCAGTTTTACCGGTGCAGAAAGACCTCAGGTGCCCTTCCATGCATTATTTCAGGCACAAGCGGACACCCGAGTAGAACCACCTACTTTCCGTAAGCTAGCTGGATAGCTTCCTCACATGAAAGAATCCAAAATCCCTGTCGGGATTCAAACACACAGAGGTGAGGGGAAAGTGGTAGATTCCCTAGTGGAGGAGGACCTTCAGTGAACTGTATGCATTTTGGGTTTTTAGTTTTTTCTTAACAGTGTTAACAAGGCAATGTTCTACCTTTACTAGTGGGAGAGCATTCCAAGTGCTTGACCCCAAAGCATTATTTGAGGAATTATCGTAAATAAATGTAAAATTTATGTGAAAGGACAGCTTCTTATTCAATCTCATAGATAAGATTCAAGGTCAATGACCTTAAAAACTTGGCTAAAGAGGCTGGATTTAAATCGACCTCATCCTATTTCAAATTAATTCCATAATAGTGTTTTTTTGTTTTTTCCACAAAATTTTTCATCTTTATTTTTTTTTTTCACTTTAAATCATCTTATTTAACAAATTTGCAGTTTTTCTAACAATCATTCTTTTCTGGTGAAAGAAAAATTGATTCAGAGCAGTTGTGTGTTACAAAAAAAGTTCAACAAAAAGTGTGTCAAAAAAAAGAAGAGTTAACATAAAATTAATGTTTGAAAAATGAAAATTCTTCCTAAAAAATAGATATTGAACTAAAAATTTGAAGACTTCTACTGGAGCATAACTTAACCTTATTTTCAATGCAGGTTTTTTTCCCAGCTAATATAATATTGTTACTTTAAAATATCATGTAAGATTTTGTAACATTAAGAAATAGAGTAGACAAATGAACTCCTGTTTTATAATATAATACAATGTATAAATATATGATACTATATCCCTTACAAATGATGAGGAAATTATCTTTAATCAAAATACATCCTTGAAAAACTAGCATGTCACTTTAGCAAATACATAATTTTAAAGTGATAACTTCCCCAGCTATGGTAAATTATTTAATGACATCTCAAGTAGCATTTGTAACTCTTAACTAGCTGTTAATTGCAAATAACCCATTACAGAATAAAGAAAATATAAAGAAAACGACTTTGAAACACAAGAGCTGGATTGACTTTTGACCTGAATTTGATGATATGTACTAACCACATACTTGTACTCTTTAATAACATATCAGCTAGAAATTCATTACTAATATCATACTATTATGTTCAACCTTAAAAAAGATTTTATATTTACTATATAGTTATGTTTTTTGGTTTTCAAATATAAGCAAGAGAAAAATGAAACAAAATAATTAGTACTAGGCATAACTAAAAAAATAATCTTTTATTTCCATTAACCAGAACAGCTCTACAAAATCCATACAAAATACTGTATTTTCAATGCATAAAAAGTTAGTTATGGCCACTTCAATGATGTAAATCCAAAGTAATTAATGTTTCATATAAAAACATTAACTTTATATTCAGCCATAATCTATTTTTCCATTATTACTAACTCTAACTACGCTGTATTTTTGTCATTTAAGATAAAAGTCCAAGAACCTTCACTATAAAACCTTGCATGCAGGGAGCAGATTCCTATCTTAAAATTTCGTCACAACTTGGTTCAAAGTAGTTAAACTCTATGACAGTCACTAAACAGCTAGCAACTATATTGACATGTCACTGCCATCATTTAACAGTCAAACAGCCTGTATTTTTGTACAGTCTGAAAAAACTCTTTACATTCAAAAGCTCAATTTTAGATTTTTAATATTGAAACCCCATGAAAGAAAGTTGAAACCCCATTAGAAAACATTAAAATGTTCCAAAAATCACCGCTGGGCAACTTAACTGTACACATTTAGTGGAGTAAATCACAGAATTTTAATATTACCATTATTGCATTGAAGCTTTGATCTGTTTTTATAACATACCTATCAAACTGTACTCTTAAACGCCTAGTCTTCCATCAAATATTTCAATACCTTGATGAAATTTTTATCATTTTTATGTATATATTACAATATGTTTTTCGTTTGAATTTTTTCTTTTTTTTTCCTTTTATTTTTGTGGGTAATTTTGACAAATTCTCTCAGATTTATTACCAACAACTGTTCACCACTAACTACAATACTACCTACGGCAATCATGTCATCTACAAATAATATACCAAATATCACTTCTAATACTGTCCACAGAATACATCTCAAAGTCATATCATCCCCTTATAAGCATTATTTGAAAATGAACCCAAAATACAAAACCCACTTTTGTACAATTTTACATTTTCACCAGAAATCACCTGTTTTTGTTGATGTTTTTTTAATTATTTTATTTTTTTTATATATTTTTTTAAGAGGATTATTTTTAATTCATTTCTTTAGTATCAGTGACCTTTGGAACATACAATATCATCATTTTTAATATCTAATTAACATTCAAAATTACCATTATTCTGCAAAAGGTCTGTAAAATTTTAAAATACGTAAGTTCAAATTTACAGTAGAAAAAAGCCAACAACAAATAACTGATTTCTATACAAATCAATGGATTCTGTGAACAGTACTGTTAGCAATCTGACAAAACAGTGCACAAGACTTACCCCATTCAGGCCCATCCCCATGACTTTGAGCCTCTCCTGCGCCCTCACCAGCCTCGGACACCAAGAAGTCAAATTCTGCTAGCACTTCCTCAGTTTCATCATCCACACCAGCCATACCTTCTATACCAGCAGTCTAAAAATAGCAAATATGTGCTATATTTAGCAAATTTGTTCTAAATTAAGAATTAAAAAGCTGCAGTGTTCTATTTTTAAAATACAAAAGCAATCAAGTGAATAGCAATCAAACTTTCCTCATTTTTCAGTAACTAACAGAATAAATAAATATTTCTTTTTAGCAGGGTCAAAAAATCATACTAACATAGCATAGATAGGGTTTCTAAGAGAAAATTCATGTATGTTTCCACATATTTATCAAAGCAAGTAATGGTATAAACATTTTTTACAAAAGATGTCTTTCATAATCAAAGTGCACACTTTCTTAAAAGTCCATTGATTCAAGTAATCCTAATCAAAGTAAGATACCCAGAATGTACCAATTTAATCTTAAGACCAGCAAATGGTTTTTAACATAAGACCAGCAAAATGATTTTAAATCTTAGGACCAGCAAAAAGATTGTAACATTAAGACCAGCAAAATAATATTTAACATTAAGACCAACAAAATGATAGTTAACATTTAAGACCAACAAAATGTTTTTCAATCTTAAGACCAGCAAAATGATTTTAAACCTTTAAACCAGTAAAATGATTTTTAACATGAAGACCAGCAGAATGATTTTTTACTTTTTATTCAAAATTTGCAGCCACAAATTAAACAATGAAACAAATATGATACTGTACCATTACTTATGCAAAGTAACTGATTTGCACAATCATATATTGTTTTTCCAATATCCAATTTCATTAAAATATTACTTATCATAGAACACATACAGTAGCCAACATGTACAAATGCACTGAAAACACTCTCCGAGATACATTCTACCTAATAGCACTTTATTTAAGAACTAGTGTGCTAAAAATTCATTTATATTCAAATTATTCATTGCTTATGCCTATAAATTCACCTAATTTTCATTAATTTATATCAAACAATAATACAATGTAAACAACAAGAATATTGTACCAAATGAACTTTAGAAACAAGGTTGTAAAAAGCAGAGAACTTTTTTCATTGCATTTATACAGAGTAACTAAAAATAATGCCTTGGCAACTGAATGGATATAAGCTGATTGTATAGATAACACATTGCATATAAATATAAGGTATACAACTATAATTGGTTGTTAACTTTTGTTTGAATGTTGTTAAAAATTTAACAAAAGTATAAAATTTGTTAGAATTACGTTTGAAAACATTTTTTTTTTTCATAAAGGTCTTTGATGGATGTGAGAAATTATTGCTAAACCTACATAAATATTTGTTTAATAGTTTGATAAGAAAAACATTATATATAAATTATGGAGACAATTCTTGCTAAAACTCTTCAGATATTACAGAAAAAGTATGAAAACAACATTTTTGAAATGTTTCTAGCATATCTTACAAGTTACAACTTTCACCCTTTAGTAAGATAGTATTTTATCAGTTAAAGCTTTAACACATTTATTTTTAAATAATAGGAATAGTAAATTTGAATACCACTATCTTGCCCCTGTTCTTTTCTATCCGTTCATCTGCCTCATCTTCAGCTGATATACCCTCCTCATTCTCATCACTGTAAAATAATACAACAAATATAAAACCCATCATAATAAGTAAATAAACATTCATAAATACTCCAGATAAGAATCAGTAACAAAATATCTCCAATATAGATTAGTAAATAAATATTTCTGATACTAAAGTTATCTAAAATTTAGAAATTAGAAACAAGATTGCATTTGAGAAAAATGCTATGCCACCGCATTAATACAGCACTAAATAGTAGTGTGCATTAATACAACACTAAATAGTAGTGTAGGAACGGATATTTTTGTTTCTATGCAATTGAAGATTGTCATAATGCATAGATCCCTGACCTATCTAATTCTGTTGATAAGAATTAGATAGGTCAGGGATCTATGCATTATGACAATCTTTAGTGGTTGAATCTATTGTTAATCCAACAAAAGATCAGAGTAGGAATATATCAATGCACTTGAGTCTTGTTAATTTGGTGGTGAAGGTCATATTTCTCACAGCCTAAATTTCATGACTATATCAAAGGACAACACAGTAAGACACTTTGTTAAAATCTAAGTCAGCTAATATCAAAGTTCACTTTACATCTTAATCTGTGCACATGGTTCAAATTTCATAGCTGTACATCAAAGGACAAGAGAGTAAGTCACATCATCAAAATCTAGATCACCTGATATCAAAGTTCAATTTTACAACTTAAACTGTGCACATGGTCAAAATTTCATTGCTGTACATCAAAGGATAAGAAAGTAGGTCACTTTCCCCTTGGGCAAGGCAAAATTTTGACCCAAGGGTTTTATTCAAACAATCTTGATACAGGTCCACCAAACAACATTTCAAGTCAAATATCTAAGCTGTAGCTTTCTCCCATTCAGAAAACATTTGTTTTATTTTCTGTTTTTACTATGTGTTCATAATGAGAATCACTGCCCCTGGGCAGGGCCAATTTTGACACCAAGGAAAAATTTGAACAACTTTGGTAGAGGACCTATAGATGATATTATATAGCAAACATCAAAGCTCTATGCCTTGTACCTTCAAACAAAAATACTTTTTTTTTTTACTATATGTACATAATGAAAATCAATGACCCCCGGTCCGAACCAATTTTGACCCAAGGGCTATAATTTGAACAATCTTGGTAGAAGTTCACTTCGCAAAGTCTCATGCCATATATTTAACCTCTAGCCTTTGTCAATTCAGAGAAGAAATTTTTCAAGTTTTAACTTTATTTTTTTTGTTTGTTTTGGGTTTTACGTCACATCAACACAGTATAGGTCATATCGCGACGTTCCAGCTTTACTGGTGGAGGAAGACCTCAGGTGCCCCTCCGTGCATTATTTCAGGCACGAACGGGCACCTGAGTAGAACCACCAACGTCCCGTAAGCTAGCTGGATAGCTTCCTCACATGAAAGAATCCAAAGTCCCTGTCGGGATTCGAACCCACAGCGGTGAGGGGCAAGTGGTTTGAAGTCAACGACCTTAACCACTCGGCCACGGACGACCCAACATTTTAACTTTATACATATAAGGAAAACTATCGCCTCTGGGGCAGGGCAATTTTTAACTCTAGGGGCATACTTAAAACAACTTTAGTAGAGGACCCATGATATAACATACCCAATATAAAATCTCTTAAGCCTTAAAGTACCTTCAGACAAGACATTTTTTTTACTATATGTACATAGTGAAAATCAATGACCCCTAGGGGTGGAGCCAATTTTGACCCCAGGGCTATAATTTGTACAATCTTGCTAGAGGTTCACTACACAATGTTTCATGCAAAATATCTTAACTCCAGCCTTAATAAATTTAGAGAAGATGATTTTTAAATTTTACTATATACATATTAGGAAAACCTATGGCCCCCAGGGCGGGGCTAATTTTGACACTAGAGGCAAAATCTGAACAACTTTGGTAGAGTACCTATAGATTATATCATTTAACAAATATTAAAGCTCTAAGCCTTGTACCTTCAGACAATAAGATTTTTTACTATATGTATATATTGAAAATCAATGACCCCCAGGGTGAGGCCGATTTTGACCCCAGGGCTATAATTTGAACAATCTTGCTAGAGGTTCACTACACAATGTTTCATGCAAAAATATCTAACCTCTATCATTTGTCAATTGTTTTACTATAAGTTTTACTTTATACATCTAAGGAAAACCAATGACCCCCGCGGGGCAGGGCCGATTTTGACCCCAGGGCTATAATTTGAACAATCTGGGTAGAAGTCTACCAGACAATGCCTTATGCAAAATATCTAACCTCTAGGCCTTTGGGTCTTTACAAGAAGGTATTTTAAGTTTTTACTATATGTACATATAGTGAAAACCAATGACCCCCGGGCGGGGCTGATTTTGACCCCAGGGCTATCATTTGAACAATCTTGGTAAGGGTCTACCAGACAATGCCTTATGCAAAATATCAAAGCTCTCTAGGCCTTTTGGGTCTTTACAAGAGGGTATTTTACGTTTTTACTATATGTCATATAGTGAAAATCAATGACCCCCAGGGCGGGGCCGATTTTGACCCCAGGCTATAATTTGAACAATCTTGGTAGATGTCTACCAGACAATGCTTTGTGCAAAATATCTAAGCTCTAGGCCTTTTGGGTCTTTACAAGAAGATTTTTTAAATTTATTCTTATAATTCCTTTTGGTTGCCATGGCAACCAGATTTCTGCATGGAATGAAATTCTTTGAACAACTTTGGAAGCCCTTCACACAAGGATCAATCCTGCCAAGTTTGGTTGAAATTGGACCAGTGGTTTTTCACAAGAAGATTTTTGAAGTTCACTATATAATCTATATAACACACACACACACAAACAAACACACACACACACGCACACACACACAGGTGAATCGCTATATGCCACCGCATCGCAGATGCTGCGGTGGCATAAAAAGATGTAAAACATTATGCTTATCATGTCAAAATAAGCAAAGGATATTTTTCAAAGTTTCAGACGTTTAAAAAGGAAATGATCTTGATTTTGGAGCAACAGCAAAAAATTGGTCAAATTCAAATTATAGTGCAGTTATTGGTCGGCAAACCTTATTTACATGATATTTTTGTGGGCTTTGCTTTTTCCAAGGATTTTAAATCATTTGTATTTTATACATGTAAATTGTGACAGGATGTCAAGAGGGAAACCTCATGCAAAAGATGTTAATATGAATTTCACACACATTCAGGACTTTCAACTGACATCATTCTATCTCTGTCCTTGATGAACAAATAGAACAATCAGATATAGTCTCGGCAGATCTCCTTATCTCCTATTTTGTAAAAGTTAAAGTTACTTAGAAGAAACTTTATAACACTTGCTGGGTTCAAACGGGCACATAGTTGGTAAGAATTTCAATATCCATTTTATACAAAGTTTAATCTATAGCATTATAAGTAATACTGTTAAAAGTACAAATGTATATTAATTTTCTAAATAGTATAAAAACACTACAAGTGGATTAAAACTTAATGTGATCAAATACCATGCATATATTGTTTTGTTTTTTTAAAATGACAAAAATTATCTATACAAATTTATTCAGGAGCAGTATTAACATTCTATTGATTGGTAAAAACTGTTAAAAATTAACAGAGACAGAAATAATGCCATAATCTTACATGAACATTTTTTTCCTTCAGGTTTTTGAAAAACATTTTGTTATATATAATATTGCTAAATGACAAATATGTAAATGATTTTTCTATCATACAAATGAAAGTAATGATAAGATTGTTGATGATGATTGAACAGAAACACGTTATCTGGCGTACCTTAAATTTTCGTCATCATCATCGACAACATTTTCATTGGCTAGGAAATCAAAAGTAGCGAGAACGGACGCCTCACTGTCCATGAGAGCCCCCTCGACTAGTGATGCAGGCATCTTTCCTGAACCTCTGTCAAACAGATCAAAGACAGGTACATGCATATGCCAGAAGTGACATGCGGAGATTTGTAAATGATGCTATATATATATCATGGCTTTATCAAGTTTTATATATGAAAGAATTAAAAAGAATTCTAACCAATAAAGTAGAAGATTTCAATCAGTGAATTATTGTATCATACCAGAAAGGATTAAATACAGACAGAATAGCTTACATAGGGATTAGCAAATTCATATCAGTTTTGGAAACAAGAAAGCCATGTTGGCCCTTAATAGCTCATCTGCAAACTACTGCGAGACAAGGTTATAATTTGTACCATTCAGAAATAGGTCACAAGTTGATATTCATGGTAATCCAAGCTAAAATAATTTACCACATAAACAATATATTGTTTAAACAACTGTGGTACAGCCTCATGCATGGAACATCAGAGGCATAGCAGTTTCACAGGTGATATCATAAGCTAACATTGTTGATAACTGATGACAGACAGACTGACAACCAGATACTGATCCTAAAAGCTCACACAAGCAATGCATGCCTAGGTGAGCTTAAAGTATATATATTTTCACTTCATACTGCATAAAAAATCATGACATAAGAAAACTGGTGCTAACCTGGCTTTTCCTTGATCAATGGCTCTTCTGTTGTTCATACTGTCTCCGTTGACTAGAGCAGGCTGTGCGCCTTCACCGGTGTCAGTCTGAGGTTGAAGTCCCAGCAGGGAGCGAACTCGCGCTGAACGTACATCAATAATTGTGTCAGTGTATCCTATCTCTTGTAAATATCTGAAAGTTACAATTCAACAGTTTTATTTCTGCAAATTGCAGAACATGTATCAAGCAAAAGTATAAAAATTCTGACAATATAACTTATTCAGCATGCTGAAAGTTAAGACTACCTTTCTAGAGTGAAAAGAGACATTTATCTATCAAGTAAATGATTGAGGGCTATTGGAAGAATTTAATTTTTGATACTACTCCTTGTTTTAATGGCAGGTATGAGGGGAGGGTTGTGGTACACCTGTGTAGAACCACTGACCTACTAAAATTACATATAATTACAAATTTTGACAAACATACTGTAGTTTAACTAGAGTTAGTCCAGAATTAACAATCTGCATTCAATACAACAAATTACTCATAAAAACTCACTGTCTAAGGAGTTGCCTCCCTTGTCTCCAGGTAGCACTACTTGCTGGTGCTGCCACTGGATTTGTATCTATTACTTCATCTGCAGAAAGAGAATGACTCACATTAAATTTTGTATCATCTTACAGGCATTAAATTACTAATAATTTATTATCAAAGTGATAGAAAAGCCTAAATATTACTTAAATCTTTATGAAATACTATATACAAGTATATTATACGAGGGTTGTCCCAAAATGTCGTAGACTACATTATTTTCTCTTCAACCTGACGTCATAACTTAATAAAATTTACCAGATATCTTCCTTGGTCATTTGTTAATTTACCTTCTTAAAGTAAATAGCCAATATATAAGGTAACGCTTTTTATCAGGGTTTTATATTAATTAAACAGTACAACATACCCGGAGCACCATAAAATATTAGTCAGTGTTGAGAGCATGCTTCTTAAAAACATGCCTTTAACTTCCAGCATAATATTATTATAATAATTATGGGAAATACATTCCTGTGGAACGACGTCATTCATTTTTACGTCATATCCCAAACAGACATTTATGTAACGCTACTTTGAAAAAATCTGTAGCATAATATGTAACAGCAATGCTACTTTGAAAATTCCCAAAATGGCGACGTCAGATGAAAATGCGGCGCAGCGCGATGTCATTGAATACTCTGTTCAGTTCAAGAAGCCTCCAGCATTAACTGACAACATGGAGAACATTATATTTTATCAAGATAATGCACTTTGCCATAGATCTCAGGAGAAACAGCTTGAACTTGATGTGATAGGTTTTTAGAGACTTCCATACGCCCTTAGACTTTGCAGTGTTTCCTTATGTGAAATCACAATTACGAGGTCACCCTGAGGTTCGAAAATTTCAGGGTACTAAGCAAGGAAACTCGACGAGTGTTGAGAACATTAAAGTAGGACTATTTTGAAAATGGTTATGATAAATGGGTCGCCCGACACCGACAGTGGATCGAAAAACACGGAGAATACTTTGAAAAACATTTTTTTTAAATCTTGTAACGTCATGACGTTTATGACGGCGTGCGCCGGGTATGTATAGGTAGCATTCTTTAAATTTTAATAACTTGGTCATTTTTGGAGGTATTTTGATTTTATTTCGCATAGACACACATAAAAGGTGTATTGACTTTTCCCTGGCTTGACGACTCTATTGTTTTATAATTGATTGATTGATTTGTCTACGATATTTTGGGACAACCCTCGTACAACATCAATAAAGTGGGTACGAACAAACAGCACAGGTTTATAGCTGTAAGCCTATGTTTCGACTCTAAAAAATCTTTATCAGTGTTTGAAAATATTCAATAAAATATATCTTGTATGTTGGCACTATTTAAGGTATTAGCACCCTAATGCATTACCTCCGCTTTGAAGAGTATTCAAATAGGCTAGAACTACTGTTAACTACATTGAAAATGAGGGCCATGGGTTCAATCCCCAGAAGGGTCAACTTTTTTTTTCTTTCTTTTTTTCTTTTAACATTATTTATGTATCTCTCATGTCCCATTTGGAAAGAAAAAAGTGTTTAATTTTGATTTTCTAATTTATATAGCTATTTATTGGCTAAATTATGCTAAATCTAGTAATAAATATGGAACCTGATATTTTCAAAGTGTAATATAATCAAAACTAGACGGTAAAAGCATTTCATATTTTACAAGATCAACCAATATACTTTTTTAAAAATTTAGGGAAACTTTGAAAACAGGCACTCATTTGGGTAAATTTTAAGATTTTTTTAAATTAGGCTCCCTAAGTAGAAAAATGGTCAGACACGTGGTAAAAATGGGTGGGGTAGGGTAACATTTTTATACAGATTTCATAAATTTTAAGTAGAAACCATAATTTTGCTTATTTGGATTGTTAGCTGAATGGTACTATTTGTTTCTTACCAAAAATTAATGGGAAAACATTTTTCATTAGAATGTTATTGCAGATTATTTAAAGGTTCTTACTTTCTAAACAAGAGCTGTCCGTAAGACAGCGCGCTCGACTTTTTTATTGCTTGCCAATAAAAAAAGTTTTTGCAGTAAAAGGCAATACAAGAATCTCTGTATTTTTAAAGTGAACTAGTTGTTTGATACCCTTGAATATTACAGCAATGTTTATATGACATAATTTATGGTAAAGTGAACAAGTGGATAGGAATGAATTTTTTTAGATTTTTTAAGTTTTTTAGTGCTTGCCTATAATACAAAACATTGACAGTTAAGGGCCATAATTCAAATAAAATCTTTGACAGAATTACCTTCTCCTGGACATGTTAGGGAATCATGATTGTAAACAAGTATTCCAACTTTCAAATTAATATCTCAAACAGTTCAGTCAAAAAGTGGACTGGTACTAAAAACTTAACCAAGATTCTAAGTCGATAAAAGGCCTTAATTTTTAAAACAAATCCTTGACAGAGTTACCTTCTCTTGCGTACAGATGGGGGTAATGATGTGAAATAGCATTAAAAGTTTCAAAGCAATATCTCAAAGGGTTAAGGCAATAAGTGGATTTTACCCATATTCAATGTATTTTCTAAGTCAAAAAGGGGCATAATTCTGTCAAAAACCTTGACAGAGTTATGTCCTCTTGTCTGTTGATGAAGGTCGTGATGGTAAACAAAGTATGGTCAGTTTCAAAGCAATACCTCCAATGGTTTTTGAAATAAAGTGAGGTGGTACAAAAAACTTAACCAAGCTCAATACACTTTCTAAGTCAAAAAAGGGCCATAATTCTGTCAAAAACCTTGACAGAGTTATGTACTCTTGTCTGTAGATGGAGGTTATGATGGTGAACAAGTATGGTAAGTTTCAAAGCCATACTTGTAATACTTCTGAAATAAAGTGGGGTGGTACGAAAAACTTAACCAAGGTGTGACGCCGACGCCGACGCCGGGGCCAGTAGGATAGCTCCCCTTTTCATAGAAAAGTCGAGCTAAAAAGGACCCTCATAACATCCTAGCTTGAGTTCAGAAAAGTGCCCATAACTTGATTTCCGTACGGTAAACTTTGTTTAAATTTTGCATACAGGTGTACTTTAAGGTATGCATCTGACTTATGATGTCAATTTTTTAGTTCCTGATAGTGCCCATTAGGGTCCTAATACCTTAAGTCATTTAGCTACTGTTGGGCTAATTTTTAAGGGAAATAGTAAACTTCAATAATTTCAAGAATATCCAGTGGAAATGTTTTCAACTTTTAAATTCACATTTATCAAGTTGAATGCATGCAAGTCTGCATACTAATTACTTCATTGTTGCAAAGAAACTTGTCAACTGTGCATGCTTTATTTATTTTCAATGAAATAAAAAAAAAATCAGTGTCATACTTTATCCAATAATAACATATAAGAACAGAGAAAGTCTTGAAGTATAGACAAGATTAATAAATGTTCATCACAACAGACAGGATTTACATCAATCTTTCCAATATAATAAAGTAACTTAAATCCTTGTAAAGGTCAGGATAATAAACAATATATAACACCCTAAAGATATTTCAAACATCTTATGTAAATTGCCAAGTCATTTGGCTCCTCAGATTTCTGAAAATTAAAACCATCATGATAAATTATGTTTTTTACTACATAATACATTGTAGCTCAAGACTTATCTGATAACCTGAGATATTCTTAATCTTAAAGGGCAAAATAACTTTAACAGACAAATTATGTTACAATACCGGCAGAATCTTTGTCAAAGCTTGGGGGCTTCAGTTCATCTTGATTCAATTCAGAACCATATTTCAGTTTGTGGTATTTTGCTCTGAAAACAGACAGAAAAGTTATCATAAAATCAATGTCCCAAAATGAGTACATTTTACTACAGTATATCATTATATGTGAATGATTCATGTGAAATGTGTTACTTTTCCTTTTTTTATTTTACTGAAGAGTGAAGATTCTGTTTTTAGCATACATGTAAGATTAAGAAAAGTGTTGATGTTCTTTATTATTATCTAGAAATTTTAGTCATGAAAGTATTTCTAACACCATAAAACATTCAATTTCCAATTATGACTGGATGGCGCTTTAAGTCATGCTAGATGACTGCTTGCTGGGTGTCATAACCAGTATTCCCACTAGTATTGTGGATAATGAATTTGAACCAATTTCCTTGGGTTTAGTCTGATGCTCTACCTCTACACTTATCTTCCTCTTTACAATAGTCTCAATAACATATTGTTACAGATCCTTTTTTCACCTTAGTAAAATATTTAGAACATGAAAGTTAAATGAATTAAAACACCTCAGATTGACAGTAATCTTTTTGTTGTTCAGCCTATGCTGATAGCCAACAGGAACATACCTTTCTTGCTTTAGCGCAAATTCTAACATTTTGATTCTTCTAACCAAATCCTGCTTCAGATTCTCCTGTCCCTTTCTCTCCCCTTGTAAGAAAGCAATCCTTGCCTGTAAAAGAAAACAATTTGATGAAAAAAACTTGCTGTGAAGATTATGTACATAACTGAGATCTGGAAGTTGCCTAACACAAAATATTTGTTCTTATTTACATGAAAATCCATTGGGATTTTTTTTATATTAATAGACATTTCTTGTTGACCAGTCTGACTTGGAAACAAAATCAACTAGTAATTGATAACATAACTATTGTTTTTGTTTTTCACATGGGGTGAAATTTATTCTGAAATGTAGTAATGTTCATATAAAGCATGATGTCACTGTTCACTATAATTCTTTTCATTTGTATCCACACATCCAAAATTACCAAGAATCTTTCCAGACCAAAAGAAACCTGCCAATTTTATTCAATACAGTCTAACTTGCCCATGCGACCACGTGTATTAAGCGACTTTTGTCTTAAACGACCACTTTAAATTCCCCCCAATCATTTTCTCTCTATATCTTTAATGTATTAAGCGACTTTTGCTCAACGCGACCAGCGACCGCTAATTAATCACCTAATTGAGATAAAGCTTTTCATTAAACGACCACTTTTACCTGTCAAGTAATTGTGTTTTTTTAGAGAACGCCGCCGTGTAATGTGACAAGTGTCAACAATCAAAACACAACAAATAAACGTGTGAAAATCTCTATTTCCAAACCGGTTTAGCGTATGCAAATGAAGGTAAGTATACGCGTGACGTTTATTATCCAATAATATCGGATAAAACAATGCAACGCTCCGCCCCTACTGAGATGGTGTATACGCTTGGCTTGTTGACATTTAGACTGCATTGAATTGACCTTGAACTTGATCAGCAGTTAAATTTATCGTAACAATTAGATGTAGTTTGTTTATCTCAAATAAAAAATGCACAACAGAAAACATCTTCACTATTAGGGGTTTCGTGTTGGAGACAAGGAAAAACAACGGAGAAGTTAACAAATTCTGGAAAAAATGTCACACATGTACGTAATGGATCAAAACTGTTTTGTCAATAAATATCAGAAAGTTATTTTTTACATTTGCATCCATTTAGATTATCGGAGCGTACTAATTATTCAACATTTATATAAAAATGAAGTTAAAAAGCATTCCTACCGCATAAGAAAGATGTCATTTATAAATTTTGACTTTTATATCATGCTGACTGTCTTAAGAGACCGTTTCATTAAGCGACCGTTTTGGGTGTTTCCCTTGCGCGGTCGCTTAATACACGTTTGACTGTATTCTGTTTACTTTGTAAGCTTTACATTCTAACTACGATTACTACATGTATATAAATATATGAATAAACAAAGATCACTGTAAGCTCAGCTGTGTAAGCTAAATATAATTTAAGCTGGGCAACTTGATAACAAAAGTTAAAAGCCCAACTAATTGAATTTCAAAGTTTATTTACAATTACATCCCTGTTTAAATTAATCAATGAAACAGCACCATGAATCATTATTTACTGTTGAAAATTACCCCCGATAGAAAAGATAAAACTTAGTACAGTAGAACACAAACCCCCTTCTAACCATTTATAAATTTATGCCTTAGCCTAGTTCCTTATAAGTTCTATTGTTATTTAAAGAATCTTTAGGTTTCTTCCGGTATTTTGATGTCTTTGGTATTGCAATGTGCACTGGTGGAGCTAGCTTAAGGTCTTCAGCATTCCCGTTTATATACTATGATATGATGTGAACGCTGAAGACAGACCCATAGGGAAAGTCCACCAATAATAGTGCCAGGAATCTGACATGCTTGTATTCATTCATCGAACATGCCATAAAGTAAAGTGAAGCATACCTTGATAAAACTATATATAATCTGTTGATAAGCCAAGGATGAACAAATAAAAATCTTATTACGAACATAAACTACCTAATAGTGTTCAACAGGTAAAAAAATTCAGCACTTGGCCGCCATATTGCCAAAATATTTGACCACGTGATTACGAGATTGACCATGACAAACCCATGTGCTTCCAATATTTTTATAAATTACTTTTTTTTAAAGATATTGAAAAAGGTGATTTACTGTCTTTTGTATTCAATATTATCATATTTTAATTTAAGTACTAAAAAATTAATGAAAATAAATAAAAATATTATCTTGAATAAAAATATCGAAACATGTCAACAAAGATGTTCTGAATATAGTACACGACTCTACCCTAATTGATTCCCACGAATGACGTCAAACGAGGTCTCGCGTAGCACCTCAATGTCATGGCCAACTGTAGTCGACGTAATGGATGTTTTAGGCAATTTTAATGACGGTATTAACATTTTGATACTTTAAATGGTATAGAACGATATTAAAATAATTGTTTTATCGTAAAATGCACAAGTATTGATTGGGACAAGTGTGTTTGCAAGTGAAAAATAAGGTTAAATCAACTTATGTTATTCTGGTTAGGTTTCGTAACAGGTCTCATCCAAAACTTTAATGCAGCATCAGATGAAAAACAAAAATGTTAAATAGCTGCTTATAAAGTTTTGGAAGCCAGAACTATGGTCGAGCATGCCTTTCTTCGCTGTTCTCCAGTATAGTCAATGAGTCATAGTTTAATTGTTTAATGAATTACAATATGTAGGGCACTTGAGTCTTGATAGTGGAAAAAAGTATGACAACCAAATATTCTGTTTGTGGTTTTCTCTCTTCCACTAATGTCAAACCACTTTTGGGGATGTAGACATAAATTATTTATTAAGTTTTATTCAAACATTCCTTCCTACCACAGAACTAAAAGCATATAACAGTGCAATATTTAGATGTTAATTGTCTAATTGCCGACATTGAAAAATACATTACAGAATATGATGTAATTACAGGGCCTTTTTACCTTCTATAACAGGGGCCGGTATAGGGCTGCTTCCCCAAAGAAAATTTCTTTAAAATCATGCAGTTTTCCCTAAAAATTGAATTTACATAAAGTTTTTTCCTCCTTTTGCAAATATACTATGTCATTTTCCCCAAAATTAAGGGCATGGCTGCTTCCCCAACCTGTGAAAAAAAGCCCTGAATTAAGTCGGTCACTGCAATTGCACCTTGAAATAATGTAATTTTATCAGACAAAATCAAGGAGATTGTCAATCGGCTTACAGACAACTCACCCCCCAGACGATTCACCCTAAGCCATTTTTTCCAGACAATTCACCCATCAGACAGTTCACCCCGCATTATTGGATTTTTGACACAGACAATTCACCCCCCATTTTCTTAAATTTAATTTTGATGAAATTTATCTTAAAATTAGAAGATGCAATAAACAAATTTGTTGTGTTTCTTTACTAAATTGATATTTATAAATTAGTCATATTTAAAGTGGGGGAAATATATGGACGAATTGTTAAGTGCAGTGATAACTAGTGATTAGATACATTCCTGGCAGAGACATGGAATATTCCCAAACCCAAATGATACTAATCCCCATTATATGTGATAATGACATTAAAAGACAATCATGCAATATTCTCAAATGTCCCGATTATACTTAAATGACATAAAATGACATTTTGAAATCTTACAATATTCCCAAAAAGAAATGGTACAATGTACTTCTTCTCCATGATATTTTGTTGAAGTGACAATCAAGCAATGATAAGGTGATAAGGATAATTAAACAGTTGTACATGTTTGCATAAAAATTTTGCATAAAAATATCAAGATTATTATGGGCTATTTGATTTGATCATGGTATATGTGCTGTTACGTTTTGTAAATATGACATACTAAATAAATAAATAAATAAATATACCGACTTTTTTAATCTTTTTTACCCATAAACATGATTATCATTTATGAGGGGTGAATTGTCTTATCTATTTTGAGGGGTGAACTGTCTTGAGGGGTGAGTTGTCTTGCTTTTTTGAGGGGTGAATCGTCTGGGGGGTGAGTTGTCTTGTTACCTGTCAATCTATTCAAATGCCTGTCACTCATTTTTCTTTTAATCATAATAATTTGTCAAAACACTCATGGGATTGGGACATAGACATTAATTCAATTAAAATGACAGCTTTCTGTTTATTGAACAGTAATTAAAACACGTCTTCGCTGAAAATGATATCCAGTATCTTATACTCTGACACTGTATTTACGTTAGGTTCATTTTCCAAACAAAGATCATGACCAGATGTAGGTCAAGATTAGTAATAAACACATTAGCTATGGTCTGATGCATATATGACTTATATATGAAATGTATGCAAGTGTAAATTGTATAAAATTATTGGCTTTATAATGCTAACGACAACATGAATAGTTCCATTGAATCTCGACCTGTAATTCCGCTCTTTCAACTTCCCACTGACTTCGTTCCATCTCAAAACGGGCCCATTCCGTTTGAAGAAAGTGCAAAATACCCGGCATAGAGTATTGTGTTCTTTGGTTTGATTCATCTTGCTGTTGTCTAGACGTCATACCCGGCCCTCCAGACATCATCGGATTCCCCTGTCCCCCAGAAAGCGAACCTGGCCCTTCGTCTATCATTTTTCTTGTACGGCCGCCATTAGAATCTGATTATTGCCTGCAGAGGGCGCTGCAAAAACAAAAATTGACGTCACTCGGCATTCTTTGCTTGTTTAAGAAAAATATAATTGTAAAGAATATGTTCTTTCAATATTTTGTTAATCAAGCGTGTGTATTCAACAAAGCAAAAGTTCCAAAAGGTGGCAGTTAAAATTGAAGAGCAAACTATTTATATATAACATCTATCCACGTAATCAGTCTGAAAACAATTTTAACCACTAGTTTATGGATGCAAAAGAAAATTAATTAGTCCAAGTTGACCAGATTGAAATAAGGGTAATATTCAGAGCTTTAACCGCTCTTTTTTATGATTTTGTACATTGGAAGTGTCACTGCAGGACGAACTTGTATAGATGTAGGAAAAACAAAAGAGATATGTTTGAATGAATAAAGGGCATTTTAAATATAATACAGTATTATCATGGAGCTAAATAGATGTTTATATATCTGTGGTATTATCTATTTTTGTGTTTCTGTTGAATTTTGTGCCACATTGATATACAATTAAAGCTATAAAAAATAATGAGAATTACTTACATTTCATTTTTCTCCTGCAAATTATGAATAAAATACATGTATATATGTTTCTCCTACTCCCTTTGAAATGCCCGGTCTTTATGAATGGGCCCGGAAATCTTTATAACTTAATTTTAGCGCTCGCGTATCTGACGCCGTCATGCATAAGTACATTATAATTAAGATTATGCAAAACGTGCTATGCTCAATGATGCATATCAATGACTTCGTTTTTTCGGCCGTTACATAACCAAATGTGTTATAAAATAATAACTTGTATATATAATATCATATGATGATATTAACTTAATATAGTTTCTAATTCAAAAATCTTTAAAATGTGGAATATCAAAACCAACATGCATTGATTATTGTCTAGCACAATTTGATTTCAAATTTGAGAGACTCTGTTGAGATCATGTAAATTCATAGATTATTCATTTAAATGACAGATATAGAAGCAAAGTTCCAGGATTTATTAACCCTTTCCCCCATGAGCATACTGTGAAAAATGGTTATTTTCACTGAAAAGCCTCCTCTTACAAGTTCAAACTGCTATGAAACTATGAAAAATGCTTCAATACTAATCAAACTTGGCACAAATGTTGACTGGACCATTGCCTTTGTAACGACATGCTCAGTCTTAAATTTCCTGTTACCATGGCAACGAGGGGACATCTCAAAATTGCCAAAAATCACTATTTTGCCTCGATTTTTTTCATCAAAATTTATTTCAAAGTGCTGCAACTTTTCAACGGATTGAGATAGAGTCAAAGGCTTTTCAGCGTTGGTTACACGTTACCTTATGGTCGACCTGGGGTCATTTTAAGCCTCTCACAAGTCCAAAATTTTCTTGGCGATGAGGGGGACTCCGCCCCCCTTCAAGTTTCAAGTTTATTAAATATATCTCAGTATGTAATAAACAAACCTTCAAACCCCCCAAACAGAAGGGGGCACATCCCCCTTCTTGCAACCCCCTGATTTATCTTTTGGATGGGGGACGGCGCCGAAAAAGTGCTCACTTTTTTTTGGCAACATTTCTCAAACGAAAACATGTGTTTGGGACCCAAATAGGACATTTTTTCACTATTTCAGGCCTAAAAAAAGGGGGGGGGGGTCGTAAGTGCGTTGTTTCCCGTATATATGAGGTAAAGGGTTAATTATTTATACACTCTTTTTTTCTTTGTATGCAAGTTTACCACTTAACAAATTTGATGTAGATTCAATTGCCACATTATTTTCTAATTTAATGTTGAAATTGAATTATCTTAAACCATACAAAAATACAAATTTACTGTAAATTTATAATATTGCTGTATAAAAAAAAATTTTACACAGTATAATTTTTAACAAATTTTATTCAAAAAATATTTTGTTTTAAATAATATTCTTTTTTGACAGATAAATTAATCATAAAAGCTTTTCTTGACATGTTTTTTGTACGTAATAAAAAAATAAAAAATTATTAAAGAAAATTAACCTTATTTTTAAATTTTTCATTCATTTAATTTTTTTTCCCTTTATTTTTATTCATTCTTTCTTATTTTTTTTACCCCCCAATTTGGCATAAAAATAAAAAAGGTAAAAATTTCTTTAAAATAAAATATCATATATAATCATTTTAATGAAAACGAACGTTTTTCTTTATTTTTTCGACGTTTAGTCTACTTCAGGAAAAAATGACGCTTTTTATATACATGTATATATGTAAAATATTGAAATATATTTCAAATCACTAGAGGTATTAAATTGCATTGCTTTCAGTCAGGCATACACTTTTACAACATCCCTGAATTTAAGTAACTACTACATAAAAACAGACTGTTCATAATAAATGGTCAGCTATTTAAAAACGTATTAATTACAGTACAACATGTCTAAATTGTTGCCTTTTAACAGACGAAGCTTTCATTTAAGGGAGAAGAGACAATGTTTATCTCGGTATTGCTCGCTTGAAGTTATTTGTATTGTGTTTCGGCGTGAAAAAAAAAACGCATTTATGAATTTGACCAATTCTAAAAACTTCTTATTGTTTATTATGTCAGAATGAAAAAAATCTTTTCAATTGTACAAAATATCACGCTCGATTAAAATTAAATTTGCTAAATTATTCAACAACAAAAATCAAGAAAGCCTACAAACAGAAAGTAGACTTGACAGCTAAGCAGGGAGAGAGATGGGTGTAAAAGTTTAGAGCGTTGGATGCTTGACAACAACATTTATTATTGGTAATTACTAGGTTTGGCTATCACATTTTTAATAAAGATACTTAAGGTATAAGAATTAAAATATCATAAGGATGCATCATTATTATTGCATTATAATACAAGGCCCAAGTTGCCCAGATGAAGCGACACTCTACCCATATTATGCATCCAATCTAGGAATAATATAATACTATGTCCTAAAACCATACTTTTAATTGATTTTAAGGAGTGTAGTAATATCATCAAGAAGAATAACTAAGTTACTACATGAACTGATTGTTAACTTTTTATAGGTTTTTTAAAATGTTCAGGAGAGTTATAAAAAAGGTAGATTTTTTTTCATGGTCATTGTTGTTATTGAATTAGCTAGTATACTGCAGATCTTTCAATAGAATTGAAAAGGCTTAAAAGAACATCCACAAGGGACAACTTTCTATGTTATTTTCATGATTTTCAAATACAGCTCAGAGGCTGTTATGATATAACTAATATTGCAAGTTTATGGACTGTCTCCTTTTAGTATCAGCTCAATATTTTAATCATATATATTATATTCTCTTGATTAAACATTGCATTACAACAAAATGTGGGCAAACATTATTTTTCCCTTTTCAGATTACTCTACTTTTCCTGTAAACATAACATACATAGACTACAGGATGATAAAATACTTATTTGTGGTAAACACAAAGGATAAACTACGTTTAGTCAGATATTATAGTCAATACACCACTGAGGAAAGAGTACAGCTACAGACTGATGTGACCAAACTTTGTCTTAGTAGGTCTGATAATCAGGTAAATATTAAACTTAAAAATCTTTAAGCCACTCTAAAAAAATGTTTGTTGGCTTGCAGCTTCCCACAAATTCTTTTTTTTTTTGGTCAGCTCATTAATAAGGAAGGTAAAGTCAGATACATACTGCATACCATTCTCACAAGATGGAAAAAAAACCATAACTGCAGCCTTATTGAACTTCAGACCTTCAGAACAATATTGTGCAGATCGATCATTAAGCTTTAAACTACATGTATACACGTTTTCTTAGTTCTATACCGTGATTATAACTCCCCTTAAGTGCCAGAGAACAATGTGAATTAACTCTAGAGTTATATATCCTTACAAGCTTATAAAAAGTCCCATTGATAGAATGTACATACTATTTTTCTGGTGTACTTTCTTGTTTTGTTGAATGATGAAGCAACAACAACAACAACATAAACTTTATTAAGCTCAAGCCAAAATAACAAGCATGTGATAATGCAGCGAATGATTTAAACAAAAACACCTTGTGAGGTCACGTGACTGATTGTTTGCTTAAGCACAGGGATGTATCTCTAACATATTATACATGTAAGTCAAAGTACTAAATACTTTGTTTAAAGGCTTAAATTCTTTCATGATCTTGGTGAAATTGAGAGTAAACAATCTTAAATAGAGACAGGCTGATCTGTATATTCAGGCCAAGTCTGTATGCCATGCAGATCAGAAATTTTTATACCAAAGAGGGTTTCAAAATTCCAAAGGGTAATACATATTCCACTGGGGGTCAAAATTTGCAAGTCAAAATTTTGCTGATTTTTACTAATTTTTGTGCAATCTTTGCTAAAAATTTCCAAGGGGTCAGGCTTGGGGATGGTTGGGGTTATTACCCCATACCCCCCACTTCTGGATCCATCATGCATTCTGACCAGTCTTAATACTGTTGGTTGACAAACTTCAATTTTCATGATGATTTTCCAAAAATTTATGAGGCAATGGAAACTGAACAAATTCATATATGAATTTTAGTAGGTTAAGAGTTAAAACATAGGATATACATGTACATTTTTTACATTGACCCCTATTATAACCTTGTGATGATGCTTTGCAAATGTACTAGTTTTTATTTTATGTTGTTTTCAGAGTAATATATTAGATTATGAAGATTATACAGTTGTGTTCAAAAAGTTCAGTAGCATTCTTTTCATTGCTGGAATAACCCCAGATGAGGTAAAAACTTAAACTATATCTCATTAACTTAAAAAATCTCAGGTAGCTCTTTATTTACATTAACAAAATGTTAATTTGATTAATGTTCTTTATTGTGCTGTGTTTATAATTTGATACTTATCAAACCACAATAACCAAACCATATTTGAAAAAAACTTCATTAAAAAAAACCCCAGAAAGTTAAATTTCATTGAAAAATTAAGCAGTATATTTTCATTGCATAGAACCCAGAAATTTAACCTTCATTGAAAAATTTAGATGTTAACTTCCATTGAAACAACATAAAATTAACTTTCAAAGTTTCATTGAAAAAAAAAAAAGACTAACATTGAAAAACATAAAGTCATGACTCCCATTGAAAAGCAACAACAACAACAACAACAACAGAAAAACAACCTGTATTGAAAAACTGAAAAATAACCAGGCCATTTAAAAGCAAGTAAATTAACCTGTATTTGAAAACTACATAAACAATATCATTTCCATGCACATTTTGTTTCCATTTCAGAATGAGCTGGCTATTTTAGAACTGTTTCGACATATTTGTCAAACTTTGTGCAAGTTCTTTTCGGGCAGCCTGGTATGTATGATACATTCGGTATATTTGGTATATAATGTTGCAATAGCTTTCTTTTGTATTTTGCTACTACAAGCAGGGTATGAAAATTGATATCTCGCGAGACCGAAGCCTGTGCAAATTGCTAAGATTGCTGATTTGGAAACATATTGCATGTACTGCAGCAGGTTTGACTTCTAATAGGGACGTTGGATTCTTTCATGTAAAAAGGCTATTCTGCTAGACTAAAAAAGGTCGATGGTTTTACCTAACTAGGTACAGGAGACAGATTCTTAGGTTGGTTTTACCTAACTAGGTACTGGAGACAGATCTTAGGTTGGTTTTACCTAACTAGGTACAGGAGACAGATCTTAGGTTTTCTTTAATCAGTAAAGTTTCAAATTCTACTGTAATAACAATACCAGTGCTTTTCTAACAAAAAAGAAATCTTGTACTATTATAATTTAAAAATATGCTTATATTATAAACTTCATTATTTTTTTCATATATTTTCAGACAGAGATGATTGTATCCTTTTCACATAAAGAAAATTGTTGCATTTCTGTAATTGTATTACAGCATATGGCTGTTATTATCTCCCTTTGGCTGTTTATGGATTTATCTCCCTTTGGCTGTTTGTGTGGATTTATCTCCCTTTGGCTGTGTATGGATTTTTCTCCTTTTTTCTGTTTATAGACTTATCTCCCTTCCATTCAACTGTTTTCTTGGTGTAGTTCATGTGTTGTTGTTGTTTTTACACAAAATTAGTTAAAATGAGTGTAGGACAAAAGCCCCCCCCCCCCCCGGACGAAAGGCCCCCCCTTCTAAAAATGACAAGGTGGACAAAAGACCCCCCCATGAAATTTCCACATAGGACAAAAGCCCCCCCATAAAAAAGTGAAGGTAGGACAAAGCCCCCCCCCCCCCATTGTCCATCAAATTTACATATAGTGTATACCTTAAGTGTAATTTAATGACTACGAGTGTAGCTCAATGACACATTACAATCGGCACTTAAAATCCACGTAAATTACCAAATATGGTGATAAATACTAAAAAATACAGTCATTAAGTACACTTAAGGTATACACTATATGTAAATTTGATGGACCATAGGGGGCTTTTGTCCTACCTTGACTTTTTTATGGGGGGGCTTTTGTCCTATGTGGAAATTTCATGGGGGGGCTTTTGTCCACCTTGTCATTTTTAGAAGGGGGGGGCTTTCGTCTGGGGGGGCTTTTGTCCGTATCCCAGTTAAAATATTTTACCATTTGAAAGAGCCTTAATTTTCATTATCAATACAAAAAGATTTGTTAGTTTACCTTATGATTTTATCTACATTTATGTCCAAAGGGACTGCCATGACCTAGAATCACTGACCTCACTTATCTGTTTTTATCACCAACAATGAAAATCAATCAGATAATATTTTGTTAACTATTCGACAAAGTTCTACAAATAGCATTTTATCTGTACAGTCTGGTCATAAGTAATAATCAGTTTCGAGTAGTTAAAAGGCCTGAGCTGCACTTCACCTATGTTTGTTTTTGGCTTTCCATATCTATTGGTGTTTTACATAGATTGTTAATGCCATTGGTGCTAAACCATGTCTCAAGGTTATAAAACTTTTTAGCTCACCTGAGCACAACGTGCGCATGGTGAGCTATTGTTATCCCCCACCGTCCGTCGTCAACAATTTCTTTAAACAACATCTCCTCAAAAACCGATGACTGCACAGTAACTAAACTTTACAGGAATTATCCTTGGGTGGTCCCCTACCAAAGTTGTTCAAATGTTTTAGGTCTGTCATATAAGTAGGTCACAGGGCTAGAAAAGAAGTTTAAAAAATGCAAACTTAAAAATCTTATTGTCTGAAAGTACAAGGCCTAGAGCTTTGATGTTTGGTATATTATATCACTTATAGGTCCTCTACCAAAGTTGTTCAAATTATAGCCCTGGGGTCAAAATTGGCCCCGTCCCGGGGGTCATAGGTTTTCCTTATATGTATATAGTAAAAACTTAAAAAATCTTCTTGTCTAAAGGTACAAGGCTTAGAGCTTAGATATATTGTATGTAATATCTCCTATAGGTCCTCTACCATTTGAAGTTGTTCAAATTATAGCCCTTGGGTCAAAATTGGCCCTGCCCGGGGGTCATAGATTTTCCTTATATGTATATAGTAAAAACTTAAAAAACCTTCTCTGAATTGACAAAGGTTAGAGGTTAGATATTTGGCATGAAGCATTGTGTAGTATAGCTCTACCAAAATTGTTCAAATTGTAGCCCTAGGGTCAAAATTGGCCTAGGCCCAGGGTCATAGGTTTTCCTTATATGTATATGGTTAAAACTGTTCCCATCCACAAACTTTAACCTTGATCATAACTTTGAAGTTCTTGGTGTATTGTATTAAAACATCAAGTTCTTACCTACACAAAAAAATTAACCCTGTTTTGTATATCTTTAAGACCTGGTAACTTCACTTTTGTATATCAATTGCATTTAGTACTCAGGTGAGGGCATTGGGGCCATTGGCCCCCTTGTTTTCTGAGTTCTGTCTCAAATCTCATGATTTTCATTGGTCAGTATACAATCTTTGGCCATTCCTGACCAATCAAATATCTGATATCTGATTTTGAGCTAAGAAATTTTTCTCTAACCTCGACCCCAAGATTTTTTAAAAAATATTTAACTACCATTCCACCATTAAAAATATGAAATAAAACTTTTTTCTTAACATATAATGTAAAGTTTATTCGCAATATGGATAAAGTGTACATGATATTGGATGAGATGATATTAAATGGTTACATCGCAGAGACTAGCCAGGCCAGAATCTTAGCTCCATTACAGCTGTTGATGTCTGCAAAAAAATAAGGTATCTTTAAAGCAGCTCACCTCCACCTTCATGCTTATTTTCATAAAGATTTTAAAAATGTATCTAAATGTACATTATTGTAAAGCGGACTAAGAAAATTATTTACACATTGCAAACAGTACTTGCATTCCATGTTAATTACCAAAACGAGGTCAAAATAAGCAACAGAATGCAGTAGAAATGTGGGGACTAATACTGCAAAATCAGTCCTTTATCGCACATTATAAGTTAATTATTAATTGACTCTTAATTCTTTTTACTTTTCTACAAAAAATATTATTACATTTTTCTTGTTTAATTTACTCAGAATATATTGACTCATCTAGCGGCATGCAGCTTTAAATATTATTCATAATATTAAATATTCTATAAATATTAAAGGCACACTATGCTTCAGACAGAAACAGATTGTTTTATACTTCTTTGGAAAGAGCAAAAATATTTTATTGTTTAATTGTTTGTTACCATAAAAATGTACTTAGTAGCACTTTTAACTTAAATACACTGTTCATAATAAGCAAGATGGTAGAATTATTGTGATCAAATATAAAGATGAAAGAAATTAAATAAAAACTCTCAGTAGGGAGATAAAAGTTGGAATTTGTAATCTATGTTATCTTTTGTAGAACTCTTGTTGATGATGGAAATGTAGCACAATGTTTATTTCTGGCAATGTACAGAATGGATAAAGTGTGGATAAAGCAGTATACTGATATACAATGAAGGAAGGAAAGAACATTTTGTTTTTGCAATTCAAACTTATGAAGCTGCAGGACATCTCAGGAAGAAAGTTACTTGTTAATACTAGATACTTACATCACATACTATGCTAGGATTGATATGTAGTTGTTTGGTGAATAAAGAATATATCTGTTGATAAGATTGAAAAAAAGTTATATGTTCAATAAATACATAAATGAGGTCACCAAAGGTGGATTGCTGCCTAGGCTGTTGTACAACTTATACTCAGAGTTCCCAGTAAAAAGTTGTGTTATTAAGTGTTGTATTTACAATTCCATAAATCACAAACTTTTGCGATTTAAAATAACGAACTTTACATTAAAATGGTAGCCATTATTTATAGAAGTGGAACACATTTTACCATATTTTAAATTGAATTCAATTAAAGCTGTGATTTTTGGCAATACTTGATGATGTGATTAGTGGCTGTTTCAGAACATAAATGTGAAATATGTGTTCTTTTTTATTGTGTACATGCATAATATTGAATTGTTGCTATTGCTACTTGCCATTACTTATTTAAAAGTTTTATGATTTAGTACCAAGTCTTCAGTTATTTATTTGAAAAGCCATGAAAAACTATTGCAATGTTTTTGAAAACTTAACTGTAAAGAAAAACAGTTGATTTTAACTGCATTGGGGAACACCACCACTAACCTTTTCTCTTTGATAATTCCAAGATGAGAAACAGTGGAAACTTTTACAACTTACTCGAGTTATTTTGAAGCCAAATTTACGAGGCAAGGCTTAGAAAATTGATTGTCACAATTTTAATCTAAGGAAGATAATGAGTTATCGAAGTCCCTTAATCACAATTTAAAATAGTGGTAATCGTGAACGGATGAATAGCAAGGGTAAAAAAACCATTAGAAAATGAGAACTTTAATGGAATGGCAAACTCGGTTTTATTGAGTTTTATTAGGTCTGTTCATGAGAGATAATGTACTCGGTCATATCCCACACGCCTGCTTGTACCGACTTAAGCAGCATTTCTTTTAGACTTATGGTAACGAAAAAGTTAATACTTGAGTCAAACTCAAGGCATCTTTTTCCCTTTAGAAAAGTCAAAAATATACTTAAAATGTTAGAAATTAATAATTTCCCGTTGATTTACGTTGTAATCTGACGTGACGTCCAATTTAAAGTAGTGGCACCACTATTGACATCATTTTGGGTTTGTCACACAATGAGCATGAATTGTTCTCAATAATTATAAAAATGGCATTAATTTTTGTTCACTAACTAATCAACATTTTAAGTTCATCATCGTTTTCTTTAAAAATAAAATGAAAAATTAAAACAAATAATTATGTACAAGAGGCAATTTCACTGGCAAACTATTCCTTTTTATAACGATCAATGTGATTTTATTATAAGAACATTTGTATAATTATTTACTGTTTATTGGATGGACTTATCATTTAAAGAAAAATCCTCAACAGTATATTAAGATAAATTCGTAAATGGAAAAAGTAAAACCTTGAAATATTGAAAGCCCTGATGAAGTTGAGCAAATTCTATGGAAGGAGCAGACAATACGGTTGTAACTTGAAAGAAAGATATTTTATTAATTTCTTACTAAATTTAAGTGTTATCTTCATAAGTAATACCCCGTTGCGGATTAAAATGCCACTAGGGACTTTGGATTCTTTCATGGGGTAGCTATCCAGCCACTCGGGGTGCTCGTTCGTGCCTGAACTAATGCTCTAGTTCTTCCTCCACCAGTAAACCTGGCCTTAATAGTGTTTGGGCGAAAAAATTACAACATTTACATATAAGGAAAAATAAACTGAGGACAAAAAATAATTTGAATCAATGCATAAAAAAATGAAACTACAAATATTGAAAGATAAAAACTATGTAAATGGTATCACTAACCTTTAATAGATAAGATTCTTCTAATTTTCGTATATTTTTCAATCCAAAAAAAATTGTTATTCTTGAGATTGTTATTCTTGTGTTTTACATAAATCTTTCTGGAATATTAAACAATGTTAAAATGTGTTCTATAGGATATTTCTGCTTAAATTATCACAGTCGATTTTTAAAATTTTCTTCGGAAGTTTTAACGTAGGCATGTGTTGAATAGAATATCAAAGCCCTACTTCGAGACCAACATAGTAAAGAAAGTGAAAATATTTTCTTTTTGCGGATGGTCGATTGACCTTCTTTCAAGAATAACTTATTTGACAATTGAGTTTAGACACGGATTTATATTACAAATGTAATATAAATCCGTGGTTTAGAGCATTATTCTTGTATTTTTTTCCTTTACATTCAAGATACAAAATGTGCGATTTATTTTTAAAAGATATGTATTTTTCACGGTTATTTATTTTAGAAAACAAAGTGAACGTTCGTCTTTTCTTAACCTAATTGGAAAACATCAAGGCAACTTTGTTGATTGTGTCCAAGTAAAGCTAATTTAATGTAACAATTTTACAACTTACTCGAGTTATTTGAAGACAAATTTATCAGGCAAGGCTTAGAAAATTGATTGTCACAAATTTTAATCTAAGGAAGATATTGAGTTATCGCAGTCACAAATTTTAATCTAAGGAAGATATTGAGTTATCGCAGTCCCTTGATCACAATGTAAAACAGTGATTATCGTGAATGGAAAAATCGCAATGAAAAAAAGAACATAAGAAAATGAAAACTTTAATGCAATGGCAAACTAGGTTTATTGAGTCCGTTCGTGAGATCTAGAGATAATATACTTTGTCATATCTCACATGTCTGCTATTCCCGAATAAAGCAGTATTACTTTTAGTATTTATGGTGACGTAAGTGACCTAGCTTAGAGTCAATCTCAAGGTATGTTTTTCATATTTCCCACCTCAAATAGTCAATAATATACTTGAAATGTTAAAAATTAATTATTCCCGTCGATTTACGTTGTTACCTGACGTTACGTCCAATTTAACATACTGGCATCATTTAGGGTTCGTCCCACAATGAGCATGACTTGTTCTCGGTAATTATAAAAATTGCATTCATTTTATTCACTAACTAATCAACATTTTAATTTCGTCATTAAGATGAGAAACTAGAAAAAAAATCAATGTAAAAGAGGCAATTTCACTGGGAAAGAATGGCGTTTTATAACGATTACCAATTTAATGCCTTTCAGTTTGTTTATCTTTCATAAATTATGTGATTTTATTATAAGTGCATTTGTATAATTATTTATTGTTTATTGGATGACTCTATCATTTAAAGAAAAATCCTCGACTAGTATATTTAGATAAATTCGTATATGGAAAAAAAATAAACCTTGAAATATTGAAAGCCCTGATGGAGTTGAGCAAATTCTAGGAAAGGAGCAGACTATACGGTTGTAACGTTATCTTCATTAGTATACCCCGTTGCGGATTAAAATGCCACGAGGGACTTTGGGATTCTTTCATGGGGTAGCTATCCAGCTACTCAGGTGCTCGTTCGTGCTTGAACTAATGCTCGAGGTCTTCCCCCACCAGTAAACCTGGCCTTAGTAGTGTTCGAGCAAAGTAAAATCCAACCGAAAAAAATACAACATTTATATAATTGTAAGGAAAAACAAACTGAGAACAAAAACAATTCGCATCAATGCATGTAATAATGAAAATAAATGAAACTATTTATTTTATTTTTGCAACAACATAGATCACAGTTACATATATAAAGATAGACATATATATGAAATAACAGTTTAACAAATTAAAATATCATTTCATATAAATGATAAATTAAATAAATTAAGTTAATGACTGAAATCAGATGAGGCATTGGATAAAATTATTAAAAAAATAAATAAAATCACTGTTCTGATTAAGACTACAACAGTCAGAATTATAATTAGCACAGAATATTGTTTAAAGTTACTGATAGACATGATATCAAAAAAACTAAATTGTCTAACCTAGATTTTTTTTAAAAAAGAGAAGAAAAAAAAGAAATTAAACATATAAAAGATGGGGAAAATATTTTCTTTTTGCGGATGGTAGATTGACCTTCTTTCACGAATAACTTACTTGACAATTGTGTTTAGGGCTTTATTCTTCTATTCTTTTTTCATTTAAGATACAAAATGTGCGATTTATTTTTAAAAGGTATGTCATGGAGCTAAATATAGATATGTATCTATGGATAGGTATTTTCCCCTGTCCTTTATTTTGGAAACAAAGTGTACGTTTACCTGGAAAGCCATCAAGGCTAATATGTTGATTAAGTGTGTCCACCTAAAGCTAATTTAAAGTAAAGATCAAAGAAACTTCACTGAGGAACATAAAATTTGAATTTCTTACAAAGATTAGGTGGGACTTTTCATACAAAGATTAGTTGGAAAAATAATCAGAAATTTTTTTATTTTCTGTTGTTCTTAGCCCCATTTGAATGAAAAGCGTTGCAACGTTTTAATTATTTTAAGAGAAACAAATTTAAAGTTTCAAACCTTTATAAGAATAGAAAGGTTTACTTACTTAAGATTTCGAACGTTTCCTTTCGACTAAAAGTCTAAAGATTCATCCCCCCATAATTTAACTTTATGCTATTTTCACTTGGTCTGCAATTTTAAATATTATGTACTTCGTGAAAAACTACACAGGTACGGTTTAAAAGAAAGTGTATTTTCGGTAAATATTTTTTTTGCATATGTTCATTAGACAATATTGCCAACATAATGTTTCATATAAAATGTACACAAATACTCATAGAGGGATTCTAAATTAAAACAAAACAACAATACATGTATATACATAAATTTATATGTGTACTTTACAGGTCATTTATCAGGATAAAAGCTTGAAGCTTATGCTAAACCTCGCTTTTGACTATCATGCTAAGCTGCTATGATGGTGTTATAATCAATATTTAATATTATTTTCAAGAAAAAGGTAATGAAAAAATGGAAAGAAAAAAAAATAGATTGCGAGTTGGAAGATTGTGATTATAAGACTAAAAGAGTCAGCAGGATGTACAATTCAGAAGTTATTATTAAAATAAAGCAACTTAAAATGATAAAAAACTTAAAAAAGAAAGGAAATGGTGTATGCAAGGGTCAAGTCCATGTGAGAGTGGGATAGTTATCATTTGAAACGGCCTGTGTGTGAAATGTAATTTTGTACCTGTGTGAACATAAATAAGTTAGTGTCGTTGTCCAAGGATTCATTGCCAAAAAGTAAAGGTATCTAAAGTAATTGGGTTGATATGTGAGATATTACTGAGAAGATCGACTCTTTGGTTTATGTAAGTCAGGCAGTGTAAGAGACAGTTATTCGTACCCTCAAGTCTTTGAAGTACAGATGTTCCTTTAGTGAGCTACATTACATGCGAAGACGTGCGTCTCTCTGTTATCTATATAGTAGAAAGAGGGTGTTTTTAACGCGTTCTTGCTTAAAAACCGATATAGACTTTGTATTTTGTATGTCAGACGGAAGTGATCTCCAAGGAAAATTAGAAAAAAAGCTGTGTATCGCAATGTATATTTCATAAATGATCCGAGTTTTGAAGGCTGTAAGAGGTGGTGTTTCCAACAATAGGAGTGATAAGAACCGATAGAAATAGGGGTGATTGTAAGTGTGGGTGTATCATTTTATAAAGAAGAATTAATTTATGTTTAAATCTTCGATCTTTAAGAGGCTCAAGAAAAGATTCTTTGTACCAAATCAAACCAATTGTGTTACTCCTGTGATAATTCTTGCTGCCTCTTTTTGTATGTTCTCAAGTTCCCCAGCCTCTGCAGCAGTGATATATTGTCCCACACTACATCCGCGTATTAAAGAATTGGGCGAATTAAGAAAAGTGATTTTCTATCGAAAGTAAATTTGAATGATCTTAAAATGTTCACTCTTTGCCAAGCTTTGTGTTTGATATTCATTTCATGCGACATCATTAGAGAATGTGATACCAAGATGTTTGTGGATTGGGACATAATGTTTGTGTGTTGTTGATTTTACGTAGATTTGCATTGAGTTGTGTATAACGCTAGTGACATCACTTCAAAATATATGCACGGCCGTGTCACCATTTTGTACGGAGTCGCAAAAGCGGAAAGGCTATGTGATAAATGATGTGTGCTTAACACGAAGTCCCTTTATTTCAAACTTGAAATATATTGAAGAAACAAAAATCCTTTTTACGGAGTTTTTCCAAAGTATCTTTGTTTAACTCACTCTAAAAATTACCTTTAAGTATCTCCAGTCGATGGATAGTGGGTGTATAGCAATGAAATTGCCCTGAAATATATTTGCGAACTAAAAATCTTTTACAAAAGAAAAAAAAAATATTTGTCACATATGTCATTATATCTTTATTATTGTTTATATCCTTCATTGCAAACAATGTGTACATTCACGTATCATGTCCACACAAATAACAATATAAATAATAGTAATCTATATCAACACACAAAATCTGTACAACCTCTCGTCAAGGTAACATCTTCATACAAATACGATAAATACGTGTTCCGTTTGGACAATAGTAATTGTTTATTTCGTCCTTACCCGCGATGGACGATGGTACGATGGTGAAAACGCCATGGTACGATGACACGATGATGAAATGGCGATGGTACGATGGTTAAAACGCGATTGTACGATGGTGAAAACGCGATGGTACGACGGTGAAAGCGCGATGGCACGATGGTGAAAACGCGATGTTCACCATCGTACCATAGCGTTTTCATCATCGTACCATCGCGTTTTCACCATCGTACCATCGCGTTTTCACCATCGTACCATCGTGCATCGCGGGTACAGACTAAATAAAAAATCACGATTGTCCAAACGGAACACTGTAGAAAAAATCCTAGGAGAGATCATGCCGGTGAATTGAATACCCCCTTTGAAATGTTCAAAGAAACTTGATAGAAGTGTTGTTGTTGTTACAATCTGTCCATCCTTTGTTTAGGTATTGTTTCATCACTATCAAGGCCATTTGGTGAATTCTGACGGTAGATCTATTCAAATTAGAAAAATAATCAATTAGTATTATATAGCCTAGTATTGTCGTTGATTTATCAACCATCATTATCGAAAGGAAATCAGACGGAAGCCCTCTTCTAATCAGTTTAATTTGCTAATGACAGGAAAGGGAAGAAACTTTACTTAGTTAATAAGCCCTCCGTCCAAAATGGCAGGACATGGTGGACAAAACTCTCTTGTAATCATAACAGGGTGGACAAAAGCCATCCCATAATATAAACATGTGCCCATGTTGTTCCAAAACTGACGCCTCGCTTGGAATAATTTAACTGCAGACAAATGTTTAATATTTAGACATATACGGCCTAATTGCAATAAAATTGAAAATTACTGCCTCCCGATTCATGCTAATTTTCATGAAAATTTTGAAAATGCATTTTAAAGTAAAATATCGTGAAGTTAACAAAGAAAGTAATTTACACATTGTGAACAGCACTTACAATCCACGTTAATTACCAAAAAATAGGTCAAAATACATAAATACCACTGACTGAGTTATTAACACAGTAGCATGCTATTGATTAATATTGCAAAATCAGTCATAAATTGCACATAATATGTAAATAATTAATTGATTATTGAATCTGTTTACTCTAATACATTTTTCTTGATTTTTTTTGGCGTATCTAAAGGCGTACGTGCCGCTGTAATCAATGAACTTTTTGTATAATCAATCTGATTATATATAATATAGCTGTTAAAAAAATCCTTGTTCTACATAACCTCATCATATCGGACTTGCGACCTTAGTGCATTCCTAGGGCGACCTGGTACGAAACGGAAACGCCATGGACGCCATAGGGTCAAGTTGCGAAAGAATCAAACCGCCATGAAGACCCTTGCTTGCCACAGGATGCCGTGTCACGGCAACTATTTTGAAATGCACCAAACAAGCGCAAAGGTCGGCGCTCTCAGTGCGTCCTGTACTAGAACGCCCTACAGACACATTACCATTAGTTATGAAATGTCGCAGGCAACTTTTAAATCCACGAGATTTTATGTCAAAATAATATAAAATTTCACGGCTTATAGAAATTCTTGATTTTTTTCTGACACACTTCTGTCGTAAAAAGTCGAGATTACGAGTTTATTTTTTTGCCAACATAGTAGACTAAGTCACGCAAACATATGTCTACTTTAGGTAGTCAATAGCGGCCATTTTAATCTGCGACATTTTGTTCTGATGCTTTTAAAAAGTCGAGCTAAAGCATCAAGCCTCGACTTTTTATGCCGGTGAAATGTCTCTGCGAAAAAAGTCGCCACTGCAAATTGCTATTACTCACCGCTTTAATTATTTTATGAGACTGTAGTTCAGGAACAAAAAAAAAGTCTCGGCCTATGATTTTTCATCTCGATTTTTTTTGTAGAATTTCTACAAAACGGATATTCTGTTTGACTTTTATGGACAAAAAAGGGATAAAATGTTATTAAACCATGGACGATACCGGTCACTGGAGTCAAGTGTTCCTGAACTGTTGTAAAATATCGAGGTTCATACGTTCCCCGCGACATTTTGCACGATTTCGGAAAAAAAACTCGCGGGTTTGTAAGTTGCTCGCGACATTTTATGATAAAAGATAAAATTTCTCGTGGGTTTGAAATGCATGAAATGGTCGCAACCTACCACGATAAAAAGCGCATTATGAACGACGTAAAACACATAAAGCTGGACACCGGTGTGACCAGCTGAAATTTGCAAGCTTGTTAAAACAATTCGGGGTTCATATTACGGTTACTCTGTTTTAAGAAAAATACCGGTTTAGGTCGCCTTAAAAGTGCAATATCTGTATAACGGGAGTATAATCTTAGATTCACGTCTTATGGTTTGTTTTTATCAGAAAAAATTCTTACATTGCTCATATTAAGATTAAAAAACAACTTTGTTTCAGGTTCTTTACTTCCGTGATGGTTTATGATGTTACTTACGTTTGATAACCCTATATTTTCTGTCCTTCTTGATCTGTCTTCGGAAAATGTTTCAACAGTAAAAACATTTCTTTGATCTGGGTCATACGCATTGCCTTGTGACGCTCTAGTTTTACCATCAGATATATTAGGTTTCATTCGTCTGTAAACAGTTTCGTGAACATACTTTCATACTTTGCTTAGTATGGTAATTCTTACAATGCTAATACTTAATACGTTTTACATTCTTTAAGTTTTGTACAAAAACAAACTGATAATTAACTACTGATGAAAGATCATTAATAGAAAAAGACCATGTTAATTAGCCGATTCATTGATTAATAATATCAAATATCAAATAAAATACACGGAATCCCTAAAGAACGTTTTGATGCATAATTATTGTAAAATTACCGATATATCTTGTCAATCGCTAAACAGGAAAGCATTACTACATACAGTCCACCTGCTGTTCCAAATATCAACAATGCAATAAGTTGTTTGGTAGTAATACCACCTGTTAAAACAATAATAGAAACTGCTATATTTTTTATCGCCCGTTTAGCACAATAATTAGTAAACCTAGGGTCGCTGGTTCGATCCTTGGACGTGGCGTTATTTCTCCGTGACCATTGATCTCTCGGACATTCAGTATAATGCTCATTTGTCTAAAAATGCTGTTTCATAAATCATGTGGAATTAGAGGATCGGGCACATGCGGAGGAATTGGTTATTACTGGTTAGTTATCCAGTAAAGCCGGTAATGTGGATCGGCAGTCGAGATATAAAAAATCGACGTGAAATATCCAGAAAAACAAACAAAGAAACAAACATATGATATTTCTTTGATCTAAATGTTTCAATTTACTTTATAATGATATATATTGATAGAAATTGTATTATAATCTTGACGTTTAGTTGTACTCATTTGGATTGTTAATATATCATTTATTGATAACAAGAATAAGCTGAATAACTACATGTAGATCTAATGTGATAATTCTAATTACAAAAGAAAACATGTTATTATTTATTACCTGTTTCACATACTGCATCTTGTATTAAAGTGCAGCTTTCTTCATAGACATCACACACAGTGCAGGGTTTACAACTAACAGTTCCGTTGTTGGTAAGTTTAACACATTCTGATTGAAACGTTCCTTCCTGGCATTTCTCACATTCAGCACGAGTTAAATTTTCGACACAGTCTCCAATCGTTATGTTACCAGGTCCACAAGGATAACACTAAAATGTTGTGAAAGAAACGAAAACAGATGATTATTATCAAACGTATGCATCAATTTTAAAATTATATATTACCCCTACGAAATTGCTCAAACAAACAATTCTTAAAATCTGCAATGACTAAAATAGACATTTCAATAAAAAGTATGTTTATTCATTTTGTTGTTGTTTTGAACATTTTCTTTTCATTTTAAGTTGATTGTGAAGTTTTTAAAGTTGTTTAAAGCCTGATTCCGGACAATTAAAAGTAGAACTGGCGTATTTTGAAGATAAAAAAAACACCACACACCCCACCAAAAACAAAACAAAACATTGTCCTATGAAGCCGAGAGGCAGTCTAAAACACCAATAAGGTCATCGTTCTCTTAACTAAGCAACTACAGAAAAAAATTCATATTACCTGTAAACCGACCCCACTGGAGTATGTGCTGTTACAGTCATCAACAGCCAAAACTTGACGCAATATAACAGCTATCAGTATTGTAGCATGACACATCGGATATAATGACATTGCCTGAAAGAAAAGAGATATATGTTACATTTGCTGAAATTGTTAACGATAAGATAAATAAACTCTCAAGTAATAAACAATAATATATTGACTTGTGTTTGATACTTTGGCTGATGAAACTGCACACTGTGTGACGTATACGTACATACACTTTTAAATGAAAATGTACTTTAAATATAGACGCTTTTTGTGAAAGAGGTAGTAAATAATAAAATAACTTCTTCTGTAAGTAAAATTATTACCACTTTAATTCCTGTTAATTAATAAATTTAATTAATCCTAATCACAAATGTATTACATTGACTCCATTGTGTTTCGGCAAGAAACCAAGTACAGTTTTTAGTGCATAACTAACCATTCCATAAATTGTTTTTCTAAATCAATGCAAATTAAATACAAAATGTAAAGGCAAAGATCTTCACTTCTTTGTTAAGTTGTAAAGACAGAACAAGAATTACAAATGTCAATACATATACGTGCATTGAAATAAGAAACTATGTAGTACTACAATAGATTATTCAAGGTTTCATTCATTTACTTTTACACTTGATAATGTATTACTACCCGGAAGAATTGAAATTCATACGGCTTTCTTTGTGTGTGTGTGTCAATTGTTACAAATACGATATGACGAGATAATTGATATTGCAAAAAAAGTATGAAAAAGATCTATTTTCCTTGTTCAGCTTATTTTTAAAGCTGAATACTTTACAACTGGAGTACATACGTACGTATGCGGAGTACCGAGAAAAGCTATTTTTTCATCTACTATTGTTTTCTATTTTGTTTTGGTTTTAAGTATCATCGGCACAGTTAAGGTGATGCGGGGACTTTCTATTTTCCGTGTAGAGGAAGACATTAATTAGGTGCCTCGCCCGTATATTATTTCAGTCACAAGCTGACACCGAGTAAAACCACTTCACTTCTCTTCAGCAAGCTAGCTGATTAGCTTCTTCTCATGAAACAAGCCAATTAAAGCACCTGTCCGTAATCAATCATCATACAACAGTAAGGGATCAGTGATTTTTCATCCACTAATTATTCCTTCTTTCTTTAATGTTAATCTGAAGTTTATGTTTCACAATTGTCCAGCAGTCAATAGTTAAATCTGCCAAATTTGTTGAATCGATTTACTCTATTTTAAATTAGGAGGCATTTTGGGTGCATAAGCGAATTCTATAACAAAATACAAATACTGAACCTTTAACAGTATAGCGCCTGGTAAGACTGCGCGATTGTGCAAGTTTTCCTGTCTCTATATGCTGCCAAAGGCTTATCCGTTTCTGTTCGAGCAGCTTAAGGGTTAGGAGATATTATTGCTGTCTATTTTATCATAAACACTTCTTATACAATAATAAACATCGATTATTGAATGGAATGTTTAAGTCGCATTTTGAGAAAAGCTTTGCGAACATACTGTTACTGGAATTAGATTTTTTCTTTTGAGAGAAGCAAATTGACCTTCTTCTAAGAACTAACTTACTTGATACGAGAGTCAAGGTCAAACTGATACATGTGTATAAAGGATTTACATACAGGGTTACTGTACCTTTCAAGAGAAAAACGTTCTTTTTTCCCTTAATAATCATAAAGGTTTAGAAGAATAAAAATTTTTTACTTACTTTAAATTGTTCAAATTTAATTCCAATTTAAGACACAATCCTTTAATCTTTTGATTTAACTTTATGTTGTTTTTTTTGTACATAATTTATAAATATACTGTTTTCGTTTAGGTTATTAATGGTGTCATAGCGTGTTAGTTTAAATTATCATTCATGTATTTGTGATCATATTTTATAAATTTTATGTACGTAAATATACATTATATAATGCATATGTAAATGATATCCGGAGACTCAAATTTGTACATATGATAGCCTTGTTCTTACAATTGTTCTTGTAACTTAAAACTCAGTTAGATTCCAATAATAGTATTATGTTATTTTTTCATACTCAAGTCAATTGATAGCTTATCATAAATGTAGGACTTCATTTTGAGAAATAGAATGCACTTTAAGATATTAAACATATTCCAAACCACCTGTAGAAGTCATGTACATGTATTTCTTTTGTCATTGTAGAGACAAATGATGAAACATAAACCTGTGGAAATTATTGGCAGAAATAAAGCAATTCTTTCTAGTTTTATTAAACGTGAATTAACAAAATAACTTGTTGCAGTTTTGGAATCGTAACAATTTTATTTACCTAAGTTTTCGCAGTACCTTAATCACATGATAAGAAAGTGATATTAGTGAACGGATAAATAGCAAGCTCAAAAAGCATAAGAAAATTAGAATTTTAATGCAACAAACTTACTAAACTAGGGTAGCTTAAATTACTTTCTAAAATACAATTAAGAAATTTTAAAATGTACGGCAACTGTAACTATACATAGTTGTTAAAAAAGGAACCGGGAATTGCAGAGAGATATGCAATTTTGCAAAGAAGTTATTGGTCAAGATCTCTAATGAATTAAACATTCATCTTCAAAATTTTCCAATCCCGTTATGTAAAAAAAACTGCACTGAAAGAAAAAAAATATGTGAACTTTATCTCTAATCTTTGTATCTTCAAATACTTATACATATTGTTTTCAATCCAAAAATATTATTATTTACCTCGGACTTGAAAATATATATCTCTCTTCAATCAGCACAAAGGAACATTAAAGAATGTTAAAATGTGTTCTATTGGATATTTCAGATTATTATTACAACCAATTTAGGAAGTTTTGACGCAGGCATATAAACATGGAGTATGGAATGGAATTCCATAGCCCCATTCCGGGACCATCAAAATAATAATGGTGAAGATACCTTCTTTTGTGGAAAGAAGGTTGACCTTCTTGTAACATAAGTATATCTTTGTCTAGGACATTAGCCCGATATTTTCCTTTTCATTCAAGATGCAAAGTGTACAATTTGTTTTTAAAATACGTTTTTTTTTCGGTCATTTTTTATTTTTTGAAACAAAGTATTAGATCGTCTTTTCTTGACCTAAATGGAAGAAGGAGGCAATTATGTTGATAACGTTTATCCATCTTGATCTAATTTAAAGTATTTATTTCATTTCCTTTTTATTTGGTTTCACAAAAATACGTAAGAGGAACTCAACTGAGGTCCAAATTCTTACATAGATTAGCAGGGACACTTAAGACAAATAGATGTTTAGAAGATAAGTAAGAAAAATAATCAAAAATAAATCTAAAATCGTATTTTTTACTTTTCTTAGCTTGATTTTTGTGTATAGCTTTGCAACGCTTTTCAATTTTGACTCATTTTTTACCATTAGAATAATTATTCTTGAAAAAGGGAGTGAAAGTATGATGTGAAATTTTTGCACACAAGTTAGTGGTCTAAACCCGCCATTAAATGGAACATTAATGTCAGAAAAATTATTTTAAGTCTCGTCATTTCAAAACACCTCAGCGTAGTCCCTTAAAACCTTTTTTTTTACTTAAATCTTAAATTAAAAAGAATAGAAAAAGTTTACTTACTGTAGATTTGGAACGTTAACTTCCGTCTAAAAGAGTTTAAAGAAACAGTTTCCCCATGATTTAACTTTATGTAATTTTCGCATGGCCTATACATTTATAATAGAGTATTATAAACTTCGTGCAAAAGATTTTCGATTATATAAACATGTATTTGTTTTGTAATTTAATATCCTCTATTGAATTCAACTGTCTTCATATTTAATAATTCAAGCGGCACCTAAGATCATGGGTACAATGTCTATATGATCATTTCAATAACCACTCTGAAAAGTATTGTAAAGTTTATGCAATGTGTTATAGCATTTAAGTGACATAATTCGCTTTGTGATAAAATGTGTATAAATAGTTTACATATCTGTTAAAGCTAATATCTGTAGACAATTTGCATGCATTTCCGTCATAGTAAGTGAATTATAAAAAGAATATAAATACTTTGTTGAAGTATTTAAAAAAAATTAAATTACATTGTTTATATATCATACATGCAAATCATTTCATACTGAACAAATGCAAAATAAAAGGTAAATGAATTTTGTTTGACATAATAAATGTATTAATAGATTTCTCTTTTAAACCTTTTTCGAAAATTGACGTCAAGGGCCCATAGGTTGAGATTGCAGAAAATCGATTCTTTTGTTTACCGGTCTACAGCATTGTCACTTAAGTTTATAAATGCGAGTCGCGAGTTCGAATCCTGGCCTTGGCTGCATATGCAGCTTTTTTAACAACTCAAAATATATAGAGGATATTTGTTTAGTTCAGTGTAAGATCGGAATATATTTCACGATTGAGCACCAAAAGGTATATTTCACGAGTGGCTCAGCCACGAGTGAATCATGAACTTTTGGTGTTCACAAGGTGGAATATTTTCCGATCCTACACAAAACTAAACAAATTTTCTATTTATTATATGCAAAGAAACGTTTTAAAAAGACATTAAACTTAATACTGAATGAAAAGCGCGCCAATGATAATACAACGTGACGTCATTTATATTTCTATAAACCATCGAAAAGCATGTAATAAATTGAATTTTATCGTACATGTTTAACTAATCACTTTGTTAGTAATTCTTCCATTTTTTTTTTTTGATTTTAAGTTACTGTTTTCTTTGTAGAGGAAGACATAAGGTTCCTCATTAGCCAGAATCGGGCACCTGGGTAAAACCACTTCTCTTCAGTTTAGCTTCTCCCCCTGAAACAAGCCACAGCAGCTGTTGGGACTCACAGTCAGGCACCAGTGGTTTTTCATCCACTAATTATTTCTTATTACTTTTATGTTAATCTGATAAATATCATCAAGCACACAATCGTTGAGATATCAAATAATGAACATCGAGTATTGAAAGAAATGTTACAGTCGTGTTTCTAGAACAGCGTTGTTAGAACATACTTCTGACTGAAATTACATTTTTAAGGGGATGAGATTGACATTCTTCTGATAAGTTTATCTGCATGAGAAGTACCCTTTTAATTATAAATTTTCTCTGAGAACACTATAAAGGCAATTAAAAACACTGCCCTATAAATTACAAGTCAATGAATAATTTTCCACAGCACAAATTATCAATAAATCAGGTGCAAACCGTAAGTTTAAATAGGGAATGTCTTCCAGTCTTGTCAGGACTATGCATTTTATGTTTTGTGTATTCCTTTACACTTTCAATGCTTTTGGGCTCCCGAATTTCAATAAATAATGCATGGTAAAGGTAAATCATACATGTATAATGATTAATCATTCATTTTATTATTAGTCAAGAATTGTTTGAAAGTTTTTTTAAAAATAATATTGTTGTTATTCACTTATTGGGAGCTTCAGAAATCCTGGTATCTCGATGAATCCAGTTTTATTTATAAGTTTAAGAACTTGCAATGGACTATCAAATCTTATAACACGCATGATAGCCTGTGATGTTAAAACGTTTACTTCTGTTTTTATTTCTATTATTAGAAATGAAGCTGATATTGTAATTTTGTTTTAGGGTCGTTATGATAACGTATAAATAAAAAAGATATCTTCGTCTCTTATGAAATAGCTTAAGTTTGTCAGTTATTGGTTTCTGTTAACCACACCAACTGTAAGATCAAATGATTGTTTTATTTCGTCTTCAGACCTTGATCCAGGAAATTATGTAACACATCTGCAAAGTTGTCTGCGTTTTTGACACTATATGTCTCTTCACCCGTCGGGAAAAATGTTTCGCATATATCTTCTAATTCTTTCTGAATATCTAAATCCTCTAAACATTTGTCCTCAATTTTGTTCTCTTCTTTTTCATTCCTTACCATTTCTTGTTTGCTCTCGCTCTCTGATATTTCCTTATCATGTCCAGCAATGTTCGATTTCGCACGTACCACTTCTTTCTCTTTTATTTCATAAATATCAGATTCGTTTTTATTATTAATATCTTCTTTGTTATTCTTGGTGTGGGATGGCTGTTCGGTTACGTTTTCTTGTGGACTGATATTGTTTTCCAAATCATTTTCAGACTCTTTACTATCAAGGCATGTTCGTATAAAAGGACCATGCTGACCCGTTGTTGGACACTCCTGTTTAGGGATTGTCGCATTTGTTTCAGCATTGTCAATATTTGTTTCACCTGTATCTTTAATTCGGGTGCGCTAAAATCAAAGGAGACGTGAATAATTATAAATTATGTGCATATTGTTTGTATCCATATTTGCCGGTTACAGATAAGGACGCTTACAAACATTACCCAATTGTGACCAGGTCATTAATAAGCAATTTAAGGTAGACCATGGGTAATGGGCACCATAAGGAACTGTAAAATTGACAACATAGGACAGTTATATGTCTTCAAGGTCACCTGTATGCAAAATTTAAATAAAATTTACCGTGTGGTTTATGCGTTATGGATATATTTCTGAACTAAGACTTTGCCATTAGAAGGGCTTATTTTCAGAAATGAGGAAACTTTAAATAATCTGTAATATCATCATTATGAAAATGTTTTGTTTTTATTGCTCATTTTTAAGAAACAAATAATAACATTCAGGTAACAAATTACGCAAGCAAAATGTTTGTTTCTAAACAAATGTTCTTAATATGTATAAAAAATGTTATCATACCCCACCAACTTTAAACCCCCAATTTTACCATTTCCCTATCTAAATGCCTTATTCAAAATATCCCTAAAATTTACCATAATGAGGGGCTGCTTTCAAAGTTGCATAAATTTGTTTAAAGGCATATTGATTGATCATGCGAAATATAAAGTACTTTCACCGTGTATTTTTTATTTTATTAAACTTAATAAATATAATAAAATATCTGGTATCATATTTGCTATACATTTTGGCATTATTTAGCAAATAATTACCTACAAAAGTAATATAATTCAAATCAAACCATTTTTTCTCCATAAGGGATCAGAGAGATACATAAATAATGTTAAAAAGAAAAAAATAAAGAAAAATAAGTGGCCCTTTCTGGGGTTTGAACCCATGCCCCTTAATTTCAATGTAGTTGGCAAGTGATTTTAGCCTATTTGAATACTCTTCAAAGTGGAGGTAATGCATTTCCCATGGTCTACCTTAAAAGAACACCAGATACTTAAGTTATTCACTTGTACTTCAAGTAATTCAAAGTCAAGTATAAAAAATTCCAAATATATATCTATGTTTGAAAGAATGATTACAAATGCAATAAATGATGAAACTTTTAAAGTGTTCAGAATACACATTTCTACCCTACCTCCATCAATCCTCATATTGTATATTTAACAATGACAGACACTTTATTCTGTGAGTCTCTAAATGCATAAGAATTTTAATGAGTTTAGGGTTTATCAAAGACACAATTTTATTTAAAAAACTATACATACCTTGATTTCTCCTATTATTGGCATGCCTTTAAAAGTTAAAAACAAATATGTTTCTGAATCGGTATTATCATTATCAGGATATTTTGTCTTCAGATATGTCAGGAGCTTTGGTCTTGCAATGTTTCCGTAAACAGCTAAATATTCGTATACTTCTTTCCTAAGACACATTGCAACATGGCCTCCAACAATAAATAATGATTCATTTTCATTTGTATTAATTTTGTGAACTTTACGGAATCCCTCGTGTGTAATGGATAATACTGCCTTCTTGTTAACATGGCATTCTTTTGAAATATTGTCTATAACAAAATCCACGTACAGTTCATAGTCATTTTGACGAATTGGCATGGATTCTAAAAGCAGATTTTGCTTTGCATTTTCAATGACATACTTTTCAGTTGTAATTTGCTTACACCTCTGACTTTTAAGCTGTGCTTTCTTTCGTTTTTTATTTCGTTCTTGTTCAATACTGGTTTTGTCATCATAATTACTAGAAGCTGCTACAGATGATTTGTTCAACTTAACTGTAGTCAACGTTTCCTGACAATTGGATACTTCGTTTGATGAATAAACGGAACAATAAGGACAATGTGCCATTTTGTAACTTTGTTTTTGGCTTGATCTTACATATATTTCTCTCGACCCTCTCGATGTACCTTGAATGTCATCATCATACAATGCCATGTACTGCAAGGTATTTGAAACATTACTTCCCATTATGCGTGTTTCTCTGCCCGAAACTAACCGTGATAACTTTGGCGTTATTGTGGTCATTGGCGGATTCCTAAAAATTAATGTGATACTTTGAAACAAATTTTAAATTTTCGTGTTTAATTTTACGTTTATGTTATATATTATTTATGTATGTTATAAAGGATTAAAATTTACAAGCTATTTTCTTTAAATTAGTATATTATTAACCGTTAATTGATGAGGAACTATCAAGCGTAAAGTCTGAATTGATTTAAATAGGTCTTTTTTCTAGTTTATGTTATTCAATAAAGCCGTGGTTTTAACCACGTTTATTATATGTGTATTTGTTTGGTGCAAATTCAATGTATGTTTTTCCCACTTTTGTTTTGGTATTGACATTTCTTTAAATCCAAAAATGATTCAAAATACATACCTTTTTATAGACATAACTAGTTCCAAAGCTTCGTGTGCATCCATAGACATTGATATTGCTTCTTCTATCTGTTCAAATGTTGCCTCTATGCTGCCTAAATGCTTTAACCATTTATCGAATACTTTGATGTACGCATGAATGACCCATCCTTTTGTATGCTCATTACGTGCCTCTAACTTAATTTCATCAACTGTATCTTGAACGTTTCTACTCAAATTCAGACAGTTACCTATAAAAAAATCAGTAAAAACCCTCGGTAAGACCAACATTGGGACTGGACCAAAGAGGTCTAAATTGCGGGGTGGTCATTTCTGAATATTCTCATAATTGTTTATATACTTTATGAACATGAACTAGTATGAACTAGTAGCTGCTTAAGATGTTTTGTTGGATTAAACCGAAGTTAACGTTTCCTGATAATTGGATTCTTTACAAACAAATACATAAAGATTATAAAAGTATGTTATGATATTTTATCTGTTTAGAGCAAAATATTTTCTGAAGAGATTTGATATTAAATGGTCTGACATAAGTATTAATTATTATATGATGTACTCAATTCACCTGTCATGTAACATATTAACTCTTCACAAAGTATATGTACTGAAAAAAACATTAAACCACGATGACTCTGAAATTTACTTTTTCACTTTCTTTCATACACTAGCCTAATAATAACAGTTTTTGACACCTTATGAAGTTAAGTGGCATGCATAAAAGCACTAAAGCAGATATTAACATCAAATTTTTGAGCAAGATAGATTGATAGATAGATGTTGACTTTAACATCGTTAGTCTGAAAAGTGGGTTTAAATAAAGAATAAAAAATGAGATCTGAAAAGTGGATAAGCGAGGTCTTAATTCTGGATCATGTAACAATTGACATAAAGGTGATTAAATTCTGTTCTTCTAAAAAAGATCTTAATAGCGGAATGTCCTACCAGTACCGATGGCTTTATAATTTACACACCAACTACTCAAAACAAAGTTCATGATCTGGGTAAGTATCCAATCCGTGGAAGTTAAACAAATTGTTGATTTTTTGTTAGAAAAGAAAAGTTTGAAGTAATTTCCAACAGGTTAACTTGAAATAATAGAGTCAATTTTTAATGGGCAAACTTGTTTTTTCAGGTTATCTGTTGGCTATATGGACAGCGCCATGTTGGTTTTCGAAGTCGTGAAAATTACCTACTCAGAATTACTCTTCCCATGATAAAAATTAGAAACCGCATCGTGAATGTTCGCCGATGATAGGCTTGTGAAAGGTCACCAGAAATGACTTAACATTTGGTCACGGTCAGATCTATAAGCGGAGTGTAATTTAGATCTGATTTAAATCAGGTTGGTCAAATTTCATAACTATGGCTTCCATTGTCCCAAGTTATTGCTCCTTTTTCAGCGCTTTAAAATGGAAAACCAGCAAGTTGGATATATATGAATGGCTTCATATTTTCCATACTTATCAATACAAAGTACATAATTTTGCCAAGTTATATTACTGTACCATCAAGTTATTTCCCATTTAATCACTTATAAAATAAAGCCTTGTAAGGTTGACCTATTTCGGCAAGTTAAATTTATCTAAGTTTTTCCTAATTACTTCCTTAATTTAACGACATCTTACATATTTGACAGGTGGAGACCTTCAATGGTCCTCTAACTTGTTTTAGCGTAATGATTTTAGCTTAAGAAGTCACCGAGGTCAAGTTCAATGTCACTGTTGTAAAACAAGCTTTTATTTTAAAATTGATGTGTTTCATGTTTAAAATCGACATGTATAGGTTGGTACTTTTCCTTTGTAACTTGTGTACTCTTCTTCCTTTGGATTGAGTTATGGGTCAGTTTGGTCATTGTCACCATTGCTGGAATAGATATTTTACACCTTTTCCCATACAGCCTTTATTTACTGATAAATATCTTTCATATTTGGAAGGAAAGTGACTTGTATAGTTTTCTTCTTTTGGATTGAGTAAGGGGTAAGCGTGTCAAGGTCAGGGGTGGAAACAATAGATTTCTAAACTTTTGCTTATACGGCATACATTTATAGACTGATGTTTTTTTTCACATTTGGAAAGATATACCTTGGATGGTCCAGTGTAGTGTTGGGAGTCACAAGTCAATGTCACTTGTGCTAACAAAAGATTTTTGTTTATACCTTTTTATACAGCCTTTGATTTTATTACCCATTGTCAGTAACCGCTTCCGTGGTCGAGGGTTTAGAGTCGATGACTTCTAATCCAGTTACCTCTCTGGCGTGGGTTCGATCCCAAGGAGATGCTTTGGTAGTTTAGCGCGAAGGAAGGTAGTCTAGTACTGGTGTAACTCTACAGGAACGATAGTTAGGAAACTGCCCGTCTTCATGACTGAAATACTGTTTGGAAAAGGCGTAAAATGAAACAAACAAACAAACAAAACCTATTGTCTCATAATTAGAAGGAACATACCTCAGATGGCTCTGTATGTTAGGGGTCGCTGGGTTCAAGGTCAAAGTCTTGCCTCAATATAAATTAGATAATTTTTTATGAGTAAGTTGAATATTTTTTAACTTCATCAGGAAGCAATGGCAGACCGACTTATATTTATCAAAATAACAAAACGTCATGACTCTTTGTAGTTATTTAACTGTGTTTACATTTCTTGGCATTTTTGTTTTCTGTCCAAAAATGAGTGAATAGGTAAACATTTTTTGAAATATTATTACTGACGACTATCTGGGCCGGGGGGCATTTGTGTTTAACAAACACGAATAGCTTTAGCATGTTTCTTTCTATGAATGTTCTAATGGTAAGCAAAATAATTTCATTAACCTTACTAAGTAAATTCAATGCAAATAGTTCCCAATATGTTGGTGTCAATGATTTTGATAATATCAAAGCCACTTTTATCCAGTCTATTTTCTTTTCGAGTACATCTTACATGAAAAAAGAAACATGAAAATTTCTTGAAACGATTTTTAATTGTAAAAAAAGAAAATAATAATAAAATAGAAAATATAACAATGCAGAATTAAGTCTTAAAGAATCACGTGAATTCAAAGTGTCATTTGAGATTTTTATGAAACATTCAATACAGTTAAAACATCTTAATGAATATAATATGTACACTCATATATACATAAAGAATTCATTGGCTACTACAGAGACCATGTCAACTTCATTATGATTTTGGATTCACATTTAGAAAATAACTTACACTATGAATTAGACAGAGTGTGCCTATCAATAAGACAGAATGTGCCTATTTTCCTGTCTGCGACTACTATTTCAACCTTTCGTTATTGTATTTAATTAATTTTGATAATGCAATATATAAAATGAAAGACAGAAAATCTTTAGAACTTTATCTACTTTATCATTTTAAATCTTTAAAAGATTAAGATTGATATCCGATGAGCATAATAAAAAAGGTGATGTTGTTGTTTAAATATCTGCCACGACTTATTTTCAATATCATCAACTCAGAGCAACTCAGTTCTGCTACTTTAATTCAGGGAACAATAAAATGACGGTATTAGATATGTTGATAATTTACCTTTATCTAACTCCCTCAGAGATAATGCTTGATCTTCTGTCCCATCACATGGTAGTTTTTATTGGCTTTCATTTTCAAAATCATCTAAAATACGAAAAAAAGTACAAATTAATTGTACGTAACTACTCAACCGGTGCGGCATTTAAAACTATAAACAATGTAATATTAATATACGTATTTGTAGCAGATGATGGCAACAATTAAACGGTATCAAATGCATTGATTGATAAATATGAAAAATATCAATTTTTTTACATCAACTGGAAAAATAACGAATTCACTACTGATGATTTTACAACAGTTAAACCAAGAATACCAGTTAGTATACATGATAAAGCTACAGTAACAATTTGTGTCATATCTATCACTTCTTTCCCGATGTATGATATTCTAAACGAAACAAGCAAGATTTTTTGCACGCGTAAATAGCTGCGAACAAATGGTAAACTGTGTTCTGCATACATTGAGAAGTGTCGTTAATATGACATCTTTATGGATGTCTGTAAAGATCTGCGCAGTTTTGAAAATTGTACTCGTAATAAAACCGGAAGCGTAACAGCACAAATTTCACTGCGTTTTATATTAGTACTCGTTTCTATTGTGGCTGGACAGATACGTTAACGTCAATGTCAAAGTTAAACAATATCTGTGCCAGGAGCATAAACCAAGCTGATAAGGCATTTAAGGCATCAGACACGTTCCATAATCTTAAAAAAAGAACGCTTTACTTTAAAAAAAGGCCTCTATTAAAGTGTATGAAGTTAGATCAATGTCCGCACATCAGTATACGGAGCTAAGAAAACATTGAAGCAAATGACAAACAAACTATTAACTGCTCGCATATAAATCGTGTCATTCTGCAGTCAATTTTGCGTCTTATTCAAAACATATAGGAATCTGCTGCATCACAGGCAGCCGAATAAACAAGCTTCTTGCTTAGAAAATCTGTTTTGCATAATCACATATGTAAATGTTTTTTTATCAATATAAAAGAAAGACGATAATTCTATACCCTGTGTGTTCTGAGAGTCTCCAGCAAATTGAAAACTTTCTTCAGTTGTGTATAATCTGGTACTTAAATGACCAACATCTTTGCAGTCTAAAATGTAGCAAAACAATATCTTTTGATCAAACAATCAGACTTTTATATTATATGTTATTTTGGTTTTGGAGTGATATATGTGGATATATTACCTGTCAAGATTTTATATCACCCGAGCCGTTGGGGGTACCCAACGGGGAAATTTAGTGTGAATATTACCCGTCTGGCTCGGTAATATCAATTTCTTTCGGGTGATCAATATCCAATCAAAAAGGCGGAAAAAATCTGGAAGGGTAATAAAATAATATCTGCATGTCGAAACATTTCTTAGTACATGGATTTGAAAGATAGTGCAGTATCTTCATAATGGATATACTGATGAAGCATAACCTTTCTAAGGAGAATCATTATCAAATATGATTCATTCTTTGGTCTGCTGATCATCTTAGCAAATATTGAGCAAAAAGAGCAGCTAGCAAGCTTTTAATAAAATACAACAAGAAATATCATTGCATTGTTGTTTACAAAACAATCTGAACTGTTTTGACACGTTGAACAAGATGTCCACCATGTTAAATAAGATAAAATACTTTAATTGAAATGGTGAAATTTTTAATTTAGAAACATTCGCAGATGTGTTCATACGGCGGTTATCAAGGAACCTTCAATGTGACACAGCTAGTAGTGCCATTCTATGAAAAGCGGCATATGATTCCCAAATAAAAGAACACTTGTGCCCTTGACGAGAAAACAATGGGCGGAACTAAATAAATGAAATTTTGAAAGGAGATCTTAATATGTGTGACAAATCACAAATGTGGTGAAATTGTTTTTCTCAAGTCAATAAAATGGCAGCAAGGTGGGGAAGTAAACGATTCATCTGAATTTGATAGAAGAGAAATTACCATCAGGCGATCCTTCAAAAATTACAAACTAGCTTTTTTTATTGCATACATAAACGAAAAAAGTAAGCTAACTGATAGAATATCTTTAAATTTCATATGACATTAACGCTTGCCTTGGATGTCAGATGAGCTCTCCGTTACTCTTGGGTCTAAGTTGATTCATGTTTTTACATTAGGACATATTACAGCAATATGTTTGCTGTCCGCTTCGAATGCGTTTGGTTTTATTTCTTTTCCATCGTTGATTTCACATTCACTTTTTTTGTCTGTTATAATTAAAAAGGAATAAACTTTCAAAACAAATGCAATGTAAAATAAGTTGATTAAGTAATACTGATAAAATATTATTTCTCTAAAACTATTAATTCATATCATCATATTAATATATTGATTATCAAACTGTTGCTGAACGTAGAAATACACAACCATACACTTGACAACCATATACAGTAAAGACTGTCTTAGCGACCCCCTGTATATAGCGACGTTCTGTCTATAGTGACCATAGTTAGGTGCGCCGAACAGTATTTACTATATAAATGGTCTGTATGTAGCGACTCCCTGTCTAGTCCGTACAACGACCATGATTTAGTCACCCGTTACGGTATTTGAGCCGTGAACAGCGACTTTTGCTAGGGGAGCATGGCTTGAACTAGGTGACGACTTTGGCGAAGAAGTCGCCTTCGGATCAGCGACTTTGCTTCAGTCGCCCGATTTTTATAATTTTCCGTCATACTTATTTACGCCGCTAGGTCTGTTAATAATTTGTTTACCTCTCAATTACAACCAATTACCGTTAATCCGCTAATTAAGAACGCGTGTCAACATCAACAAAGTTCAATACACGCCGCAAGGCAAGAGTTCACTATGTTTATCTTTCTCATTACGTATTCATGATTGACGAATCAGAACGCGCGTTGTATCTACGGCAGTTTGCATTGACCAATCGGCGACACGCTAATACACTGTGGCTGTTTGTTGACAATTACACAATTCAATCAATTTTCGCCGATAAAATGATTAAAGACACATGCATATACATAATTGCTGCGGTGTTTTGGCGAGTAAAGATAAACAATGCCAAACGTCTTAAAGGTGTGGTTATGTTTGAAACCTCGATTGTTAATTTTTTTCGGAGCACTTATCTAGAAATTATGTTGAGATTTGTATCTAATGTTTTATTAATACATTGAACTCCGTAAAGTAAACAGGTTGATTATACAAAATTAAATGTCTCTACAGTATTATCTCATTAGTAAAATTGAAATTAAACATTTTTTTTACAAACAGATTTATCAATATAAATTACATTTTAATGAATATGTAACTTTTAGATACTAATGTTATGGTGTAGTTTATAATCTTAACCAATTATACATGCAATTTTAACTTAGACCTAGTATGGTACTATCCTGCTTTTCAACAAAATATTGGTATGATATGTTCATATATCCGAATTATATAGAGACTGTCCATAGTGACTCCCTGTCTATAATGACCTTTTTTCTTTTCTCCCATCGAAGGTCACTGTAAACAGTCTTTACTGTAAATATATTTGAAAATGTGAAAATTTCCATTTTTTTCGATCTCTAAAAAAGCATCCTAAAATCCCATATTTTTGCGAAAATCATTTATGTATTGTCCAGGTCAAGCAAATATAACTGGCAAGACGAACTTGTTTGGTATGAGATAAAACACAACACTTAGGTTGAATGAAATAGGGCATTTATTAAATGCCATAAATGACAAATGTTACATAATAACAAACATGACAAATGTTACATAATAACAAACATGGCATGTACATATTTGTATCAAAATAACCAAACTGGGATCTATCCTTGTCACAGGTCAAGCTCATACCTAGTCAAGTCTCTCTGGGTGGCGGAAGGTTCCCTTTGTGGCGGTTTTTACCTCCCAGTTTGGTTATTTCGATACAAATATGTACATGCCATGTTTGTTATTATGTAACATTTGTCATGTTTGTTATTATGTAACATTTGTCATTTATGGCATTTAATAAATGCCCTATTTCATTCAACCTAAGTGTTTTATCTCATACCAAACAAGTTCGTCTTGCCAGTTATATTTGCTTGACCTGGACAATACATAAATAAGATTTTATGCCCACATAAAATAATTTATGTCATTGGTCTGTCCCTATTCTCATTACTGTACTGAATATTACGGGTCAGGTTTTAGCCATTACGGGTCAGGTTTAGCCAAGTACGTCTTAGCCAATCGATATCAAGACTTAAATCATGTGATGTTAATTAACCAATGATTACATTAGATCTATCACAAAGAAATAATTTTGGCGAGGAATGATTCTCGCCTTTCTGTATTACTAAAATCCACCTCCTCCAACTCCATCCTCATCTTTCAATTTTTGATGTTGATATTAATACCATTTCATTTATTCTTAATGAATCAGTTGTTTCACTTATTGTTTATCTCAAATTTTTTGTGCAACTATTCATGATATACACTATATATATATATATGTATATTGTTCATGCAAAGATTTATAAAACTAGTCGATGTTATATTATCTCTTTCAAATATTTTTCTATTTGTTGTCATAAATACTTATGATATTGTCATATGTAAAACACTTATTCATGTATAGAATGTTTAAAATATTTCCAAGGATGGAGTCCTACATCAAGTGGTACTTGACACAAGATAAAAGGGCACAGGTTTCCAAACTATGGTTTTTCCTGGGCGAGTCGACCACGATTTGGAAAATATTTATTTTTTCTGGTCAATTGTTTTTGATCAGCAATCCATTTTATTATATTATGTAGATGGTTTTTGGTTCAACTTTGTCATCTTACATAACTTTTGTTAAGATTGTGGCGGTTTTTACCTCCCAGTTTGGTTATTTCGATACAAATATGTACATGCCATGTTTGTTATTACGTAACATTTGTCATGTTTGTTATTATGTAACATTTGTCATTTATGGCATTTAAAAAATGCCCTATTTCATATATGTCTGCACAAACACAACTCATGTACAAATATACCTAGCTCTACAATGGCATAACATATGTTGTTTTTGTCCATTTCTAAATATGTATCTTTATCATCGTTGACGCGGAACAATTCTGGTTTTTGAATTTCATTTCTTTGGCATGTATTCCAATTTCTGAAACCTGGAACAAAATGATTATACATATATCATATAAAATTTAATTGATGTTCTTGACTTAGTTAAGTAATATCAGGACTTTAAGCTTGCCTTACTTTAAAACTGAAGCTTCAGTTTAGTTGAACAATACAATCTGCTTTCTTTATAAAACTATTAATAATTTCATTGAAACTACTTATTTTATTACATGAATTATTTCAATTTCTATACTTGACAGCGAGATCAAATATAAAATCCCTAATTTTGAATTTTGAGTGCAAACTATCATTTAATTTCCTATTTTCCATTTTTATTACAGAACTCACGTGTCTCATCCTGGTTCTTTGACAACTTCGTGTTGTGTTCCTTGTGCCTTGCTCTCTCTTTGTTTGAGCTAATATCGAGATCAACACATATTTGAATGCCATTGGTGTCCACAGCCGATCTCTTCTTCACTTCACAGGTTTGATTCCAATGCCGATGTTTCGGAATCACTTCCTTGATTTTTCGACTTTTAAAATAACACAGTTTAAAATTACACTCAATTCAAATTTCAGAGCTCATGCGACTTGTAGTAATTTATATTACTTTCATTTATGCCTAATTCATCAACAAACCAATGATAATTAAAAAAGATGGATATCTTCCGTTTAGATGATATTATACTGTAAACTATTTCTTAATATGTGTATATTGAAATATTATTTGCAGAGAAATATGATAAAATTTACCCTTTTATAATACAGAATAACGCTAACAAGGTAGCCAGGGATAAAACTATTCCAGTTGTGATAACAAAGTTCGTCCAATGGAAAACGACATTAACACTATCCTCATCTGTTACAAAAATGATACACATGAAAGTCATTTGCTTTTTAAAAAAATACTTTACTTATTTGACTATATTTAGAAATTTTATGGACACACTGTACAAAAATTTCCTCGACACGGACATTCAAATGACATCAAGAACTCACCAGAGTTGTGATTCACTTTTTTTGTTTTTTCATATGTAAAACTGCTCGATTCAATTACAAAGTTTAGCAGGTGTGCAAATATTTTCCATGTTTTAGATCTTTAGATTGTCTAGGTTTATTAAAAGAGTTTGATTTAAAATACTAGTCTTACTTAAAATAAGTAATATCATAGATTCTATCAAATAAAATGATGCTATTTTTACGTCAAAATTAAATATGGAAGAAAATGTTTCCACAATTTGCTCACCTTCCAGCTATAAACTATTTGCAATTAAGAAATTATTTTTGTTAATAAACAATTCTTATAAATCGACAAACCTTACTATGTAATGAAATTAACAGTGAAAAGATGGTATTATAAATAATATATGATTATAAAAAACTGACGACAAACTTAACATTCATTTGGATGCCCCTATGTCAAATTACTAACAACCATGTTGTTCAATTGACTGTACCAAAAACTCTGAATTGAAAAAAAAATCCAAAAAAAACAACACACGATTATACGTTAAACAGTTTATTTGCGTGTAGTCATTTTACACCAATATCATATACCTGTATGTTGATAAATCCAAATTAAATCTATATGCATATTCATTTAGTCGTACAAAGAGATACATGAACAAGTTTCATTCATGATTTTTTTCCCAAACTATTTCTTCTTTAAAAGATATATCTCGTGCATTACTCTGTATTTGCTATTAGTTTATTCTTGACGTTTTCATGAGCTTTTTGATGAAGTATTATACCGTTGTTAAATCAGTCACAGTTTTTTTTTTATCAAGATCGTTGTTATTATCATTTAAATGATAATTAACGTTTATATGTAGGGTTTATTGATTTGAAATCTTGTTTTGGTAGTTTTTGTAGAAATTCATTATGGATGAAACTGTATAAATATGGCGTACAAAGAAAAATATTACGAATCATTTACAATATGTATGACAAAATAAAATCATGTGTACAGTGGTGTAAGATGTTGTAACAACCTATTCAGATTTTTTTCAGTATGCTGTAGGCCTACGTCAAGGGGAGGTAACTTCGCCATTAATGTTCTCCCTATTTGAAGAAGGCCTTGAATTAAACTCAGGATTATTGATTGATGATATTGTTTTAATTTTATTGATTTTTGCTGACGATATGGCCATTGTAGGTAAAGCTCCTGAAGAAATAGTTTAGATCTTTTGTATTCATATTGCTTTAAATGGGGATTAGAGGTCAATACCATGAAAACTAAAATTATTGTCTTTAGAAAAAGATGGCGTATTTCTATCAACGAAAAATGGACGTATAACGGTCAGACAATAGAAGTAGTAGATCACTTTAACTACCTAGGTACAGTGTTCATCTATACAGGCAATTTTTCTCTTAATAATGAACATTTAACTGTTAAATCTTTAAAAGCAATGAACACATAATTGATAAATTGTAAAGACAGGGATTTAAAACCAAAATTATTATGTCAATTATTTGATTCTTTTGTAGGCTCAATCATATCATATGCATCAGAAGTAGGGGGTTAAAGCAAATCAAAAGATATTGAGCGTATTCACTTGAAATTTTGTAAAAGAATTTTAATGTTAGAGCCAATACAAGCAATGTCAGTATATACGGCGAACTCGGCCGTTACCCATTGTACAGAAATAGATATGTAAGAATAATTAAATTTTGGTGCAAATTGATAAAAACTGACAATATAATTTTACGGGAAATATATGAATTAAGTTTATCTGATTGTTACAAAGGTAAAAAGAACTGGGTGTCATATGTCAAAGAAATGCTAAATATATATGGTTTATCCAAAAACTTTTTTAAATATTGTAGATAGTAAATTATTTCCAAAATTATTTAAACAAAGAGTTATTGATAATTATATACAAATATGGCATTCATCTATAGAAAATAATTCTGTTTTAGAACTGTATAAAAATTGTAAAGAATTATTTTCATACGAACACTACCTTAACATATTGCCTAAGAATCTTAGATTTTACATCACAAGAATTAGAATGTCTGCACATACACTAAGAGTACAAACGGGTAGATACGGGCAAAATAGTATCCCAAGTTTATTTTGTAATATTATGGATTTGGAAGATGAATACCATTTTGTTTTGATATGCCCATGCTATGTAAACATAAGGAAAGAATATGTGAGACAATATTATTACAAAAGACCATCAATGTGTAAATTTATTCAGCTGATTTCTTCTTATAATAAAATTATACTTACGAATCTAGCTAAATATCTGAGAGATTAGATTAAAATCAGGAACACTTTTGTTAGTACTAACACCTAAATCTTATATTTGTTACAAATTTAAACTTAAAATTCAATTGTTTTGTTGTATCAAATATGTTTATATTCTGCTTAGGAAATTATATACCAAGTGATAATAATATTCTCTTAATCCATAATTGTTCATTCTCCAGCTTTACATGGAATTCAATACTATATATTAAATCCTATATTGTTTGTTAAATAGAAACGTGACATATTTACAATTTGTGTATTTATATTGCAGTGATGATGTATTATTTACAAATCCAAAATAAAACTATGTTCTGTTTGTACAGCATTTAAAAATTTGAAAATTAATTAATAAACAATGTAATTTATTGAAGTATATATTCACCACAATTGCACCGTGTGACATTTATCATCGGCTCACAGACAGCATCTTTATATATTGTACAGTTTTCTTTATAGACATCACACATTGTGCAGGGTTTACAACTTGCAGTTCCGTTGTAGGCAATACAATCTCGTTGATATGTTCCATTCTGGCACTCCTTACATTTTGCATGAGTTAAATTTCCGGGACAGTCGTCTATTGCTGTGGAACCAGGTCCACAAGGATAACACTGATTTTTAAAAGCAACATAACATAATTATGACAATTATTCTTCATTACATGTATATGAATACATCATGAACTCATAAGAAAAATAAAATTCATCCGCGTAATTAAAAGAATTTTTGGTAAAAGATTTATATTATAAGCCAAATAAGAATATACTGTATCGAGACGGGCGCTAAGAATAACTTTAAAAATGTATTGAATTGAATCGCTGTACTTGGACTGCATTCTTGATAAGTTGATAATATATCTTTGGTATAACGCGTCTCCTGTTTTACCATTTCACCTACATAAATATAATTTTGCAACGCTTACAGCTAACAGCTTAGATGATTCGTCGATTTTCACGCGATTTAATTGCAAACTTGTACGAGGCCCCGTTCACACCAATAAACGTATCTTCTTCCATGACATAAGGACAAATCGCACACTTTTAGATCTGCAAGGAGCACAGGAATCCGCCTGTTGAAATCATACATTGTAGTGTTTTTTTTAACAAAAATATCATGTAGATTATTGTCTCTTCTAAATGCCATAATAGGAGGATTTGGGAATATTTTTTACATTTTTTTCTGAGGTATATGTTTGCGTACTAGCTGTCCTATATATATTCCGAGCGCTCGGGGACATTCCGGAACGATCGGGAAAACGTCCACACCAAGGGAACTCTTCTTTTGTTCATTATTTTGTAATAAGTCACATTAAGGTCGACCGTATAGCGGTGCGATAATTTTTAATGCGAGTTGAAATGGTGCGATATGGAAAATGGCGGATTTAGACTGTAAACAAGTCAGAGTGAGTATATTTTATATAGAATAACTGTCACTGACTATTAAAATTGTCAATCTATGTGGACTTTGTGTGGCTCTGACCTACATGCATTTCCGCGAATTCATATAAGTTTAGGTACGATAGTAAAAAAAGTTATTGAAGGTAAATTGGCAATAACTGATTTTGTGTCCGTGCCAAAGTCATAAAATTAAAGCCAATATCGTAATGTAGATACTCATTATTGACCTGCATAGCTAATACTTCTATGATATATGTTTAAGTATTGTTGTCAAAATATTTATGTGAACGACGGGTTTTCTTGGGATGTTTGAGCTGGTGCATTGTCGTGCAGGAGCAGCACTCCTTGAGTCAATTTGTTCCTCCTTTAACGTGTGATTTCTTGATGCAGACGCCTCAATTCGTCTAGTTCGTACCGTTTATGGTACAACCTGCTCAAGATAGTCAATCATGATTATCCCATGACTATCCCAAAAGATCATCTTCCTTGCTGATGCCACCCTCTTGAATTTCTTCGGAGGGGATGAGCCAGGGTGCTCCCACTTCATGCTCTGTTTTTTTGGATTCTGGATCGAAGTGATGGACACATGTTTCATCCTGAGTTACGATCCGTTGATAACATCAGGTTCATTTTCGTAGCGAGACAAAATATATCTTGAATGTCTAGCCTGGTCCGTTTCTGGTCGTCAGTCTTCTGTTAGGTGACCCATCTAGCGGAAACCTTTGACATGCCATAGACATCAGTAAGAATTGCCTGAACTGAATCAAAGCTTATACCCAATTCCCAAGCAATGCTTCGCAGGTCTCACGTTTTGTCGCTTATGACTAGATTGTGCACAGCTTCGGCAGTTTCATCGTTGGTGGCCTATTTTTGCGGCCCAGGCCGCTCATCATCCAGTGTTCTTCTTCCCCTCTTAAATTCAGCAGCCCATATTTTCACAGTGCTTTGGTAAGGGGACTTCTTCCTAAATGTATCTATGAAGTCTTCATGGATTTACTTCGGGGACATCCCTTTCTTACAGACGGATCTGATTTCAACTTTCTCAATTTGGTCTAAACGACACATCCCTCTTCTGATCAAAGTGTGTTTTATGTTACGTAATCTGTATAAAACCAGTCAGTAATCTTCAATTAGATATCGTTATCGACGTATTGTGTGTAAATATCAGTGTAGTGGCTAGAAGTAATCAATTCATACTATTTTAAATTTTGGGGGAGCTTAAGTAATTTCAATAACAAAATACAAACATTGAGCGTTCACTTCATATTCACTTACTTCAGTTTTTAAACACACATTAATGATTTCT